TAGGGCCCCTGGGGAGAAGCACAGCTGCCTTAAACAAACTGGGGTGTTGGGGGCCATGCTTGGACCTAGCACCAGCCAATGGGACTCAAGGACATGGCTCAGAGCTTTGTGACACTGTGCTTTACCACCAGCTATGAGTGAGTTCCTGAAACAGCTCTGGAGAGTGTCCCTCCATCTCTGGGGACCTCACAGGCAGTCAGATTCTATCCTCCAAGGGCAATATGGCTGCCGGCAGCACCAAGCTTAGAGAGCATCTACCTTTCCACCACTTTCTGCATGGACTAAATATATTTCCCCCAAGCTTTTAGCTGTTCTCGGACAGACACCGGCAGCTGAGTTATCCCCAGAAGATCCAGCTACCACTGGCAAGATCTCTGGACCCTAGGCCAGAAGGGGACAGACTCAGTCCCCACCCTGTCAAAGGCCCAGCGCTCCACCCACCCACTCCCAGCCCTGCCAGAGAGACAAGGCCCAGCTTCAGGACTGGTTTCAGAGAGGCCAGAGAGATCCTGCAGCTGATAGTCCCAGCCCCACAGCCCCTGAAGCAAATTGTCGCATATGCACCATGCAGCTCTCCAAACTCCACAGAGCTGACAGCCCAGGAGAAACAGGAACACAAGACGGGAACATTGAGTAGAAGACCATTAAGCTCAGTGAGTGAAACCAGCGACACAGAAGGCCCAGCTCACAGCTAACAGCGCAGCAATCCTCAGGCCATGACTTTAGCAACACCATTAAGAGGTTGATGATGTAATAAGCAATGCTAAGTAAATTAATTAGTGCCTGCTAAGGAGGCAGGCTTAGGACATGTATGCGAAACTAGGGACATTGGAGGGAAGGACACATTTGTGGTGGGACTGGTACTGAAATATTGAATACCTGGAACAACTGTATTGTGAACAAATTTGTTAAGCATAGTGTTTAAATAAAGGTAAAAAAAAAATTTAAAGGGAATTATTTCTCCCCAATATTTTAACACAAGACAATGGGTTGCCTCTGATTGACTGATTTCTGGTCATGACCCCTGACCCCATATGCGCTCCTGCCTCAGTTTCTTGCTTCATATAGACTTGGTTTTCCCCTGCTCTCCTTGAGGGGGTGTAAACTCTGGCTTCTAACTCTGGTCTGAGAACCAGATATAATCTCTGGCTCAATGCTTATGCTCATAAGAGAGAGTTTGGTTGAATCCTGCTTTGACCAAGTGACTCAGGAGTCAGCACCTCCTCTGTCCTGGACCTGGACGGTTTAGATGACCCCCTGCCCCAAGCACACTTCTGCCCCTAGAAACCTCCTCCTGAAGCCCTCCCAGACAGCATTACTCCTCTTGCTCCCAAATACACTCCTTCACTCCTCTCCCCATCTCAGCCTACTGCTCACCCCCGCCCCCAGAGTTGATTCCCTCACCCCTTGGCTGCTGAAGCCACAGACTGCAGACCTGCTCCAGGGAGCCCTCACTTTCTCTAATCCTTGAATCGCGCCCACTCACAGATCTCATCCATCACCTTGTTCCACTCTGTCGAAGTTCAGACTGTCTCCGGGTTTTTTTTTTTTTTTTTTTAGGGCCACACATGCTCAGGGAACTGTGCTGTGCAGGGAATCAAACCCAGGGCTCCTGCATGAAAAAACCTGTGCGCCAGCCATTTAAACTATCTCTCAGGCCCAAGACCTTCTCAACAGTCCTGAATCCTCTTGGCCTCAGTTCTCCCCTTTAAGTTCTTCCCCACACCAGCTGGAACTTTTCTTTCACTCCTTCCCCGCACCAACTGAAAACCAGGTGGAAGTTTTCCTTGAGAACAAATCTAACCGCATTGCTTCAAAAGTCTCTAGTACAGGGGGCCAGGGAGATCATTCAGGCACTCTCAAGCTTGCATGCACCAGGGACCTGAATTTTGAAACCTGGCTCCACATGGCTCCCAGGATACCACCAAGTAGGGCCCATAAGCCCCCAAGGACCACCAGGGTGACCCTGATGGTTCCCAGCACCACAGGGCCCAAGCACACTACATCCTAGGACACTAAAATTGAACCAGGCAGCCTGGCTAAGTTTCACCGGGAATGGTCCCTGGGCCCCTGAAACACTCTTGGGAGGTTCCCCTCTGCAAAAAAATGGAAAAAAAAGAGACAGATCAGTACAAAAGTACATGTCATTACATGAGCAAGGTTCTCTGTATCTTAGCCCTACCCTCTGATCTACTCCAGTATCTTTGCTCCTTATGATCCAAGTTGAGGGACTAAGTTACTACTCCTGGCAATCAGCTTAGATCTACTTTTGACTCAGATCTTAAAAAAAAAATTGTTTCTTTGGTTTTGATTTTGGGTCACACCAGCTGTGCTCAGGAATTACTCCTGACTCTGTGCTCAGTGGTCACATTTGGCAGTGCTCGGTAGACCATATAGGAGCCAGGGATAGAACCTGGGTAGGCCACATGCAAGCAAGTGGGTAGACCACAGGCTCTGTCCCCTCTGACTGTTTTTGTATCCAAATTCTTCCCAAGCTTTCCAAGGCCCCACTCTGGCCCTCTTATGTGAGGTGGGTAGTTATGTCCCAGTCCCCTTTGTCCGGCATGGGACTTAGAGTCGGGACAAGACACTAGGCATGATGCTCTCAGGACAGGGTAGCCGGGAGATGGGGAGGGCAGCAGACTGTCCAACACACAGTATGCTGGTGACCATGAGATCCTGGCCACTGTTTGCCCAGCAGAGGCAGAGGGCCGGGGTATGGTCACACGAGCGCCCAGGTAGGTGGTTGATATGTGAAAGGATGCACATGATTCTCTGGGGACCTCAAGCGCTCTACCAGAGTTGCAGTGGTTGCCTCCGAGCAGTGGACACGCTGACAGGTGCGAGTGCGTGGTGGCCAGCCACAGTGGCCAGCAGCTGTGGGCCTCGCCCGGGTGGTTTGGAGGCGGGCTAGGCTGGAGAAAGGGAACACGGGCCAGGGAGCCAGAGCAAACAGGAGGCCTCCGGCCCTGCCTCCTAGCAAACACCAACTGACAGCTGAGGGCAGAGGAGGAGAGACTGGGGCTAGGGCCCCTGTGGTTGGCAGAAGGGAAGTAAAAGCCCAGGATAGGTGGGGTGGGGGGTGGGGGAGTTACTGGCGGCTTGACTGCCCAGAGCTTTATGGCTCTGGGAGACAAGTCTCTAGTGGGAAGCTCTTGGGCTCTGATCTCAACCACATTCCCACTAATATTTTTCCTGGCAACTGAGAGGTAGGTAGGTCTTTGTGGGTACAGGTGAGGAGAGGGACAGAATGAAGATACCTGGGGAGACTGAACTTGAGATCTAAAATGTCAGGCTGTAAGGAACCGTGGCCGGAAAAATCAGCTTTCTTTTCTGTGTACAGAGCAGGGTGAGGCCTGGGGGAAACAGCAGTCAATTGGTCTCCCCAGGCCTCACCGAGCAGGTCTTCTGGGGGAGAAGGAGACCTGGGCTCTGCCTGCAAGGATGAGAAAAGGCGCAGGACCAAACACTAGGCCTCACAGGACAGGAGAGGAGTGGGCACTCCTCCATCCCCCTGCCCCGATGAGACTGAGATGATGCAATACCCGGCCACCATCTTAAGCTCCCACACGGCCCGGATCCAGAGACACACAAATGAACCTCGGACCCGAGCAAAATGCTGCAATTATCTCTTCAGATCCTAATTATTAAAATTTTAGAATTCCTAGAGCTCGGCCGCGTGACATTATGTTGCATCCAAAACAAACAATACAAAACATATTGTCTAGCATTGCCTTCTCAGCAGGTATAAGTGGTGGTGGGTCTGGTCTCGAAGTATTGAAGGTAACTAAAGAAAGAGAGTATTGTGCAAATTATCTGCCACACAGTCAGGGGCAGGTGTGACATGGGGCCGTGGGGGGGGACACTGGGTCTTTTGGTGGTGGATAATGTGCACTGGTGAAGGGATGGGTGTTGGATGACTGTATGATCAAAACTCAACTATGAAAGCTTTGTTACTGTACCTCAACGGCGAATCAATAAAAAACAAAAAGAAAGAAAGAAAGAAAGAAAGAAAGAAAGAAAGGTAGGTAGGTGCAGGAGCACAGAAAGTCTAGAAATGCTGAGGCCCGAGCCATAGGGCGTGTCCACTGCAGGGATCCATGGGGCACAAACGTCCCACCACGTGGCCTCAGCCTGGGCACCCAGAAGGAAAGATGCAGTGGGACGCAGTCAGCTGTTTCCAGCAGGAGGGGTCAGGGTTAGAGGACTAACCCAGGGAGAGAGAGGGGATTCTCCACAGTTTACTTCCTGGGCCTGCAGTAGGTCTTATTCCTAGTGTCCCTGAATAGCTGGAGAGGAGGGATCCTTCTTCTCCGCCAAGGTCACTCACCATGGAGCATCTGGTGAGAAGCTTCGCCACATCCACACTGGCTTCTAGGGGACGTCCCGTGTAGTTTCATTTCTTCCTGGGGTGAGGGTGTGAATCCGCGGCCACTCACTCTCATACTGGTGTACAGCGAGTGGCGATGCTCGCAGGAGGAATAACCAACTGCTCATAGCTGGAGAGAAAGCACAAATGGAACCTGGAGGAACCGCTCTGTTGGCGCACAGGTTTGGGGGATCCCCCTGGACTCAGAATTCTGGTTGGAGATCACGGTTGGGTTGGAAGCCCCTCATTCCCCAAATGGGAACCCCCCATTTTGCCACTTCCTAGGACCCCGAAGGGTGCCAAAGGCGGCAACTAACTAGGTCACTAGCGCTCTGCACCCCACCCCAAATCTCAGTACTGGGGGGGGCCCGAGCTCCGCTCCCAGCCAGGTGCCCACGGCTCCCTCTCGCTCGGCGCGCTCCCGGTTCAATTCCCTCCTCTGCTGACCGCGCGGGTGACCCGGCCCCGCGCCCCGGGGCGCCGCGGGGGCGGAGCCGCGGCGGGCTCGGAGGGAGGCCGGAAGGGGTGTGAGTGCGGGGCGGGCCCGGCACCGCCCCGCCCCGGGGAGGGAGCCCGGGGCGCAGCATCCTGGCGCGGGCCGCGGCCGCCGCCGCCACTGCCGTCGGGGAGGCCCCAGCGCGGACATGCCCTCGCCTGGCGCCTGCCGCGGCCCGAGCCGCCCGAGCCCCGCGCTGTAGGCAGCGCAGTGGCGTGACCCGACGGTGCGGACTGTGGACAGCGCGGGGCGGCATGGAGGCGGCGCACCTGCTCCCCGCCGCCGACGTGCTGCGCGGCTTCTCGGTGTCGGCCGAGGACGGCCTGAGCCCGGCGCAGGTGACGGCCGCGCGGGAGCGCTACGGCCCCAACGGTGAGAGCGCGGCGGGGTCCGGGGGCGGCGCGGGCCGGGCCTCAGTTTCCCCGCCGACCCTGCGGCTGCGGAGCGGGCTTTCCCCGGTCGCTGGGCGCGCGGGCAGGAAGCGGGGGCTCCGGAAACCTCTTGAGATGCTCCTAGGGCTCCCGGAGGGGCTGCGCGGCCCCCTCCGTCGGGGACCCTGAGGTGGATTTCGAGGTTTCGGACGCCCTTGCTCATGCTCCCCGCTTGGCTCCCCTGGCTTCCCGCCTCTCGCGGTCCCGGCTGCCCCGCGCGAGCCCGAGTGCGCGCCCCCATCCCCGCCGCCTGCTGCCGGCCACGCGTCGCGTGCAGATGCGCGCGTGGAGCACCGCTGCGGGGGACCGGCGGGACCCGAGGCCAGGCCTCCGGCTGTTCCCTAGAGATCCATAAAACGTCTCGTAGGTGCAGCTTGTCAGCTGGCAGCCTTGGGGCGCCACCCCGCCCCCAGGTCTTCCTCTTTCTGCACCCAGAGGCGGATGTGGCTGGCGGGAGTCGGTGGGGCTTTGATCTGCGCCCCAGGAGACCTACTTCCCTGGGGGTGCAGGGAGGGGTGCGAGTGAAGCCCTCACTCAGGGAGTTTCCTGGGGGAGACCGGGGTGACCCGGAGTGCAGCCAGCCCGGCCGCAGTGGGCAGAGGGGGAGCTTCGTGCTGCGGCTGTCTGGGTGGGAGAAGCGGCATTTCTTCCTCTTTCTTCCGAAGGAGCCCAAAGGCACCGCGAGTGTCAGGTGTAACCCAGTGAGCCTGCATGTGGGGCGCCCCAGGGAAAGTGCAGGGTGACTCCATACCATGGTGGCCCTGCCACCACCCCACGCACCTCCGGCCTCAAGGGCAGAATGTCTGGGCTTCAGAGAGAATCGTCCCACTCCCACGCACAAAGTGCAGCCTGGACTCCATGTCCTGCCAGATCTCACTGTCTCTGGGTTCCCAGCCGTCCAGAGGGAAAGGTGTTCTCCTGACCGCCCCCCCCCATCCCACTGCCCAGGGCTGACTTGAGAAGTAGGAAGAGCTTTGGGGTTAGTATTGGTTTATGAAAACCACCTCTTATATAAATATTATCTTTCTGGAGCAGAAATCCTTTTTCAAAAAAATTAGTTTCTATATTTAGTGCAGCTGTGGGAGGAACTGGGGAGATAAATATTATTTAATATCCCCCATTAGTGACTTGGCAGAGAGGGCGTCCTGTAAAAGCAAGCAGGGCCTGACCCCCTAACCTGGAAGGGAGCAGGCAATAGCCACAGATCTGGAGTCCCACAGCCCAAAGAGCTTGGAATCCCACAGGCCCAGCCCTGCAGGACCCCGACTGGGGACCCTCTTCATCTGGACCCCATATCTTCATTGTTCAGTGGAGGGGCTCTGGCTATTCCCCATGTGGTCAGGGTGAGGGGGTACTGGGTGTCTGGTCGTTGAGCATCCCAGGAGGCGAGAGGTAAGGTTCTCTGTGCGGTGGGAGATAGATGTGCCTTTCCGGGTGGGGGAAAACTGGAGTTCCCTGGTGACTGCCTTGTGCTCTGATGGAGCTGCTTAGATTAAGAGTCACTTGCTTCTTGCTGGGCGCTGTTCTCAGCACCCCGCGTGCTTCTTCCTCCAAACAACTGTATGAAGACACCATCCGTGCTTTCCCACGGGGGGGAACTGAGGCTGGGTTCCAAGCTGGGGTGCAGGTGACATGTAAGGGACATAGCTGTGCGGGGTGGGAGGGGTTGGGGGGTTAGGGGGTTGGGGAGGCTGCTTTCCCTGTCAGTTCTGAGTCAGGGGTCACAGGCTCTGGAACCCCCTGGAATTAGGGTCAGCTCTGCCGTTCCAGCCCAGCTCTGGCCCCAAAGCGCTCTTCCTCCCCCTGGTTCTCAGCTCCCCCTAACCTTCCAGGCAGGTAGGAGAGGGAGTTGCCCCCCGCCCCCGCCGGGTTTCCCAGCTGACCCCTTGTCAGCCCTTCTTGAAGATCGGTTCCTGTAGCCTCCATGAGCCGTAAAGTGGTCCTTTCAGGGTTTTATGCCTCTTCAGAGCTGTGCTACCCTTCACCAGCCATTCCCAGCCGTTCCTCCTCTCTGCACCTCAGTTTCCTCAGGATGGCGCTATAGCAGGACTCTTGTCTTGGATTTTTTTTTTGCATGTTCACTTCCATGAAGCTGCCCTCCTAATCACTCATGTGGCCTGGGTGGGATCTGCAGCTGGAGGGGAACACCCTGAGGACGAGTTCCCCTCACCCCGAGTCTCTGCACCTGCAAGGTCGTTAGCTGAGAAACCACAAGGAAATGATTTGCTTAAGTACCCAAGTGTGCAAATTCTGCCAGATGAGGGAGGGAGGGAGGGAGGGAGGGAGAAAGGCTGGGGCTAGGGTCCTGCTCTCCAACCCCCCCACCACCACCACAGAGCAGGGAGGTGACTCTGCAGTACTCAGTGGGTGTGCCTACCCCACCCCCAACACACACTGCACTGTGCTCCCCAGGGGAGTTCTCTCTGATCTCTGACACCTCCCCCAATAGGGCAGTGACAGTACAACTCTGAACTCACTCACCTTTTTCTGCAGGTCCCAGTGGGGCCCAGGACTCAACCTCAGTGAAGAGGGGGGTGATGAGGAAGGGGAGCACGTCCCTAAGTTTATTTTTTGAATAAAAATCTTTGCATGGGGCAATATTCTGAGTCCCCAGCCCCCACTCCCCATGTTGGGCGCCTTCTGGGTATTCCCAGGGTAGTGGCCCCTGAAGGAGCTGCTTGGACTGCTGGGGCCATTTGGCCCCTTTTCACTCAGCAGTCACTCTTGGCACTCACTCAGGGTGGTAGCTAGTGTGGCTCTGTGGGCTTCTGGTGGGAGCTTCATTTGTTTCGATCTCTGCTGTCACACAGGCATTCCAGAGCACATCCGCTTCCCCATGTCGTGTCACACACTTATAACTATGTAACCCAAAGATAAATTCCTTGAAGTGGAATCACTGGGTCAAAGGGCACGTGTATGTAAGTTTTTGACAGCTGTCATTCGATTGTCTCCATAAATACCCGCAGCTGGCGTGCCTCCCCAGTGCCTCTCCAATGCAACATTTGAGGACATTGGTCTGTGCTGGTCTGCTAGGAAAGATCATAGTGTGGCCTGAATTTTTCCTCCCCCAGACCTGCTGAGCATCTTTGCATGGGCTCAGGAGCCTTTTTTTGGATGGGATGGAAAGTGCTAGACCGTCATGACCAGAGAGAGGCGGTACAGACAGAGCCCAGCCTGCCAGTCACCCACACCTCATGGTCCCTGAGAACACAGGGCTGTGAGTCGGGCAAGGGACCCACGAGATCTGTGGGAGGGTAAGAAGAGGCGGCAGGGATGGAGCCACCCCTCCTGGGCCTTCCACTGCCCACCTATACCGTAGGGTATGGCCCCTGTAGTGCCAGGTGGGACCCAGAGCCTGCTAACTTTTTGCCCCCTCAGCCCTGGCCCCAGTTGGCCGCCTGTACGTGGGAAGCCCATCTGAGTGGCAGGAGGTCAGTGGGGCGGGAGACCTGCAGGGGGGTTAGGACAGACTTGCCCCACCCCCAGCCTCGGTGCCCTCCCCTGTAGAGCAGAGGGGGAGCCTGGATCTCCAGCAGAACTGGAGTGTGACCCCCCCCCCCCCCAGAGCCTCAGCCTCTGCACACACAGATGTTGAGAACACCCTTTGCCTCTCAGGTCAGCTGGAAGGGGAGGTGGTAGATCACGGGGAGTGGGCGGTGTGGGACTCCCTGGGGCCCCCCACAGAGCTGACCAGGCTGTGCTCTCCAGGAGGGCCCCTGGAGACCCAGCAAGGCCAGGTGGGCTGGGCGGGATCTGCCTAGCCAGGGCCTCTCGGAGACTCTGCAAGTGATGATTTAATTGCTCTGCAAATTTACCTTTGAGGAAGACCTTGGTGAACACTTGCCTCTCCCAGTTCCAGCCGACATTTAGAAGCTGAAATACCAGTTTCTAGTGTTGCTAGAAGGAAGGAGTTGCAGGGAGGATTAGGGGAGCAGCTGGTGCAGGAGCCCGGGTGCTGCCTGGCCCTGCGTCCCCTCCTTCTCCTGGGCTCCAGGCGCCCTGCAGGCCCAGGGCCCCAGCCACCACAGTGCACAACTGGGTAAACAGTGGTGCAGGGCTGTGTGGACTCAGGGCTGACTCAGCTGCTCTGCACCATGGAGGTGCGCTGTCAGGTGGGGGTGGCCCCAACTCTAATGATGACGGAGAGAAAAGGGCAGAGTGGAGGCTTAAGGGAAGGTTTCCAGGCCAGCGGGGGATGATGAGAGCAAAATCTCAGAGGGAGGGGCTGGAATGATAACAAAGTGGGTAGGGCGTTTGCCTTGCACAAGGCTGACCCAGGTTCGATTCCCAGCATCCCATATGGTCCCCAGAGCACTGCCAGAGTAACTCTTCCTGAGTGCAGAGCCAGGAGTAACTCCTGTGCATCGCTGGGTGTGACCCAAAAAGAAAAAAAAAATCTCAGAGGGTAGAAGCCTTTGCAAGACCAGAAGAGGTGGGAGCAGAGCAGGGAGCTCAGGGCTGGAATACTTATGTAGGAGGCTGGGTTGTGATACCTGGCACCACAAGGACCCCCAAACATGCCGGAAGCAACCCCTGAACACAGATCCAGGAGTAGCTTCTGAGCTCCACAAGTGTGGCTCAACTTCCCTCCCAGCAAACACAAACAAAAACAAGAAAAGAAAAACCAGAAGAGGTGGCAATGGAAATCCCAGGGCCTCTTGCTTGGCAGAGTAACCATGGACCCCTGAGACATGAGTATTTCTGAAAGGGCAGACTGGGGCCCACTCAGGAAGGCCTTGAGGGTCCTGTGGTGGCTGGTCCCTGTCCTGCAGACCAACACGAGCTGTTGAAGGTTAGCATGGGGGCATTCATTTGTCCAGCATCTACCATGTGTAGGAGCGGGGGTCTTGTGAAGCCTGGGGGCTGCTCTTGTGCTGGCTCGACAACTGCTCTCACCCCCGCTTGACGACCTCCCACCCAGCTGTGCGTGGTTCTCAGCACTTCGCGTTTTGCCCCTTGTCGTCACAGCACCCTGCTGACATCATTCCTCTTCATACCCCCATGGGAAGATGGGGGCCCTGGACCACTGCTCAAACATGCGTGTGAGTTGGGCTGGAGCGATAGCACAGCGAGTAGGGCTTGCACATGGCCGACCCGGGTTCAATTCCCAGCATCCGATATGGTTCCCCGAGCACTGCCAGGAGTAATTCCTGAGTGCATGAGCCAGGAGTAACCCCTGTGCATTGCTGGGTGTGACCCAAAAAGAAAAAAGAAAAAAAAACATGCGTGTGTGGCCGTCTCTCTCCAGGAGTGAGCTCAGGGCTTCAACTCACCCCCTCTGTACCAGACTCTGCCTGCAGCTGTGAAGTGTTTCAGCTCGCACCCTCTCTGGCCCATGACCTACAGCCGAACTCTAGGCCCCTCCAGCATCTCTGGGTTGGCTCACAGAGGGGACCTTGCGAGAGGTAGCGGGGGGCTTTCTCTCACACACCCCCAATTCAGCTGAGGACAAGGAAGGGAGCACATCCTGGGCCGACTTGGACAGCTGGGTCGATGAATGAAGTGGGCTGAGCTGGGCATTCTCCTGAACTGGGACACCCGACCCAGCAGCTCCCTCAGTGCTGCCTCAGCAGCCAGGGCACAGGAAGCTGCACAGTTTGGGGCACCTGGAGAGGGGGACCCCTCTGACGATGAGGCTCAGTCTTGGGGAGGGGAAGTGGAGCCAATGGGGTCTTGCAGAATCAGAGTGTGTTGCAGGCCTGACTAGAGCAGGAAGGATCTGATACCCCCAAATACTGTCCCTGAAGACCCAAGGCCGGCAGGAGGGGTGGGAGCAAGCGAGATCCCCAATCAGGGCCTTGAGTCCAGTCATCAGAATGGGGGATACCACATGTCTGTTAGGTAACGTTGAGAAATTGGGCGGGATGGGAGGGCAGGGCTGCCCGCAGTAGCACAGGAGCCCAGAGCAGGGGGCCGAGCCCCAGCTGCCTTGGTACCCACCTCCTCCTGCCACTTCCCAGCTGTGTGTCTGTGAATGGCTCGCTCAGCCTGTGTTTCACAGTTTCACTCTGTCAAATGGAAATACTTGCCTCTTCCTTATGTGGTGTCTTGAGAATCACAAGAGGGCAGTGCCCCTGATGAATTAGAGTGACGTCTGGCCCACCAGCAGGGTTCTGGCCTGATTCTCCTGCGTATCTCACACACCAGCCTCCCATCCATCCATCACTTATGCAGTTGACACATTGGAGTTACACACCCCGCTTGAGAGCGGATGGGGGCTCCCAGGGAATGAGGGTCCCAGCAGACCTGTCTTCCAGCTGTGCAGGCCAGGTAGGGCATCTGCTGTGACCACACATCTGGCTGAGCCCCTGGGAGCCGTGGAGCCAGTAGAAGCAGAGCCTTGAAGAAGTCAGGTCTGAGAAGAAGTGGAGCCCATCCAGGTCAGCTCAGTGGCCACAATCCCAGTTCTCTGTGGCTAAAATCACAGCAGCCGTTTCTTCTCCCCTGTTCTGCCCCCGTGTTCCCGGATGGTCAACTGTGGCTCTGGGCCTCTCAGACAGTGTCACTCAGCTCCACAGAGCAGGCACCTGTCAGAGAGAGGGAGTGAGCGACTGGAGTGATAGCACAGAGGGTTGCCTTGCACACCTGGGTAGACCTGGGTTCCATCCCTGGCATCCCATATGATCTCCTGAGCACCAGGAGTAATTCCTGAGTGCGGATCTAGGAGTAACCCTGGAGCACACCAGGTATGACCCAAAAAGCCAAAAGAGAAAGAGAGGGGCTGGAATGATAGCACAGTGGGTAGGGCATTTGCCTTGCACACGGCCAACCCGGGTTTGATTCCCAACATCCCATATGGTCCCCTGAGCACCGCCAGGGGTAATTCCTGAGTGCATGAGCCAGGAATAACCCCTGTGTATTGCGAGGTATGGCCCAAAAAGAAAAAAAAGAGAGCGATAGACCGAGAGCTCCTGACCCCCGCCCTCCACCAGGGCAGGCCCCCTCCCCTTTGAGAGTCTTCCCCAAGGTCATTCCCCCTGGTCAGGCACACCCGTCCTTCCTTTCGCAACCCACTGGGCACCCAACAGTGCCCACCATGGGGGCAAAACCCAGAATATTTGGGGAAATGCCCTGTTGACCTCCAGAGGTGGCTCGGGTCATGGGTCAGAGAGCAAGGGGGAGGAGCCAAGTGGAAGGTGAGCCTGAGACCAAGTGAGGCTGTGGGGGCGGGGACGGGGTGGTGGGGGCTGGTCCTGGTCCGAAGGCCCCATGTGTAAGCATACATGACAGGTTTCCAAGCCTCGTACCTCAGCCTTGCCCAGAAAAAAATCCCGAGTCTAGTGCATGGGGTTGTCTGCCGTCAGAGTGAGGGTGGGGACAAGATGGATTCAGGTGAGACTTGAGACACTCTTTGGGGTCAGGAACCCTAAGGATTTCCACACAGGCGGGGCTGAGGCTTCCCCACCCCGGTTAAGAGCCGGGGAGTTGGCACCCTTAGGGGCTGGAGCCGGGATTGGGCCTGGCCAGGGTGGCTGCCGATGGACCCTGCTTCATCGGAGAATTGGCCCAGAAACCTGGCTTGGTCTCCCCCGCCTTTCCTGTTCACTTCAGCTAAATAGATCAGAAGGAAAAAGTCTGTTTGATTTTAATCTCAACGCAGGACACTGGAGATTACATTTTCCACGGAAAATGTCAGTCGCTGCCTAAAATAGGTCTTTGGAGAAAATGCTAGAAAGTGTATTTTTAGGTTACAGTTTTTCCCTCCTGGGATTATTGTGGGCTACTGGGCACTCAGCATGGGGCTGCTGCCAGGTGCAGACCCCAGACCTTCCAGACAGGTGCAGGACTCCCAGGAAAAAGCTGCTGAACAGAGGCAGGGGGACAGAGGCAAGGGCCAGTGTCTGGAGGGAGGACGAGGAAGAGGGATGCTGGTGGGCCTTGGGCTCAGCTTCCAGGAGCGCCATGCCGCTGGTCCCCTCAGCCCTCTGCACACACCTGGGGAGGCGGGGGTGGGCCTCCCATCAGGCAGGGCTTCAGGCTGACCTCAGCAGGTCTGAGCCCCTCCAGCCGATGGAGAAGCCCCCCAGAGTGCCTGCCCAGGGCCTCGTTCCTTCCTCTCCCACAGACCCCACAGACACCCCGACTTGCTCTGTGACCCAGTTCCCTGCTGTCACCCCAGCTCTTGCAACTGTGGAGGGGTTGATGTTCCCAGGTGCCGCTTCCTCTGCAGGCTGTGGGGAAGACTCAGAACTTGAGGGGTCCGGGCGTCTGGCTCCACCTGACCAGAATGTGGGCGATGGCTGGTGATACTGGGGAGAGGGGATGTATGTCTGGGGACATTTGCATGTGTCGGCCTGGAGGGGTCGTCACTGAATGTGCCCAGAGTGTGGGATCTGGCAAAGGACAATGGACGCAGCTGGGCACTGACCCCTAACTGCCCAGAGAGAGGGCCAGGGGTGAGGTCAGAGGCAGCCTGAGCTCACATTCTCACTTTGAGGTGCATTGGCCTTGTCAAGGGGATGGGGCACCCGGGACGGGTCTGGGTGGCCACCTGAGAAAGTGAAAGTGTAGGAAGTGAAGGTGAGAACTGCCTGGGAGGGACCGGCTGAGGGACTTACGCCGGACACCTCAGCCAGAGTGGGGTGGCACCCTGGACCTCAAACTATTCATTCTGTGGCCTCAGAGACTGGGGATCCATCCAGAACATCGTGGTGGGGGATGGGCTGCTCCGAGGCGCCCCCTGAGCCTCACCCACCGTCTCTTGTCTCCTTATGGCTCCCATGAATATCTGGACTCCGCAGAGCTCCCGACAGAGGAAGGTGAGGTCGCACCCCCGCCCTCCCCCGCCCCCTGCGAGGTCTGTACACCCCCAGGCTCCCTCTCTCCTCTCCCTGGGGCCAGCCTCACGGGTGCTCTGCTTCCCAGGGAAGTCCTTATGGGAGCTGGTGCTGGAGCAGTTTCAGGACCTGCTGGTGCGCATCCTGCTGCTGGCCGCCCTGGTCTCCTTCGTGAGTACGGCCTGTGCCCCGGGGGCCGGGAGGCAGGGTTGGGACAGGGCCGTGCCTGGCTTTGCCATGGGTGCCCCGGCTGCTCCCTCTGGCCTCACCTTCCCTGACTGGAATCCTTCCAGCCTGCGCCTGCCGCCCGGCTCCCCCTTGGTCCCACCAGGCCCCCTGACACTCTGACGGAGGGAGCCCCCAGCCCCTGGCCCTGGCCCAGGGCTCCTTACCTGCCGCTTGGTGATGTTCTGGACCAGATACGCCTTCCTGAGGGAGCTGGCCTACAAACCGTGTCAGATTTAGCTGCATGCCCTGCCTCTCCCCTCCATATGCCAGCAGAGTGCCTCACTGTGCCAGTCACATCTGCAGACCTTGCCCGGGTCCCCGAGGGCCTAAACCACCCACTGGAGAGCTCCCAGGCTCCCTGGCTCCTCCATCACCCTCACACCCTCCACTCACTGACGTGTCCCCTTGCTCTTCCTCACTCCCTTGGCCTGAACACCCCCTGGACCTGAGGGGCCAGTCATCAGCCCTTGCTGGTGGGACCTGCCCTTCTGCAGGCCCCATGCCGGGGGGGGGGGGACCAGGACCCTCAACTTGGTGGTCAGAGTGTAGGGCTCTGTGGGGTATTGGGGTAGCTCTCCCCTCACCCGTCTCTGGGTCTCACCTCCCTGGACAGGCACTGTCCTTGTGGGCACTGGACCAAGGGAACAGTGCCCTTCACACCGGTGCTCTACCCTTGCACATGGACCCCAAGCCCGTGACCCCTTTCCACCTCTCTTATTTCTGAGTTGAGTTCTGAGTCTGTAGCTGGTCACCTTGTGAGAGTTGTGAGATATGACTGCTGGGCCCCATCCATTTATTTTTCTTTTGTTTTTCCTTTTTTAAAAAAATCGGGGGCTGGAGCGATAGCAAAGTGGGTACGGCATTTACCTTGCACGCGGCCTACCTGGGTTTGATTCCCAGCATCCCATATGGTCCCCTGACTACCGTCAGTAAGTGCATGAGTCAGGAGTAACCCCTGTGCAATGCCAGTGTGACCCCCCCTCAAAAAAAAATCTGACTTTGGGACCACACCTAGCAGCCCTGGGCTTATCCCTGACTCTGAGTTGAGGAGTTATTCCTGGTGGAGCTTGGGGAACCACATGGGGTTCTGGGGATCAATTCCAGGTCAGTTGAGTGCAAGGGAAGTGCCCTACTCACTGTACTATTTCTCTGACCCACCCACCCCAGTTTCTGCCTTGGGAAGTCTGGGATGGACCCCAAGAGCTGTATTTCTAGCAAGTTCTCAGATGCCGCCACTACTGGTGGTCCTTGAGTGGGCCATGTGGCCACTACGTGTGGATCTTCCAAACCAGGGCTTTTACAGAGACTCCTCCCAAGGCCAGGCCCCTCCCCACGTGTCTGCCCTAAAGTCCGGGGTGCCCCCAGCAGCGCCCAGACTCACCAGCTCTGATGGGTAGGTGCTGGCCTGGTTTGAGGAGGGCGAGGAGACCACCACAGCCTTCGTGGAGCCGCTGGTCATCATGCTGATCCTCGTGGCCAATGCCATCGTGGGAGTGTGGCAGGTGGGAGCTCGGGGATGGGGCTGAGCCCTGGGGTCCCCCACCCCGCCTGCTGCTTCCTGGTCCCCAGCGTGTCACCCCACAGGGTCTCCTGTCTCGCAGGAGCGCAATGCTGAGAGCGCCATCGAAGCACTGAAGGAGTATGAGCCTGAGATGGGCAAGGTGATCCGCACGGACCGCAGGGGCGTGCAGAGGATCCGGGCCCGGGACATCGTCCCCGGGGACATCGTGGAAGTGGCCGGTATGTGGACAGCAGCTCTTGGTATATCACAGCCCTCTCCTCCTCCTCCGTGGTCTCAGTGGCAGGGGTGACGCCCAGATCCCTCCAGATCCCTTGGGCAAAAATGCTTTTTGACAGCTGGGGAGATTGCGCTGGGGCCAGGATACTCTGAGAGATCCCAGCCCGCCACCCAGAAGGTCTTGCTCCTAGGAACCACCTTGGTTTTCTGGGTCACCAGGGAGGGACAGCAGCAAGAGCCATGCTTAGCCAAGTCACGCTTCCTCCACAGTGGGGGACAAGGTACCTGCTGACCTCCGGCTCCTGGAGATTAAGTCTACCACGTTGAGAGTGGACCAGTCCATCCTGACAGGTGAGGGAGGCCGAGAGGCCGGGGTGAGGGGGGCGCAGGGAGAATGGGGGTGTCTGGATTCATGTGACGCCTCTCATTTCTGACCCCGTGACCAGGAGAATCTGTGTCAGTGACCAAGCACACAGACGCCATCCCAGACCCCAGAGCTGTGAACCAGGACAAGAAGAACATGCTGTTTTCCGTAAGTAGCCAGGGCAGGGCGGACAGCAACAACCAAAATAAACCTTTCGATGGGGAGCCTCATCGATGACCAGAAATACCTGCAGATGTGTAGCAGTCCTGACAGCTGTTTCCTGAAGCGTGTGTGCCTAGCATTGCTCTCTGCCTCTGATATGTAGAAACTTAGTTTTTTTTTTCTTTTTGGGTCACACCCTGTGATGTTCAGGGGATACTCCTGGCTCTGAACTCAGGAATTACACCTGGTGGTGCTTGGGGGACCATATGGGATGCTGGGGATTGAACCCGGGTCAGCCTCATGCAAGCAAATGCCCTCCCTGCTGTGCTATCGCCCCAGCCCCTAAACTGAGTTCTTAATCCATTTAATCCTCCTCACACCATTGACAGCATTACTTTCTCTAACCCCCTTTCTTCTTCTTGGTGCTAAGGATTAACCACCCAGGGGCTCACACTTGTGACGCAGGTGCTCTCCCACGGAGAGAGCCACATTCCTTTGTTATCTGCGCCTTTCAGCACGGAAACAGGCACTGAGTGGGTCAGGAAGTTGCCCGACGACACACAGCCTGAGTGGCACAAGTGGGGGACACTGGCTCAGACTAGCCGACTGCGGGACTTTTCTTTTTCCTTGACCTGCACGGCTGGTTCTGCCCTGCTCTTGGAGAGGGCCAGCGCCCACTTAGGACCACCCAGCTGAGATGATTCCAGAGGGAGGAGGGTTGCCAAACAGCTGGAGGATGGAAGCTGGAGGATGGGGAAAGTACCAAACTGCTAGGCTCTGCTGTGTCTTCTCAGGGAGAGGGTGAAATGGACTCTGGTGGGCAGGATCTGCCCATGGCACCCCAGGAATGGGAGCAAATGCCACAGGCTGCCGGCAATAGGGGCACTGAGCCTGTGGCCACGGAAGGGCCAGCCAGGGCCAGTGACTTAGAAACAGGATGCTCTGTTTTAATCTTTTCTTCCTTTTTTTTTTTTTGGTTTTGGGCACCACACCTGATGGTGCTCAGGGCTTACTCCTGGCTCTTCACTCAGCAATCACTCCTGGCAATGCTTGGGAGACTATATGAGCATATATGAGTTGTTTAGGATTGAACCCAGGTCTGCTGCATGCACGGCAAGCACCCTACCTGCAGTCTTTCCAGCCCCAAGTTTTTCAGTTCGTGACTCCATTTTGCCCAAGAATGTTTCACACACCTGGGATGTGTTTATAGCATAGGTGTGCAAACCAAACATTTATCAATAACAGATCATTAATTTATTTTCAAACAATGCTTTAGAAAGTTGCATGGCTTCTGTAACTTCATCCACTGTTTAAGAAGCTCAGGCCGCAGGCCCCTAGTCCTTAGGGGCTAGCAGACCTCCAGGGAGGTGAATAGAAGTGAAGAAACCGAATTTGCCCACAACTCTTTGAGGCTGGTGCACTGCCAGGCAATATGGGAGCCGTGAACAGCTGCCTGGGTAGAAGAGGACCACTGGGGAATGCCCAGGCCTCTGCCCCTGCCACTGAGAAGCTTTCTCAGGAGCCGGGTGTAGCTAATTGAGAGGGCCTGAGGTGGAGGGCTGGAGCTGCCAAGGTTGCCATTGGTGCCTCTTTCATACCAACCATGACTCAGGGCACCACTCGGAGGAGTACTGAGATACCAGATTCCTGGGAGCAGGTATGACCTGGGCCTCTGTTGAATTGTTTTGCAGAAGAGACCCCTAAGGGGCTGGAGTGACAGGACAGTGGGTAGGCGCTTGCCTTACGCGCAGCTGATCCGGTTCCAATCCCCAGCACCCCATATGGCCCCCCAAGCCCGCCAAGAGTGATCGCTGAGTGCAGAGCCAGGAGTGATCTCGGAGCACCACTGGGTGCAGTTTAACCCCACCCCCTCAGTAGGCCTCCTAAAAAGAGAGAACAAGAGAGCTGGCACCCCGCCAGGCACATGGGAGCTGTGAACACATCCGTGAGAGTGACAGAGAGAGCATTGAGGCTTGGCTAGGGGAGCCTAATACAGGACCTGGGGGTTTTAATGGGGCTTAGGAATGACTGCACTTAAGCTCCAGTTTTCTGGATTGTTCGGTAAATATTTGCAAACCTTTTTACCTGGGGCTGCTGTATTGATCATTCCCAAGACCTGTTTGAGTGGACCAGAGCTGGGTCACATCACTTGGCCAGTGTCAGCCAGCACTTGCCCTGTGCTGGGCCCCCAGTGAGGCACTACTGGTTTCTGGACTGACCCGAACCCCAGCATCAGAGAGCTGACCCTCAGGATGACAGTATCTCCTAATGTCAGTGACAGAAGCCGGGGGACACCAAGTGACGTCATGCAGGGTCCTCATTCCCCCTGTGCCATGGCAGGGGTACTCAGCTTTTCTCCTCACCCCTCCCCTCCTCGACCAGGGCACCAACATCGCGTCAGGCAAGGCAGTGGGTGTGGCGGTGGCCACGGGCCTGAACACGGAGCTGGGGAAGATCCGGAGTCAGATGGCGGCCGTGGAGCCAGAGCGGACGCCCCTGCAACGTAAACTGGACGAATTCGGGCGGCAGCTGTCCCACGCCATCTCTGTCATCTGTGTGGCCGTGTGGGTCATCAACATCGGCCACTTTGCTGACCCGGCCCATGGTGGCTCCTGGCTCCGGGGTGCTGTCTACTACTTCAAGATCGCCGTGGCCCTGGCCGTGGCTGCCATCCCGGAGGGCCTCCCTGCCGTCATCACCACCTGCCTGGCGCTGGGCACGCGGCGCATGGCTCGCAAGAATGCCATCGTGCGCAGCCTACCCTCCGTGGAGACACTGGGCTGCACCTCGGTCATCTGCTCCGACAAGACAGGCACGCTCACCACCAACCAGATGTCCGTCTGCCGGGTGAGTGTCTGGACTACTCGCCCGGGTGCGGCCTTATGGTACTGGGCAGGCTGCCCTCCCTCGCTGGGCCCTTCCCTGGCTGCTTTTTTTTTTTTTTTTTTAATTTGTGGGTCACACCCGGCGATGTACAGGGGTTACTCCTGGCTCGTGCACATAGGATTTACTCCTGGCGGTGCTCGGGAGACCATATGGGATGCTGGGAATTGAACCTGGGTGCAAGGCAAATGCCCTACCCGCTGTGCTATCGCTCCAGCCCCCCTGGCTTCTTTTTGATCAAGATTAGAGAAGAGGGACCGGAGCAATCGTACAGCAGGTAGGGTGCTTGCCTTGTACCTGGCCTACCTGGGTTTCATTCCCAGCGCCCTGTAAGTCCCCCGAGGACCACCAGAGTAATTCCCAAGTGTAGAGCCAGGAGTAAGCCTCTCCAGTGTGGCCCACCCCCAAACAAAGAGTGGAGAGGAGCACTGCCTGGCTGGGCACAGGTCCCTACGACCCACATGTCACCTTTGGGTACATCTCTGAATGTCAGTCGATTGCCATGATGGCTTGGGGGAGGGTCAGCTGCATCCTTGGCATCCGTGCCGACCTGGGCCGAGACCCAGCTTCTCCCCTGTCCTGCCTGCTCTTCAGTGCACCCTGTTATCAGATACACCAGCTCCAGTGGCCTGGGAAGGGCCAGGGCAGGAATTATTTATTCTCAGGCACTCGATCCCACATCCCAGGCCCACTGCCCTTCGGCTCCAGGCATTCTGGCCTTGGGCCAGGCGGGTGCCGTGAAGGCTGTGGGTTCGCTCCCCCCACCCTCTCCACTGCCCACCCCGTGGGTATCTGAGGCCTCTCCCAGCCAGCCACAGGGAAGGGAGCCAGTGAGCTTTGTGACTCTGCAGCCCCCGGTGTCCCTCGGAGGGCTTTATCAGAGCAGCTTCCTCGGCTGAAATAGGACTCGGAAACTACAGTTGAGTCCATTGGGGTGCAGTGGGGAGCACATGAAGGCAGGAGCATTCCCTGAACACCTGCTGAGTGCTGGGTTGGCCGTGGCATGGGAATGTGCTATATGGTAGCTTCTGGAAAGCCAGACTCCCTGGCAGAGCCTCTGACAGACAAGAAAGTGGGAGCCTGAGTCCCTGAGAAGCACATCAGGGCCGGGGACCCTGTAGACCCAGTGCAAGGTCCTCCGGGAACACTTTTGGAAAGAGCAGTCTGTGCTCCCAGTGGACTGGGGGGGACTCCTTCTTGGGGGCCTGGGAGCTCTCCGCTGGGAGGCAGGAGGGACTGGCGTCCCCTTCTCCCTGTCAGCAGCTCTAAAGAGATCTGGAGGGTCCTAACTCAGGGCTTCCTCAGGTCCAGGGCATCCAAGGAGCCACCTGAACGTTCCCAGGGGGCAGAACGGGCTCTCAGAGACCTGGATTTTTTTTTTTTTTTGCTTTTTGAATCACACGGGCGATGCTCAGGGGTTACTCCTGGCTCTGCACTTAGGAATTACTCCTGACGGTGCTCAGGGAATCATATGTGATGTTGGGAACTGAACCCGGGTTGGCCGCGTGCAAGGCAAACGCCCTACCCGCTGTGCTATCGCTACAGTGATCCCGAGACCTGGATCCTGAACTCTCCTGTGCACCGCTGAGACCCTACAGGAGAGGGGGAGGGTTCCCTGCACCACCCCCTGAGCTGCCCTGAGTGTACCCCCTTCCCGCCTTCTAGATGTTTGTGGTGGCTGAGGCGAAAACAGACTCCTGCCGTTTGCATGAATTCACCATCTCTGGCACCACCTACACCCCTGAGGGTGAAGTGTAAGTGGAGGCCATGGGGTGGTGGGGGGTGCAACTCGGAGGATTGACAGGGGCCAGGCCTGGGGACTGGGGCCTTGGGCAGCCGCTCCCAGGGACGGGGCGGGGGTGTCTGAGGTTTTGCACTGACCTTGCTCTGATGCAGGCGCCAGGGGGACCAGAAGGTTCGCTGTGGGCAGTTTGACGGACTGGTGGAGCTGGCAACCATCTGTGCCTTGTGCAATGACTCTGCGCTGGACTACAACGAGGTGGGCCTGCGCTCCCTGTCGTGACCACCGCAGGGTTGAGGCCACTGGACACACTCCTGCCCCCCCAGCCAGCTCCCAGGGCACCCCTTTTGGCGTGAGCCCCACACCTCTGAACACAGCCCTCTGTTGCTGCCTCCTCAGGCCGGAGCTCCGGGGCTGCCCTGGACAGGGCTGAAGGCCGGAGGCCCCTGCAGGGAGAGGGCAGGGTGCAGGTGTTTAAGACAGAAGCACAGTCTGTCCCACTGGAATGGGGTGGGGGGTGATGCCCCTTGCCAGGAAGAATTGGCCAGACCAAGTTAGACCCAACGGTAGGGTGAGGACAGCAGTTTTGAGCAGGGGAGAGGCAAGGTCCAACTGTGCTGTTTAACTCTGGGCCAAACTTCTGCGGGGACCCCAGAACAGATGGGAACGGCTGCACAACCAGGAGCATCCTTGGAGCCTCTGGGAGAGGGCAAGGATTGCTGAGACTTAAGGGCCCAAGTCCTGAGACTTGGTGTTAGTTAGGTGAGAGAGGGGTTGGAGGCCAGCGTTAACTCGGGCGCTGTCCCGCTGGGTCACTCCATGCCACAGAGAAGGGATGTTTGGTGCCTGAGGGTCCCCAGCAGGCAGCACCTGGACGTGAGGGGTTGTGTCTGGACTGGACATGGGCAATTGTGAGCATGTGAAGGGTCAGGGCGGGAGGCCCATGAGGGAGAGAGGGGAGCAGGAGGAGCGAGGCCGGGATGGCCGGGCAGATAGGAGAGTGGTCAGATGAGTGCAGAGGGTGCGGACAGCGGGAGGCAGAGGCCCCTGGTGGGAGATCTGGGATGGGTGGGGACAAGAGATGGTCAGAAAGGAAGGTGAGTAGACCCCCGCTGCCCCCGGGCTGCTGGGCCACAAGGACCCACAGGCCTGGTGCAAAGTTGCTTACAGGGGGATCTGGCTGGTTGCTCTAGAGGTCAGAGAGGGAGGGGGAGAAGGGGCTGGGGGTCCCCCAGGATGTCCCCTGGCCCTTGACCCCAGACCTCGTGTGCCATCAGGCCAAGAACGCATATGAGAAGCTGGGCGAGGCCACTGAGACAGCCCTGACCTGCCTGGTGGAGAAGATGAATGTGTTTGACACAGACCTCGAGGGCCTGTCCCGGGTGGAGCGAACCAGCGCCTGCAACTCGGTGAGCTGTGGGAGGGGAGGAGGGAGTGCAGGGAGGCTCTGGGAGGAGGAGGACACTTCGGGGGGGAAGAAGAGTTTGTGCGAGGACTGGGAAGGGCCCAGCATCTCCAGGAAGCTGGCCAAGGGCCCTGGACCTAGCAAGGTGCGGGAGGCTTGAGGGTCAAGTTTGAGGGGTGGGTAGCTGGGAGTGAGGGCTTGTGGGTTGGGGGAGTCTTCCTGGGTACCACAGCTGGCCAAGAAGTGCTGAAAGCCTCTGGTCTGCCCCCTGTCCTGGCTGCCGGAACCGCAGGTCATTAAGCAGCTGATGCGAAAGGACTTCACGCTGGAGTTTTCCCGAGACCGGAAGTCCATGTCGGTGTACTGCACGCCCACCCGCTCTGACTCGGCAGCCAGAGGCAGCAAGATGTTTGTGAAGGTGGGATGCAGTGCTGCGGGCGGCATTTCTTGCACCCCCGGGGTCCCTGGGGGCGAGCCTCCTGCTCTCTGAAGCATCGGGCACTCCTGGGAGGCCCGGCAGGAACTGAGGCTGCCATCAGCTCAGTGAATCCAGAACAAGGGTGTGGGCTGGCAGTGGAGAGCAGGGAGGAGAGCCCGGGCTCACGTGAGGCCTGCTCCGAGCCGTGCTCCCAGACCCAGACTGAGGGCAGTACCTGGCCTCACACGTGCCCTGGGGTCACTCTCCTCTTCTGGGGCCTCACTGTCCTGGGACAGGTCAACCAGGGAGCCCTTGGCCTATGGATGTCATTGACGGGCCTCTTTGGTACTTTGTGTTTGGGAAATGGAATCTCAAGAGAGGGACGGAACTGGCTCCAAACAAACCTCTGTCCACACCATCTCCTGTTAACTGTGTCTGCACCTGAAGTAGGAATCATAGCCCTGATCTCTACCCTGCTTTGGGGGTCTTTCTACGGGGGGCCCTCACAAGTGATGCTCAGGGGCCCAGGGGCCATGCCTGTGATACTCAACCAACTGGACCTAGCGACTCAAGGTTAGGGCTGAGGATGCCGTGAGTGCTCGGGGCTCCATCAGGTGCTGCTCTGGGGCCTGGGTGCTGCCTGGGAATGGTCTGGGGTGCAGGCAGCATATCTCCCGAGCCTTTGCACTGTTTCTCTGTGCCCATGCAGTGAAGCTCTGGCCCTTTTGAAGTGGAAAGCTTTCTATGTCGGGAGTTTGTGCCCCTTTAGCATGGCCTTGGAGAAGAGGGGGCACCGTGGGTGGGATCATTCATGAAATAAATGCTCTGGAGCTTGTTCCAGCTGAGACCCTGACAAAGACCAGCTCTGCCAAGTCACACCCTCAGTCTAGTGTCATTCCGGCTCTGTGTCAGAACTCGGCTTGTTAACTGTGTCTGCACCTGAAGTAGGAATCATAGCCCCGATCTCTACCCTGCTTTGGGGTAGAGATCTCCTGCTGTGGAGACTCTTGCTGAGCACGGAGCCCTGAGCACCAGGCAGGGCGCGGGGTCTGCAGGAAGGTCCCTATTCCCGGCTCATGCCCCAAATAGCAGGGGATCATTTCTTTCTTTTTTTTTTGTATTGTTTTTTTGCTTCTTGGGTCATGCCAGCGATGCTCAGGGGTTCCTCCTGGCTCTTCACTCAGGAATTACTCCTGGCAGTGCTCAGGGGACCCTATGGGATGCTGGGGATCGAACCTGGGTCTGCTGCATGCAAGGCAAACACCCTCCCCGCTGTGCTATCGCTCCAGCCCCTGGGGACCATTTCTGAAGGGGCCTCCCCATTGCCCACTCTCATGGGGTTTACTCATAGTGGGGTCTGGGGGTTCTGGTCCCAGCTTTCCTAGAGGTGACATGTCCCCTGGGTCAGCTGCACCCCAAATCTGGACCTCATTCCCCTAGTTGGGCATGAGGGAGGCCAAGGTTCCTTCCTGATGAGCTGGCCTCTCTCACCCCACACGCTGCAGGGGGCTCCGGAGAGTGTGATTGAGCGCTGCACCTCCGTCCGCGTGGGGAGCCGCTCGGTCCCGCTGGACGCCAACTCCAGAGAGCAGATACTGGCCAAGATCCGGGATTGGGGCTCAGGCTCGGACACGCTGCGCTGCCTGGCACTGGCCACCCGGGATGCGCCCCCCAGGAAGGAGGACATGCAGCTGGACGACAGCAGCAAGTTCGTGCAGTATGAGGTGGGTCCCAGCCTGGGCGTCGTGGGGGCCGACAGTGGCCAGAAGGTCAGCAAGGGGAGGGTGTGCCGAGAACCTTACTCACGTCCATCCCTTCCCTGCAGACGGATCTGACTTTCGTGGGCTGTGTGGGCATGCTGGACCCCCCACGGCCGGAAGTGGCCGCGTGCATTGAACGCTGCCGCCAAGCTGGCATCCGGGTGGTCATGATCACCGGGGACAACAAGGGCACAGCTGTGGCCATCTGCCGCCGGCTGGGCATCTTTGGGGAGACGGAGGACGTGGAGGGTAAGGCCTACACCGGCCGCGAGTTTGACGACCTCAGCCCCGAGCAGCAGCGCCAGGCCTGCCGCACGGCTCGCTGCTTCGCCCGGGTGGAGCCGGCACACAAGTCTCGCATCGTGGAGAACCTGCAGTCCTTCCACGAGATCACAGCCATGGTGAGGCCACGCGGGGCCGTGGGCGGGGTGGGGGTGACACTTCAGGGCTTGGCCAGCCAGCCTGCAACCCGCCTTGTTCTTATTTTCCCAACGTTCTATTGTGCGGCCTTTCTGACCCACTGAAAGATGTGAGCCCCAATGGGCCTTCCCTGGACTGGATGGTCTCGTGCCCTCCCTGTGGACACAGCCTTGTGTTGTATCGTGTGCGGGTCCGTCTCCGTGGCTCCGGGCACACATCACCTTCTTCTCCCTCGTTGCTCCTTGGCGGGGCTTCTTTTGAAAAAGTTTTAAATGGAGGGCCACATTGGTGATGTTCAGGGGCTACACCAGGCTTGGTGATCAGGGACTGTTACTGGGGGTGCTTGGGGGACCGTCCGTGTGGTGCTGGGCATGACACATAGGTCTTCTGTGTGCAAAGCATGTGCTCTAGCCAGTGAGCTACTGCTCCAGTCCAAGCTTTGTCAATCTATTCCAGTCCCTCCCTCCCTCCCTCCCTTCCTTTCTCCTTCTTTCCTTCCTCCTCCTCCTTCCTTTCTGCTTCCTTCCTCCTTCCTTCCTTTTTTCTTTCCTTCCTTCCCCCTTCCTTCCTCCTTCCTCCTTCCTCCTCCTTCCTCCCTCCCTCCCTCCCTCCTTCCCTCCCTCCCTTCCTCCCTCCCTCCCTCCCTCCCTCCCTCCCTTCCTTCCTTCCTTCCTCCTTCCCTCCCTCCCTCCCTCCCTCCCTCCCTCCCTCCCTTCCTTCCTTCCTCCTTCCCTCCCTCCCTCCCTCCCTTCCTTCCTTCCTTCCTTCCTCCCTCCCTCCCTTCCTTCCTCCCTCCCTCCCTCCCTCCTTCCCTCCCTCCCTCCCTCCCTTCTTTCCTTCCTTCTTCCTTCCTTCCTTCCTCCTTCCCTCCCTCCCTCCCTCCCTTCTTTCCTTCCTTCCTTCCTTCCTTCCTTCCTTCCTTCCTCCCTCCCTCCCTCCCTCCTTCCCTCCCTCCCTCCCTCCCTCCCTCCCTTCTTTCCTTCCTTCTTCCTTCCTTCCTTCCTTCCTCCTTCCCTCCCTCCCTCCCTCCCTCCCTTCTTTCCTTCCTTCCTTCCTTCCTTCCTTCCTTCCTTCCTCCTTCCCTCCCTCCCTCCCTCCCTTCCTTCCTTCCTTCCTTCCTCCCTCCCTCCCTTCCTTCCTCCCTCCCTCCCTCCCTCCTTCCCTCCCTCCCTCCCTCCCTTCTTTCCTTCCTTCTTCCTTCCTTCCTTCCTCCTTCCCTCCCTCCCTCCCTCCCTTCTTTCCTTCCTTCCTTCCTTCCTTCCTTCCTTCCTTCCTCCCTCCCTCCCTCCCTCCTTCCCTCCCTCCCTCCCTCCCTCCCTTCTTTCCTTCCTTCTTCCTTCCTTCCTTCCTTCCTCCTTCCCTCCCTCCCTCCCTCCCTCCCTTCTTTCCTTCCTTCCTTCCTTCCTTCCTTCCTTCCTTCCTTCCTTCCTCCTTCCCTCCCTCCCTACCCCTCTTCCTTAATTTCATTAATTCATGCTGCTTTATCTTGAAAAAAAAAAAGGAAAAGAAAAAAGCTTCACAAAGATTCTCAGGAACCAATCCAAAATGCCTAGCATAGCTTCTTGGAGGGTGCTGTCAGACTTTCAGATCTGACCTTCAGCTGCCCTGTTCCCAGGGTTAGCCTGGGCCCCTCACAGAGAACTGTGAGAGCAGCAGCATAGACAAAACAGGCCCTCCTTTCCTGCTGTTGATGCTGTTACTGTTATCATCATGGTGCTTGGGCTCAAGCCCAAGGATACTCATTGTTTCCTCCGCTGTGGTTGAGCTGTCGTAGCCTCCAGGTGTGTGCCGTTGCTGTTTCAGACTCACATGCTGTCAGCCAGCATCTCCCCCAGGGGTCAGAGCCCCTCCACATGCTCCCACGCCCCTTCTCTTCTCCCCTCTCCCCTCCCTCACCTTCTTGGTTCCGCTTCCGTTGATCATGCAGTCATTCCTTTTCTCCTGAGATTTTTTTGGGGGAACACACCCAGTGATGCTCAGGGCTTACTCCTGGCTCTGCGCTCAGGAATCATTCCTGGCGGTGCTCAGAGCACCATATGGGATGCCAGAGATGGAACCCAGGTTGACGGCATGTGAGGGAAGCCCCCTACCCACAGCATCATCTCTCCATCCCCAAATGTGTCCACTTTCACATTTTATTTTAGGCACTTTTTAACCTTAAACCTGGGTGACCTGCCTTGGTTCCAACTTTCACCTAATCCTTGACCTCATCATATCTTTGACCTCGCCCCTGGCAGATGGGGTGAACAATGTCCCCGCCCTGAAGAAAGCTGCGATGGGCATTTGTCCCTGACCTCAATTCCACCTAGTCCACGACCAGTCTGAGGTCCATCTTGGCCCTCAGCTTGGACTCACCCTCATCTGTCCCACCAGGCTCTCTTCCCTGTGCAGATGTGGTCTCTCTGACCCGTTGCTGTCTGCATCACCTGCCTTCTCCTTGGCCTATCCCAGTCCGTTTCTTTTCTTTTACTGGTGCCGTCCTTGGCAGTGCTCCAGGGCTTGCGAGCTTACTCCTGGCTCAGCACTCAGGGATATTTCCTGGCCCAGGATTGAACCTGGTTGGTTGTGCGCAAGGCAGACACCCAGTGTTCTCTGGTTCTCCTCCTTTCAGTGTCTAATAAACTCAGTTTACTCAGTTGTTATTTATTCACCTGCTTATTAATTTATGGTATAGATCAGCTCTTTTCTCCCCCCTGGCCCATAAGCCTGCTCCCTTAGCAGTCATCAAATAATTTATATTGTTTGTTTCAAAAAATGTATCTCACAATGTTCTTTCTAAAGCCACTTTCTGAGGATTTACTGAACTATTTATTTCTAAGTTCATTCTTCTTTATTTTTTTTGATTGATCAGATGCCATTTATTCTATTCTCATGCCCTTTCACTCCTGTCTCTCTCTCTCTCCTTCTCTTCTGGGCCCCAATCTGGAACCCTGCTCTCCTGCTGACTCTGACTCTTGATCTTGCCTTCTTTGTTTATTTTTTAATTTTTACCCCCTGAGATCGTTCTTTTTGATTTTTTGCTTTGGGGCCATATCTAGCAATGTTCAGGGTTTACTCCTGGCTCTGTGCTCAGGAATTACGCCTGGCAGTGCACGGGAGACCAGACGGGATGCTAGGGATGGAACCTGGGTTGGCCGCATGCAAGGCAAAGCCCTACCCACTCTCCACTCTCCTTTCATCCGGCCCCTCTAAGCTCAGCTCATGAACTGACCTCTCTGTTGGTTTTGTCCAGCTTCCTTGGAAACGCACCCTCAGTGGGGATGGGCTGAGTTGAGTGGAAGTTCAGACTTGATCCTCCCCCACTTGTCCCCCCAGACTGGAGATGGGGTGAACGATGCCCCTGCCCTGAAGAAAGCTGAGATTGGCATTGCCATGGGCTCGGGCACAGCTGTGGCCAAGTCGGCCGCGGAGATGGTGCTCTCCGATGACAACTTTGCCTCCATCGTGGCTGCCGTGGAGGAGGGCCGGGCCATCTACAGCAACATGAAGCAGTTCATCCGCTACCTCATCTCGTCCAATGTTGGCGAGGTTGTCTGGTGAGGCCCGTTGCCCCTGCTCACAGCCCTCCACACAGAGAAAGCGTCTGTTCCGGGATAGGGCAGCAAGGATGGAGGGACACATGCCTCGTCCTGATGGGGGCTCCCGGGGCTTCAGCACCAACCTGGAAGCTCCCCCCATTCCTCTGTCTAACCTTCCTGCTTCCAGAGTGATATGAGATGGATGCACTAGCCCCGCCTTTGGACAGGGATGGATGGGGTGTGTGCTGGTGTGTGTTTGGATGTGCCTACTATGCACACGTGGGAGTGTACCTGAGTGAGGGTGCATGTCCGTGTATGCTCTTGTGCATCTTGTTTGTTTTTGTTTTGGGCAGGGTAGGGGCACATCTAGTGTTGCTTAGGGTGACACCTGGCTCTGCACTCAGGAGTCACTCCTGGCGGGGCTCAGGGATGCTGGGGATCGAACTCTGGTCAGTCATGTGCAAGGTGAGCACCATTCCCACTGTCCTATCACTCCAGCTCCTGATCTTGTGCACCTTTGGGCATGAGTATGAGCACATCTGAGGGGCAGAGGGAGCCTGAACCTGTGAATTCTGCAGCCATGTAGGTGTTGGCTCGTACTTGTGGGCTGGTATGGCGTGTGCTAGGTTTTTGTCCTGACCTTTCAGTCAGACCTAGACACCAGATCTGGACCCTCTTTGGCAAGAGCTAGAACCCATGACTTTGATTTCAGCATTTTCCTTACGGCAATTCTGGGTCTGCCTGAAGCCTTGATCCCTGTGCAGCTGCTCTGGGTGAACCTGGTGACAGACGGCTTACCTGCCACGGCCCTGGGCTTCAACCCTCCAGACCTGGACATCATGGAGAAGCTGCCCCGGAACCCTCGCGAGGCCCTCATCAGTGGCTGGCTCTTCTTCCGATACTTGGCTATTGGAGGTGAGCAGGGGGCCCAGCTCTGGGTCGGATTCCCGGAGATTCCTAAGGCTAGCAAAGTGCAAGTCTTCTCGCTCTGACTGTTATGCCCAAGGAAACCTGGGTCTCGTGTCTCTTGGAAGATGCTGCCCAGGTATAACTCGATGCAGGATTCCGACATATTTGGGCTGTGCACCTTCCGCTTTGCTCTCAGCTCGGTGCTTCCTGGAGTGACAGAGTGGCTGCTGCAGCTCCAGCCCTCAGGCTCATCCTGTTTCAAACTTAAACCCAGCAGGAGAGAGCCTTCTATGTTGCTCTTTCTGTGTCATGATAGTAGTCTTGGGCCTGTTCTCCTTAGCCCAAATTGGTCATCTGGCCAGTCAGAGTGGCCACGGGGTGTGACTGGTGCCAACTGCTCCTCAGCACTGACTCGGCACTGGTGCTGAGGGGTAGATGGCTACAAACCTCTTGGCTTAGAGAGGAAGAGGGTGGTGTCCCGAGGGAAGTTCAGCCCGGAAAGGGATCATCAGGAAGGGAAGGGGACAACACTGGTGTCACAGCCTCCTGCCTCCTGCCTTCTGTGCAGTGTACGTCGGCCTGGCCACAGTGGCTGCTGCCACCTGGTGGTTCCTGTACGACGCAGAGGGACCTCACCTCACTTTCTACCAGCTGGTAAGTGAACTGCCGGCCAGAGGCTGAGCGAGCTTGTTTATTCCATGGAACTGTCAGTCAATTGCAGTTAGTTGAAGTCCCAGGGAAAGGAGATCTAGAAGTCCTTGCTGGCCAACTGTCTTCTCTCCACTCCCGTCCATACATAGACATTCACCACCAAAGGGGCACCAAGCCCGGAAGCCCAAGAATCCAGAAGTTCCAAGCATGTCATTGTCTGCTGCCCCAGAGAACGGGAGATCTCACTCCTTCTCCTTATCATCGTTAGATGGGGGTGAGGGGAACCAGAGGACATCACTGCATGAAGTGTCCTGCCTTATCAGAGAACCTCCAAAACATTTTCAATTCCAAAACATTGATCACTGGGCCAGAACCATAATCCAGCAGGCAGGGCACTTGCTTTGCATGCAGTTGACCCAGGTTCAATCCCTGGCATTCCATACAGTCCCTTGCATGTGCCAGTATTGATCACTGAGTGCGAAGCCAGGACTAAGCTCTGAGCAGCATCAGGTGTGCCACCTCCTCAAAAAAAAAAAAAAAACCTCAGAGCACTGATAGCTCAGAGAATTGAGCCCTTTGACGGTAGAGCTCCAGGCAGAAGGTCCAGTTGTTCTCATGAACCTGCGAGGCTCTCCCACCATCCCCAGGGCCCCGGTTGAGAGCTGAGACACGTGTCTCAGGAAAGGGGTCCACTAATCTCTTGTAGTTACCTTAAAGGGGTCGGCTTGGGCCAGACCACTGGACTGCTCATCCCAGCTCTGGTGTTTGCTTGTGTCTGACTCTTAAGACTTAAATTTCCTGAGCGAGTCCAGGGAGAGGGCTGAAGTGCATGTTGCATGCCGGAGGCGGGGTTCATCGCCACACTGCTTGGAGCCCCCGGGTGGGCAGCGACTTCCCAGCACTGACCGAGAGGAGCAGCATAGCACCACTGGCCGGGGCCCCGGACAACCCTCTTAAAGTAGCAAACCACGCCAAAGAAACCCTGTGTCCTTGCCACACGTGCTGGAACTTGCGTTTTGAACATTCCACTGTTCATTGAAATGAGATTTGTTTAAATGAAGGTGGAAGCGCTGGGCAGGAAATAAGATTCTCTGTCCCTTGGTTCAAACGTGGAATCCACGCCCCCATAGTGCTGCCTGTGATTTGTAAACTTCGTGAGAGAGAGAAACAGGGAGCGGCAGCGACCCCTTGTGGCCTGTGGTGGCTCCTGCGTGTCTGCAACGTGCGGGGCAAAAACCCAGACAAGCTCCCTGGGCAGGTCAGAGAGAGCGACGTTTTTCTCAGCCTTCTCCCCGACAGTGATTTTCACAGATCAGCCCCAGTTCCTATGCCCGGAGCTGAAATCATCTATGTATTTAGAAGAGTCCAGAGGACAGATTTATACTGCTTGGGGGTGGGGCTGTATAACGGTTAGGATGACTCCTGCCCCCACTCGTGCAATGCTCTGATTAAGACCGAAGTTTCCGTGAAAGGCCTGGGCGGCCTCTTATCTGAGTGGAATCTGTGAGCAAGGTTTATGAGCAGGAAGAAAACTCCCCTGGGGCACCCAGCAGCCCTGCTTCCTTTTGGGGGGGGTTGTTTTGTTTTTGTTTGGAGCTAGGATGCTCAGGAGTCTGTTCTGGCATCCCTGGGGGGACCCTATAGGATGTCGCTGGACCCTCTGCACTCTGGTTCCCGGACCTGCTTTATTTATGGAACCACTAGAGCTTGTTACTTACAAAGAAGCCTGCTAATAAGCGAGCAGCTGGCAGTTCATTAGTCCGTGTCCTAAGCAAACAGAAGCAGGTCTGGTTGCAGGAGCTGGGTTGCGGCAGCAGCAGTAAGTAGTCTGATTATTGTGGGGTGCGGGGAGCACGCCTTGCTGTATGTGGGGGCTGCTCCTGGCTCGTTGCCTGGTGGATCTTGTGGTTCTGGAATGGAACCTGTGATTTCCACGTGGGCAAAGCTTAAGCCCAGCCCTTCGAGCCAGCTCCTTGCCCTTCGCAGAGTCTCATTTCCTGCCCAGGTGTAGGGTCTTCATCATCTACCCATTAATGGGGAATTTCACTCAAGCATTACTGGCTTTTGTGTTTTCTTGGTGCTTCCGGCTAATCAGGGCCCCTCCTATGCTTCAGATCCTTAGTCAGCCTCCCCACCCATCACCCCATCTGTACTTTGGGCCCTTGCCCCATTCCAGCGCCCCCTGATGTCTGCTCCCAGCTGGTGCCCACTGCTCCTCTCTGATCCTGTGCCCCTGCCCAGAGGTGTCTGCTACTCCATGGTTCAGCGTCCGCACCCCTGTCCAGGTTCAGGGCAACCCCTTGCCTTCTGATGGTACTGAATCCTCACACGTGGGCTGAGGGAAGACGGAAGTATCCCTGTGCCACCCTTGGCCACTCACCCCTGCTACTGCTCTCTGCCCTAGAGGAACTTCCTGAAGTGTTCCAGTGACAACCCACTCTTTGCCGGCATCAACTGTGAGGTCTTCGAGTCCCGCTACCCCACCACCATGGCCTTGTCCGTGCTGGTTACCATCGAAATGTGCAATGCTCTCAACAGGTGAGCTGAGGCTTAACACTGGGGGCTCAGGGCCAAAGCAATCGCACAGCACCAGGATACAGCCTGGAACCTGGGTTTGATCCTTGGCACCCCAGATGGTCCTCCAAGCCCGCCAGGAGGGATCCCTGAGTGCAGTCAGGAGTGAGCCGAGTATACCCAGGTACAGCGACCCAAATCAAAGAAAGACTGGGGGTTCAGTGTCAGGTTGGAACCAGAGTTGGGGTCAGAAAGTGCCCAGGGGGGCTGGAGCGATAGTACAGCGGGTAGAGTGTTTGCCTTGCACGCGGCTGACCCAGGTTCAATTCCCAGCATCCCGTGTGGTCCCCTGAGCACTGCCAGGAGTAATTCCTGAGTGCAGAGTCAGGAGTAACCTCTGTGCATCGCCAGGTGTGACCCCAAAAGCCAAAAAGAAAAGAAAAAAAAGAAAGTGTCCAGGATTGTGGGTCTTAGGGTTCAGGATTGGCTGTGAGGGATGGGAATTCAAGGATCTGGGATTGGGGTCTGAGAGTCAGAAGGATCCAGAAAGAGCTCAGAATCTGTCAGGGCCAGAATTGGGACACAGAAGACAGAGAGGACCCAAAGCCACATATGAGGAGGTCAGAGGGCTGGGGGCCCTGTGGGGGTCAGAGGAAAGGGGTCCAGGTCTCAGCACGGTCCTCTGCGGACAGTAGTACCACCCAGCCTTGCCCTGGCCCACAAAGGACGCCAGCCATCAGGTCTGCTGACGGGAGCCTGGCTCCCATCCCACCGCTCCTCACCCTGTACCCTTGGCAGCGTCTCGGAGAACCAGTCGCTGCTGCGGATGCCACCGTGGCTCAACCCCTGGTTGCTGGCAGCCGTGGCCATGTCCATGGCACTGCACTTCCTCATCTTGCTGGTGCCACCCCTGCCTGTGAGTCGCCCGCCCCTTCCCCCACTAACTCAGAGTCCCCTCCCTTGCCCCCCCCCACACCACCCACTGAACTTACCTACCCTGGCTGGTCGCTGGGTACAAACCCTGGCAGGGGTAGAGCAATGGGACAGCGGGTAGGGTGTTTGCTTTCATGCAGCTGACCCGGATTCAATCCCTGGCATCCCACATGGTCCCCTGGGCTCATCAGGCAGAGCCAGAAGTAAACACTGAGCGTCACTGGGTGTGGCCCAAGATCAAAAAAGAAAAACACCAAACCACCTGGTGGCCAGGGATGGCAATCAGGATACTCGGTCACGTGCCTGGGCAGACCTGGGCTGGCCACTGTCCTCCAGGTGGGTCCCCTGCCTCGGGAGGACCAGGGACCAGGAGTCTCCTGCGGGGGTCAGTGAGAGAAACCGTCTTCCTGGTTTCCCCTCCCACCCATGTGGGGGCCTTAGAATCCAGAGCGGGAAGTCCCCCCTTTAGCCAGACCCTCCACTCAGAGTCTGGTGTGGGCAGCCCTCCTTTTAACCAGACCCCTCCCTACAGCTCATTTTCCAGGTGACCTCCCTGAGTGGGTACCAGTGGATAGTGGTGCTCCAGATTTCTCTGCCTGTCATCCTGCTGGACGAGGCCTTCAAGTACCTGTCACGGAGCTGCCTGGATGGTGAGAGCCGCCTGGACTCTTTGCTTCAGCCTCCTCTCCTGTCCAGGGATGGGGTGGGAGGGTGGGTGGGGGAGGTCAGGTCCCCAGTGGAGGGTGGTATGGAATGCAGTCTGCAGGGGGGCATTGCGGGGGGCCTCACTGTCTACCCAGCCCCTCCTCTACTCCTGGCTAGCTTCATCCGGGCATCTGCAGGTGTGGGGGGGTCCCCGCTCACAGCCGTCAGGCATTGCCTCGCGGGTGGGCAACAGGGGCTCTCCATGCCTGTGGCCAGAGCTCTGTCTCTCCCTTCCCCAGACAGGAGGACGCACAAGCAGGGCTGGGGTGGAGGGGGTTGGGATGGAGCAGGGTGGGTCTGGCACTGGTCTGTCTGCCGAGAGAGGGGCCATTCTGGAACCTTCTGGAAACTTCTGAGGGCTCGGGAGGCTCCCCACTGATAGGGCTTCCCAGTGAGGGAGGATGTGGGTGAGCCCTGCCAGCCAGGGCCTGGGAGTCTGAGCCCAGCGCCATGACCCCCCCTCCAACCCCAGACCCAGACGCCTATGAAGGGTCCCAGTAATAGCTGAGGCCTGTGTCGGGCGTCTGGGTCCTTGAGGGTCACCTCTGGCAGGAATGTGTCCCGGCCCCGGGGAGTGCCTGCGGTGGGACTATAAATAGAGCACGTGCCTGTCATTCCCGGCCCCGCCATGCACCGGCCCCCATCTCCCACGCTGCGCAGCCCTCAAGGGGCCCGCTAAGACTTGATTTTTTTTCAAAAGACATAAACAAGTTGGCCCCCGACTCCCAAGAGCAGCTGCCCACCCCGGGTCCACTCGGGGCAACCGGACATGGGAGGCCACCCCCGCAGGGGATGGTGGGTGTGGCAGAGACCCCGGGGAGGCGGAGGCACTCTGGCTCCCAGGTAGCTGTCCACCCGTCCTTGCCACAACCCTCGGAACTGAGGAGGGTTTGGACATGGGTCTCCCTGGAAGTGCCCTCCAAGGGCGCCCACAGCCTGCCCGGCTGTGACGGGAGCAGGGCCAAGTGTCCGGAGACGGAGCAGCAGCCTTGCCCGCACTCTCACCCGCCGGCCCGGCCCCAGCACCACCAGACGAGAATGGCTGGGGCTGACCCTGGTGGCCAGCGCCTGCCTTGCGGACACAGTGCCCCAAGAGGGGCGGCTCATTTTCTCAAGGAGCCTTGAAAGTGAGAACGGTTTCTGCCCAGGACTAAAATTACTCAGCCACTGGGGAAAAGCCCGGGTCTGTGCGCAGGATTTGGAGGACCCCTAATGGAACAGGGCTGGGCTGGGGCTGGTTTCTGGAAGGGGAAGGAGATGCACGGAGGAAGGGGGCCCTCTGGAGAAGGCGCCCCGAGGGAAGGACGGTGTGGCAGGGTGCGTGCCAAGGGGTGGAAATGAAGAACACTGACTGGACTTGACCCTCAGGGCACTGGGAGCCCCAGGATGGGGGGGAGCACAGGAGGCCTGGGGGGAGTGGGAGGAACTCGATCAAGGCCGCCCCAAACCGGTCAGCCAGCCGTGTCGAGCCATTCTGCACGTCTTGGGGCGTGAACGTGAAGAGGGTGCCCTGCTGGAGGGAGTGACCCTAGGCCACAGGACGGACTTGGGCTGGGTGCCTGCCGCCCAGGGGATGTGGGGTGCTGTGACCCACAGGAAGCCCAGGTGCTCTGGCCCGTGAGGCAGCCGGTGGGGGGAGGTGGTGCTGGGGAGAGAGGGACCCCGCCGCAATCTCACACCAGCTGTGGCCTTTTAGGGAAGTTTTGCTGGATCCTGATGCTCCTCGCTTCCCTGTGATTTATGGGGGAGAATTGTGGACACCGCTCTGCCCCTGGGGACAGGGGAGGGGCGGGGTTGGTCTTACCCCACCTCCTGGCTCTGCCCAGGTGTGGCTGAGCTGCTGTCAGATGCCCCGTGGACATGGCGGCTGGGGGTGGGGATAGACATGGGGGCTCGGGAGAGGAGGGAGGCGTGCCTGCATCATTCTGGGGGATTGGGGATGGGGTAACAGGATGCCCGGGGCAGGCGGTGGCGGTGAGGACTAGAGAAGGCTGGGAGAGAGGGTTGAGGCCCAGAGTCTGTGTGGATGGGGTTCAGCCTGGCCGTGCCCAGGATCCTGGACTTCCTGATGCTGGCCGGTGGGTCTCCAAACGCCAAACCCAGAGCAAACAGTCCCCTGGGGTTGGCTGGTCTGGGGGTGTGAATGAAGACACGGAATGAAGACCCCCTTGCCCAACGCACACCCCCCACCCTCGCAGGGGGCTTGTGTCAAAAGCCAGCCAGGGCATCAGGACTTGGGAGGCGCAGCAGGTGGGGGTGCAGGAGGTCGGGAAGGAGCGAGGACAGGGCCAGGTGGACATGGCCTCACACGCGCTCTCGGGTCTCTCCTGCAGAGGACAAGGAGCAGAAGTAAGCGCAGGGCCCGCGTGGGTGCTCCTGCTCCACCGCCCGCCTCTGCTTGCCCGTTCCTCACCCGGCCACGCTGAGCCCCGGACGGCCACCCCCAGCCTCGGCATCAGGAGCCCCCAACTTCTGTCCAACCGTGGATGTGCTGTGTATGGGAGACTTGGCCCCTGAAGTTCTGGCCTGGGAGCCACGGCCTGGAGCTGAATGACCGACCCAGAAGCTGGCGGCGGCGGTGGTGACGGAGGTGCGGGCAGCGCCCAGCCCACATGCCCAGAGCACATTCCAGGGCCGGGCCGTCCCCTCGGGGACTGGCGCCACTGCCCTGATGGGGTCTCCCAGGGGCCCCCGCAGCCTCTCTTGGGCCTCCTCCTAGGGTGCTCGGGACATCTGGGCCCAGCTGTGCAGCAGGGCCGCAAGCACACGCCCCTCCACGCTGTTTCCACAGAGTCGGCCTGTTCCTGTTTATATGTGTGTGTGGGGGGGGTGGAAGGTCAGAGAGGGACACGGGAGGAGGACAGGGTCTGCGCGAGGAGACGGCCTGCCTGCCCAACTCAGGGACCCGGTCTCTGCGCTCCACCCGCCTCCCAGACAGAGCTTGGGCTTGCCCTGAGACCCTGGCCCCCTACTCCCTTTCCCCCCCACCCTGCTCCCCCTTCCCCTCCCAGGAGGCCACATCAGGGCCCCTGTGTCAGGGGCCAGTCAGTGCTGAGTCCTGCGGACCACGGGCCTCCCACTGCCCCCCCACACACACACTGTGACAAAAGGAAGTGATAAAGGCTGGCTGACGTCATGGAGGGAACCATTGGTCTCCTGCGGGAAGGGACGCGTGTCCATGTGGCTCATGTCACAGGACAGGAAAAGAGCTTGTCGTGAGTAGGAATATTCCCTTAACTCAGCTTTTGCCCCTTTGGCAAAAAATTAGTGTAGAAGAAAGCAGTGAAAAAGTGAGCCCCCCCGCCCTCATCTAGAGACTCACCGAGTGACGGTTTTCTGCGTCAGTCGAGACTCACGTTCTAGTCCTAGTCCTCACAACCAAAAGCAACAGACCTGCCTGTCAACAAATAGACTCCCCATTCATTGTGGCCCCTCCCTTCCATAGAAGGTTCCAGAGGATCGGTGGAGACTGTTTCTTTCCTGCTGGGGAAAGGAGTGAGGGTGGGCTGGGGTCCATAGTAGGGCTGGACCCCGTGCACACCTGCTGACACACAGTCTGGTAGAGAAATAAAGGTTGAGTCCCTGGGGCCATGGGGTGTCTCTCTTCCTGGCTTCCTGGATGGTGCCCCCAGCATCAGCGTGCCTGCGTGGGGTCCCCGCCCCACCCCAGGAAGCTGGGCAAAGCACGGGACTCACATCACCCACCAGCCACAGTTCCTCCGCCTGTGAGACAAGACTTGGAGAGGCCTGACTTCCGAGGCCGCTGCTGCTGACCTGGACAGTGCTGGGATCTATGCATGTGCCCACTCTCGCAGGCACGCTCCTGTCTGCAGGGCACCCGTGAGGAGATGGCCCCAGGCTGGGCCTGGTACATGACTCTCGGGCTGCAAACAGTTACATAGGGGCCCTGAGCCCAGGGACTCTTGAGGCTTCTGCCTCTCACCCAGAAATTTCTCACCGTGTCCCTCCCTTCCTCAGACCCTGGAGACCCCTTTCGTGCCCTTCTAAGTCCAGCTCAGATGTACCCCCAAGACCTCTCTGGAGAGGGCTCACTCTCCAGCAGCGTTTGTGTTTTCCTCTGGGAGCTGGGGGCTGGAGCTATAGTACAGGGGTAGGATGTTTGCCTTGCACACAGTGGACCCGGGTTCCATCCCCGGTGTCCCATGTGATCCCCTGAGTACCACCAGGAGTAATTCCTGAGTGCAGAGCCAAGAGTAGCCCCTGAGTATCACCACGGGTGACCCAAAAGAAAAAAAAAACCAGAGATGGAATCCAGGGCCTCATGCAGAGCGAGCACCAAGGGTGAGCCATGCCCTGGCTCCCAGAGGCTGAGACTCACTCCCGACTGCCCTGAGGCTGGGGCTCTGGGCAGGGGAATGGCCTCGTCCATTCTGCAGCTCCTTGTCCTTCTCTGGAGAAAAGCCCCACTTCTACATCTCCGCTGCCACCCAGTAGTTGTGGGAAGAAGGCGTAGGCCAAAAGATATAACTACTATATAATTGGTGGGCCCGGTGCAAAATATACATGTGGAGATCCTCATTCAAAAAGAGCAGGATTTGGGGCTGGAGCAACAGCACAGCGGGGAGGGCATTTGCCTTGCACGCGGCCAACCTGGGTTCGATTCCCAGCACCCCATATGGTCCCCTGAGCACCACCAGGAGTGATTCCTGAGTGCAGAACCAGGAGTAACCCCTGAGCATCACCAGTGTGACCCAAAAAAGCAAAAAAAGGAAAAAAACAGGATCTGGGGCCAGGGAGATAGATCCCAGGCTGGAGCACATATTTGCACACAGGAAGCCGAAGTTGAATCCCTGATGCGACACAGTCCCTGTGCACCACCAGGAGCGACCCTGACACCAAGGTAGAAGTTGGCACTGGGCACATGAAAGCAAACAAAGCATTTCGTAATGGTTAAAAAACACATGATGGGGTAAGGCTCCTGCCTCGGGGGCTGGAGCGATGGTACAGCAGGTAGGGCATTTACCGTGTATACGGCTGACCTGGGTTCGATTCCCGGCATCCCATATGGTCTCCGCAGCACTTCCAGGAGTGATTCCTGATTGCAGAGCCAGGAGTAACCCCTGAGCATCGCCAGGTGTGACCCCCCCCCCCAAGAAAGATAAGACGCCTGCCTTGCTCGTGGCTGGCCCAGGTTCCATCCTGGCACCACATATGGCTCCCCAAGCATCACTAGGACTGATTCCTGGGCACAGTCAGGAACCCTGAGCACCCTGCGGTGTGACCCCAAACAAATTTCCCAACAGTGACACCAAATGCAGGGCCTGTGAGCACAGGTGTGAGGTGTGGAGGTGGCACATTGACAGCTCTTGGGGACAGGACTCGCCTCCTGCTCACCATGGGGACCTGGAGATTCTCCCGCCTACAAGGCCCACGTGGAGGAACCGTCAACTAGGAAACTTCCTGTTGGGGCTGGTCCCCAAGGGGCCTCTACCAGCTGCCCAGAGGACATGAGGGCTGTTTCAGACACGAAGAGCCCACGACCCGCTGGAAGGCTGACCATGTAGCTGGTCTGGTCCTGGTGGACAGGCAGGGCACCGAGCTAAGACAGGGGATGCCTCAGCTCTGGCGGTCCCAGCGCTGGGTCGGGTGTTTGCCTCCACCCCAGCCAGGCCTGCCGAAGTCCAGCCTTGTCCAGCGCACAGCATGGAGCCCCACAGGCCAAGACGGGGCGGCCAAGGTAAACAGAGGCTTCCTACCTCACAGCCGCTCGCCCAGGAGGGAATTCCGGGGCAAGCCTCAGCACACTTCTTGCTGGCTGCGTGATAGCCGCTGCCAAGATGCCCACGGCTTCCCCAGCCCCTCCGGAGGCCAAAACTGCTCACACGACCGCCCGGCCAGGATCAGAGGGACCGTGGGGAGCAACACTGGGACAGATGGAGGAGCAAACCCAGAAAATGAGACGGGAACATGTCCACTCACAGACCCAAAGCCCAGGGGCCCCGTGGGGAAAGGAGAAGTCTGGCCACACGTCCGTGCAATGGGACACCCCTCTGATGACGGAAATGCGCTTCCTGGGGCCAGGGAGAAGATGACAGCCCAGTCACTGTGGGTCCACCTCCATGAAACGAGGGAAGGCAAAGCTGTCGGCAAAGCCCTGGGCACGGGGCAGGCGCAGGGGAAGATTTGCTGCAACAGAAGGGGAGATGGCAGGAGGGGGGACGCACTGATCAGGCTCAGCAAACCACCGAATATGGTGCATTTCATAGTTCATACATGACACCTCGGTAGAGTTTGACGGAAGGAAAGAAGGGCAGGAGGCGGGAGGCCTGCAAGTCCTGCTCACCCCCGCTTCAGCCTTAGCCACAAGCAGGAAGGGTCAGTGTTTGAGGGGTGGGGCCCAGACCTAGGCGTCCACACACTCCAGAGCAGGAAGTGGTCAGGGACCAAGGGGAAGTGATGCAAAAAAAATGGAGAAGCTGCGTGGCACATGGCGTGCACCATACGTGCCCACAGACTTTCAGCAGGAAAGACTCATTGGGTGGTCTGGGCAATGCCGGAAGCCAGTTCCTTCCCAGGGACCCCTGCTGACCTCCTCGGTGATCTCCACACCCTTGTTAGGCTGGCGCAGGGTGCTGTTGTGGTGGGGTCTTCAGGGCTATGCTGTTGGTGTCTCCCTGGGAACCCGGGCAGGCTCAGAGCATGTGGAGTGGGTGGGAATCAGAATTGTGGCTCTTGTGGCCTTGTGACCTAGGTGGCCAAGGAAACCTAAGGGCCTGTGAGGACCCCCTTGAGGGACTGGGCAGGCCTCCAGGACAGGCAAGGCCCCCTCCAAGCTCCCAGAGATGCTAAATTTAGCCCGGCAGGGAGGTTGGCCTGGGGCTGGGCTCTTGGCAGCACTGTGTGTCTCCCTACAAGGTCTGGCCCAGCACCCGAGCCGGCCACCCGGCCTTTGGGCTTATAAGGCAGGTCTGGCAGCTTTGAGAGCTGCAGTCCTGGGGTGGCATTGGGCCAAAATCTCAAACTTTGGGGAGCCGGCAGGGGAGCTACTTACAGTGTGACCTTGGTCCCCTTCCAAAGTCTCAGTTTCCTTTTCTGTACAATGGGGATGCTGGCACGTACCGCACACACGGCTAGTGTGGATTCCAGGTGTGAAGGCCTTGTGTCCTCAACCTACCCACATGGTCCAGAGCAAAGCCAGGTAGGTGTCTGTCCCTAGGGGTGCTGGAGTGGGTGTCCCGAGGAAAAGCATGGAGTCCAGTCCAGAGAGACGCTTTTCATTTATTTGCTTGTTTGGTTGGTTGGTTGGTGACGCTCAGGGGTTACTCCTGGCTGTGCACTCAGGAATTACTCCTGGTGGTACTCAGGGGACCATGTGGGATGCTGGGAGTTAAACCTGGTACAAGTCACGCATGCAAGGCAAGAGCTCAACCCTTGTCCCAGGACCTCTACTATCTCTCCAGCTCTCAGAGAGGCATCCTGGCACCAGCAAGGCATCCACCCCACAGCTGGCCGCCCTCCTCTTGCAGATACTCACAAAGAACAAAATTGGAGGGGGGAGAGAGGGTGTCGATGGTGGCTTTTGTTTCTCTTGGGGGGCGTGGGGGGAGGCTTGGCAGTTAAACACAGCCCTGGATGAGGTGTTCCTCCACGCCCAGCTCCCTAGCCAGCACAGGAGTCCCAGGCAAGACTGTTCGTCCCCGGCACCCTCAGCCCATCATCAAGTCTGGCTCCTCAGAGCGGGCAGCAGAGGAAATACCAGGCAGGGAGACAGACTTAGCCACGGGAGCTGTCCCCGACCCCTGCCCAGGATGTCCATCTAGGAGGGCTCTGCCGGCACAGGCCGCACACCCCCTCGCGTGTCCGGGGGCTGCTATTCCAGCAGTCCTGGAGTCAGCTGGGACGAGGACAGGCCCTTTGTCTCGGGCCCTGTTCGCGCAGGGGTGCAGCAGCCGTCGCTCTGGTTTCCAGCAGCCCTGCGGCCCACGGCTCTCCCCAGGCTGCTGTCAAAGAGATGCAGATGCTGTGATTGGCCGCACCCTTGCCCGGCCAGGCAGCTGTTTGATGGCGATTGTCTGTTGGGCCCAGGGGTTGTGGGGGCTGTCTGGGGGTGGGGGTGGAGGGGAGCCTTGCTCCACTCAGACAGGAAGTGGGGTTCCTAACGCTCCTCTGGCTGCCTGCCCAGAGCAGCTTCCTGGCCACAGGCCTGTCAGGAAGGAGACTCAGAGCAGCTTCTTCTGGGCAGTTTGCACAGGGGGCCATGGGGAGTCTGAATGGCCACCCCCCACCTGTCCCCCCTCAGACACAGCCGCCCGAGGGACAGCTGAGGGTGCCTTCACCTCCAGTGCGCGGGGGAGCGTGGCAACTCTCCCACCCCCACCCCCACCCCAGCTCTGAGCTCTGGTTCCTCCTCTGTGACAGGGGTGTAGTGGGGAGGATGATGGACAGGCTCTGGGGCTGGGGGCAGTGTGCCGAGAGCCCCAGACTCAACAGTGGCCTCCGGTCCTTGTCCCGGGACCTCTGCCCCCACTGTCCAGTGGAAAGGGTGTCCCAGCTAGGTCCTGACAAGTGACAGATATGGCCCTGGTGTGTTGAGTCACCGCCGCCCTCTTTGCTCAGGAGAAGGGCAGGGGGCTGGGTGGGGACAGATGTGTGGAGGGTGGGGACCGTCCCTGGTTCCTGCACTGAGGTTCACTGACACAAGCAGGCTGGGGAATGGGTGTACAAGGATGGGGTGGGGGTCTTTGAGGAGTTCAGGAAGTTCCGTGCCAGCGCCCTCCGGGCCTCCCGGCTGCCCAGCCAGGATCCCTCCTGGACATCCTGGACAGGGGCTGGGTGGGCAGTGTTGGAAGAAGGGGCTGGGTCCTGAGGTGGGAGCTTGGTGCTGAGCGAGGTCCCCACCCATGCCCGGGCCTGTGCGTGCCCCTAGCTCGGCCATGCAGGTCTGGGGATGCCGATGGCTTTATCTCTGCTCTGTGAGGAGTGGTCAGTGGTTTCCTGCCAACAGCTCCTGTTTCCGGAGGCCCAGCAGGGCCCAGGCGGAGCCAGGAGAGGCAGTGGGTCGGGCCTGGGTGGCCCCCCCAGCCCCGCCCCCAGCTATCTTTGGGAATTTATTTGTTCACAGGCGGGGCTGCCTGCAGTCCACTGCCTGCCAGGGGCCTTGAGCGGCTCTGACCACCCAAAGGTTCTCCTGACTGGCCAGGCACTTGCAGCTGACCTCTGGCCTGGCCGCCCCCTCTTTGCTGATCAAGGGCAGTGGCACCTCGGGGGGGGGGGGCTCCCTGGAGAAGGGTGCACACCCTACACCTCCCGGGTCCTGAGGCAGAGCGGCCAGCATGGCGCGGCGACTGCAGGAGGAGCTGGCCGCCTTCTTCTTCGAGTATGACACGCCGCGGATGGTGCTGGTGCGCAACAAGAAGGTGGGCGTCATCTTCCGCCTCATCCAGCTCGTGGTGCTGGTCTACGTGGTGGGGTGAGTCTGCGCCAGCCCTGGCCCCACCTGCGCCCACGCTCCGGCCACCCCCAGGGTGCCCCTTCCCTCCACGGGGGCCTTCTTCAGACAGACCACTTACTGCCCAGAAGGAAGGATGGGACGGGCACGATGTGGACATGGAGGCTGAGTGGGAAGAGCAGAGACACAGCCCCTGGGCTCCACGGGACATTCTCCCTGTAACTGTGTCCTCAGAGGGTGGCCTTGGAGAATAGGGGTTCCCCGAGCCATAACCAGAGTCCTTCCACCTTGGACCTCAGGCCAGACCAGGCCGCTTCTGGGATGAAGTTTGCGCCCTCGGTAAGACACAGAGAGTGCTGCCCACCCAGGGTGCTGAGACCCCCCACTCCACAGAGACCCTCAAATCCCAAATTCGTGTCCTGGTTCATAGATGCCCCCTCTGGATAGTCCCTCAATGCGGGTGAGGCAGCCCCAGGAGTCCAGGTAGGACTGGAGGGGACATCCCACACTCTGGCCTTGGCACTGTCTGGACCATGGGTGCCAGCATGTTGGTGGGTGGAGGGTCGTGCCCGGTGAGGGTCATGCCTGTAGTCCCCCTGATGGTCTCTGGGGTGAGATACAAGGTGGGAGGCCTCGTGTCCACTTCCCAGGACTCTCATAGGGCTCCTCCGGGCCACTGAAGCTCAGCCCTGCTGGGCTCTGCCTGACTCTCCACCCTGCCTGCCTGCCTGTGTGACTGTCAGGGTTTTGCCCCTCTGGTTTCCGTGTCCCCATTTTTGTTGTGGGTCCAGAGCAAGAGAGCTTCCCAGCCCAGGCGGAGTCCCCAGGATGCCAAATAGGGACCATGTGGTACTTCTCCCCAACCCCACCCCACACACACACAGACTCCTAGCAGCCTCCCTGACTCCCACCAGGTCCCAGAGTTGATCAGGAGGGACCCAGCCCCCTGACGACACTTTCAGCTCCTGTCTTCTCCTGTGCGCTCTCTCTCTCTCTCTCCTCTCTCTCTCTCTCTCTCTCTCACACACACACACACACACACACACACACACACATCTAACATGTGCACAGCCCAGGCACGGTGAAGAGGGTGCTTATCAGGGAAGCAAACCCCAGTTCCAGGCTCTGCCTTCTCCTCCCCGTCACACAGACTCTGAAACCCTTTCTGAAGGGGGCACGAGTCGAACCTCCAAACCATTTGTCTCACTCCTCACCCTCCAGGGAAGAGAGTGGCTGCTTTCCCGAGGCAGCTGGGAGAGTGGGGGGCCTCACTGTGGCCCCTTTGGCTCCCCACTTGCGTTGGCCCACACTGGGAGCAATGCCTGGACCCTCCTGTGTGTGGGGGGGGGGTGTCACAGAAAGATCAGAGGGAAAGGGATAGTATTGTTCAACAAACCTGAACAATACTCAAGTTTGTGCCCCGGGCCGCCATCCTGTCCTGTACACATCCTTCGGGGTGGCTCCCCACGCCTTCCCTCTCCGTGCCCGCCAAGGACAGCATCCACTCACTGCATCAGTGAGGCTGAGAGACGCCCTATGGTTTTGGCTGAACCTAAGAGGCAGCACCAGGACTTGAATCCAGCTGCGCGACTCCAGAGTCAGCCTTGACATCCAGGAAAGGAAACAGCGTCAGAGGTGGGCAGTGACCTGTCTGGATCCCGTAGCAGGGGAAGGCAGTGTCCCCGCAGCACTCCTAGCCCCATGCCTGCCTCCAGCGCAGACAGCGCGAGCGTAGATCGGCAGCACCTGCTGTCTCTGGCGCCCTCCTGTGGCCACTTCTTAGAGTTGCACGGACCTTGTCGCGAAGAGCCCTTAGAAGCGGGTGAAAGCCATAACTTGCCAGCACCTCCCATGGTCTCCCATCGGTTCCACAGGCTAAACACACTGGCCCTCTAAAGACACTGAGTGCGGGCCAGAGCGACAGTACAGTGGGTAGGGCATTTGTCTTGCATACAGCTGACCCGGCTCGACCCTCAGTACCCCATAGGGTCCTTTGAACCCACTAGGAGTGATTCCTGAGTACAGAGCCAGGAGTAAGCCCTGAGCACTTCTGGTTGTAGCCCCCCAAAACAAACACACAAAAAGACATTGCGTGCAGGTGCGATATTTCCCCTGAGGAAGGCAGCCTTTACTCAAGTGCCCAGCCCCAAGATCCCCTGTCTGAATGTTCTGTCCTGCGGCTGCTGCCAGAGTGACCATCAGAGTCCTGGAGCCCTAAGCAGACACAGCACAGGTGGGAGATGGACAGACACACAGAATTAGACAGAGGGACAGACCTGGTTGCTCAACCCCTGGGATGAAAAGAAGCCAGTCCCGAGACAGCACAGTCAGCAGCTCGCTTCAGACATGGGCTGGGGTCAGCGGAGGTGGCAGGCAGATGCTGAAAGCCTGCGCAGGGAAACTGAGGCTGTGCCTCTAGTGGTCACCTTCTGGGAAAATGGAGTGGGGGGAGAGGGGAAAGCAGGACTGAGGCCCTGGTGGACGCCCGCTCCTTAGCACTTGAAGTCAGATGGTTAATTTGCAGTTGGAACCATCCCCTGGGAAATGATGACCTTTTCCTGCTGGGGATTCGTGGGAGCTGGGCCGTCATCCTGGACTAGCAGGCCCATACAAGGAGTGTGCGGGGACATGTCCCTGACTATGGCGTTCAGGTCGGGGAGGAGAAAGGTGATGTGACTCCAGCAATAGGCAGGGCCCAAGAAGACTTGTGAACACTGCTTGGGGACGGGAGCCCAGGCAGTCTTCCTGGAATAAGTGAGCAAAGACCTCAGAGGCTGTGGACTAGGTAGGCCTGCACTTGCCTTTCTCCCAGGCCTCCCTGGACCCCATTCTCGTCTGCAGGCACCCCCGCACGCCCTTACAGGATCTCGAAATCAGATAGCCCTGAGATCTCTAAATAAACCCAATCAGGGATAAGGATCGACACAAATTATCCTGGGAATGTTTCTGTAGCATCATGTGTGTACCTGGTGCATGTCAGGCTCCTTGGGACAGAATAGGGCACGAGGGCCAGGAGCAGCTGAGGGGGAGGGAGGAGCTGGGTCTGAAGCAGCTGACACCTTTGCTTCCTATGACAGCTGTCCTCTCAAAAGGGAGGTGGGGCTGTTGGCTGCTTTATGGAACTAAAATCCCAATGTGGGTATCAGACCTGGCTGGACTTTCCATGATGAGGGCACAGGAAGAGCCAGCCCTGTGGGGAGATGACAAGCTCAGGTTGGTCCCCTGGGCGTTCCCCGGGCTGGTTGGGTTGTGGTTGCACATCCTCTCTGGAGGCCTCATTCCTGAGCAGGTCTTGGCGGACAGTTTCCAGCCGTCGTTTCACCAGCTCCAGCATTTCTGGCCCATGAGTGTCTCTTCTTGAAGAGTTTCAGCTGAAATCCCAGGTCTGGCTTGTGTCTTTACAGGGATCCCAGCAGTGCTCGGCCCGCTGGCATGGGCCTGCAGGTTGCAGCTTGGGTTAGCAAAACTCAGGACACCAGGGCTACAGCTGGTCAGTAGACGAGATGAGTTAGTGGGATCAAACTCAGAAACTCAGGGTTTAGTGTATCATAGGCCTGTGCTCTGCCACTGGCGCTGTCTCCCTGCCCACATCCATCTCTTATATGCTGGGATTAGGTCATGTGCCCACCTCAGAACCAATCGTCGTGGCCAAGGAAATGAGATGCTCTGATGGACAGAGCCAGCTGTGCGCTCACCCTGGCACTGGCTTTCCTGATGAAGGTGGTGTAATCAAAGGTCCTGGGGCAGGACAGGAGCAGTGGAAGGACCCTAGGGTTAGGCTTCAAGGTTGTGGGGAAGCATGGAAGGATCCAGGGGAGACTTGGGGGTGGGGGTGGGCTGGGCCCCTGGCTCCGGTCTCAGACACCCATCTGAGCAACCTGGACTCTCTCTGTGGCCAGGGCTGAGTGCTGGACGGGTGTCTGGCAGGAGTAAACAGGAGTGGGCTGGGAGCCGCAGCGCTGGGGTGTGAAGGCAGAGGCAGGACAGCTGTGGAAGGGCAGCAGTGACAAGGCAGGATTCTGAGCCAGACAGAAGCATTGAGCAGAGAGAGAGATGCCTCTGCCCGGCACTTAGCACCTGGGATGCCAGGCCCACTGGCTGCAGGCATCTGCGTAAAGCAGGGGAGAACTTCCATTTCTCAAGAGTGCTGGGACACGGAGCTTCGGGTAAAAGGAATACCTCAGACAGAGGTCTAGGTCTCCTTCCAAAACCAAACACAACCAGAAATGTGAATCTTGACCCAACTTTGCCTTTCTAAGGACACACTGACAAACTTCTGAGCCCATCACTCTGGACTCAGATGCCCCAGGGAGATCTGCCCTGTGGCACATGCCCGTGTGACCCCTGCTAACACTCTGTGTCTCTGCGCCCACCCCCTCTCCCCCGGACTCTGTCAGAGGCACTGAGGCTTCCTGGATCCTTGCCATCTCTGTCTCCCCACAGCAAATGCCTCTGAGCACTCAGGTGGAAGCCAAGAGGCAGAAGGACAGAAGGACCCAAAGACAGTCCGCCAGTGGGCATGAGGGCATGAAGGTGCCTGAGGCCAGAAGAGCGGGCTTCCACGAAGAGGAGGGCACACAGGGGCAGGTTCTGAGGAGACTTGAGGCCTATAGGTTGTCAGGTTGAATTTTTGCTCTGAGAGCTAATTCATGTCCCTATTAGAATATACAATCCAGGGACTGGAGCAGTAGCACAGTGGGTAGGGCGTTTGCCTTGCACACGGCCGACCCGGGTTTGATTCCCATCCTATATGGTCCCCTGAGCACCGCCAGGAGTAACTCCTGAGTGCAGAGCCAGAAGTAACCCCTGTGCATCTCCAGGTGTGACCAAAAAAAGCAAAAATAAATAAATAATAAAGTTTGGAATAAACAATCCAGGAGCCAGAGAGATAGTTCAACGGGGAAACGGTTTGCCTTGCATGCAGCTGACCCAGGCTCAATCCCTGGTATTCCGTATGGTCCCATGAGCCCAACCAGGAGTGACCCCTGAGCACAGAGCCAGGAGGAAGTCCTGAGCACCACCAGTGTGGCCCAACAACAAAACAAAGAGAAGTGGAGACCGTGAAGCTGGGAGGTTTGTTTATCATGTGTGTGCCGTGACCCAGGCACTGCATGAACTTCCTGAGAGCACTCTTGAGAGAGTTCTCAAGAGAACAGCGCCAGCAGTCACCTCCACTCTCCCGGGGGGCCGTTGGTGGCACTGGGAACGGGGGCACCTGGAGATAGGCAGGCTGTGCTGAGAACAGAATGGAAGGAATGGACAGGAGAATTGCTGGGGTCCTAGGCATCCAGGCCCTGCCGGAAGTGACCACAGGTCAGTGTGAGCATTGGGAGGGCCAGGCCTGGCCCCAGGGCTAAAGTCAAACCAGACTGGATGTCCCCCAAGAGCCCAGGGCTGACAGCCACCAACGTTCCTGCTGCTCCGGGTCCTGCTGACACCCACACTTCAGACTGCTCAGTTCAAGACTGGCTCGGGTTCAGGACAGCCCACCAAGCCGCCCCTTCCCTACCCCCCGACCCCCGCTTTCCACAGAGGAGCCTGCCTGAGACAAAGCGCAGCAGAGCCTGTGACCTTCCTGCACTCAACTCGGGGGCAGGATCTGTGACCCCTGCAGCCTGAGCCACAGGCCTTCCTGGGGGTGCTGAGATGGGCAGGACCCCACTCTCCTGCCAGGGCTGGAAGTGGGCAAGAGCAGCCGGCAGCTGGTCTGGCTCTGGTGGCGGGGAGGGAGGCTCTAGGAGGAGGAGCACTTGGGTCTGTTCCTTCCCTGGGCTGAGTGCCTAAGGCTGCTGTCCCCACAGCCAACTCTGGGCACAGAGAGAGGCTGCGCACACGGCTTGTGCAGGTGGGCCAAGGGAGATGGGCAGAAGACACATGCACCTGGGCACCCACTCATGGACGCTGCGAGACCACACGAGGGCTGGAGCAACACTGCAGCAGGAAGAGCATTTGCTTTGCAAGTGACTGACCTGGGTCCAGTCCCCAGCACCCTAGAATGTTCCCAGAGCCTGCCAGGAGTGGTCTCTGAGCACAGAGCCATGAGTCAGCCCTGAGCACTGCCAGGTGTGGCCCCCAAACAAAACAAAAAAACCCACACTCACACACACACACACACTCACATATATACTCACACATACTTATACACACATAAACTCACATATACACACAAACATACAACACAAATATACATACTGCCCACTTTCATAATACATACCCACATGCACATACACACATGTGTGCACATGCACTCACACACTACACACACACATGCACATACTGCACACATAACGCACACATACATATACACTCACACATACACACATACACATATACCTCATAGATACACAAACACTCACTGTTATTCCAAGTCTCTATGAAGGGGACCATGCCCTAGGGAGAAGGATTTTTCAGGCCTCTCAGTCATAATCAACGGGACACAAAACCCAGCCCAGCCTAAATGGAGTCAGTGCGTTCACTCGTGTACCTGAACTGTCCAGAAGTGGGTTTCCTGTGCTTCGGGTCTGGCTGGGTCTGGGTGCTTAGACAGCACAGTCACTCTCGCCCCGGCCCTTACCTGCTGCTATTCTCCTCTGCTTTCTCTGTGGGTCAGCCATGTAACTGAGCAGTTTCCATCTTGCAGTCAGCTTAATAAGCCACCCATGGAAAAGGTGTCTCTTCGGGTATTCTTGAGAAGAACCCTGGCAGTCTTGATGCTGACAATCCCTGGCAGTGCCTACTGACACTCCTTGCTGTTGCTAGGTGATGGTGTACTGATGGGCCCGCCTCAAGCATGTGCGCATCCCGGGGCTCAGAGAGGAAAGCAGAGACCCCCAGAATACGGTGGCGCGCGATGCCTGGAGAGGAAGGCCAGGCCCCCCAGATAGCAGCGAGGCTCCAGTCTGAACTTTTGCATCAGAATTTCCACTGGCGCCTGCAACTGTGTCCTTCAGAAGGTCCCTTCGTTCCCACTAGACCCTCTTCCCCAGATCCCAGTTCAGCTGAGAGGGTGATAACTCGTGCCCACAGAGCCCTGCATCCACCCAGTCCCCGTGGCAAGTGCCTTCCCATGCCCACACCCACCTGGCATGTTGGCTGTCTGTTCCTGCTTCACAGAGGAGGAAACGGAGCCTGGGGCATGGCTTGACAGACCCTGAATCAGCCTGCCAGCAGTGTGCCAGAGCTGAGATCCAGACTGGCAGGCAGGGAGGCCTGGCTCTGCCCACCTGGGGAGGAAGAGAAGGAGCAGGAGGAGGGAGGGGGGTCCCAAAGGCCTGTTCTCCTGCAAGGCCAGCTCTGGAAGAGCGGCTCATTGAGTGCCCTCTTGGGAATCCAAGTGGGACCAGGCCAGCAGTGGGCACTCTGGGCAGGTCGGACACACCCTTGGGGAAGGGATGGGATGGAGAGCCTGCAAGTGCCTTGGGGTGCTGGTGTCACACACACCTCCCTGAGCGCCCCCTCTGCCCCTGCCAACCCCTCCACCCCGCCCTGCAGGTGGGTGTTCGTGTTCGAGAAGGGCTACCAGACCTCCAGCAGCCTCATCAGCAGCGTGTCAGTGAAGCTCAAGGGTCTGGCTGTCACACAGCTCCCAGGCCTGGGCCCCCAGGTGTGGGACGTGGCCGACTACGTCTTCCCAGCTCAGGTGAGCTGACTCAGGGGATGCCTTCGGTCCCCGGGGCCTGACCCAGAGCCTGTGGGGCTCCGTGCCACCTCCCAGTGGCGTCCGGCCAGGTCCAGGCCCTCTGGGGCAGCATATCACTCCACTCGGGCATCCTGGGCATCCTGGGTTGTGTGTGTGGCGGGGGATCTCTTGCTGGGGCGATGCTTGGATTCTCAGGGCTGTTTCCCAGCTCAGCTCCCCACCCTACCCCCCTGCCTGCGCCTGGTCTGCCTTGCAGGGGGACAGCTCCTTTGTGGTCATGACCAATTTCATCGCCACCCCCCAGCAGGTTCAAGGCTACTGTGGAGAGGTGAGGACTACTGCCCGGACCCCTCCTTGAACCCACAGGGCAGGGAGGGGGACGGGGGGACCATGGGACAGGAGGATCCCAGGGGCCTTGGAGGTGGCTCAAGGTGACTTCTGCAGGGTTATCAGGAGCACTTCAGACACTTGCCCCGAGGCACAGTCTGCCGTGGGCAGTGCAGAGCCTGGTGGGGTGCTGATCCCTGTCCCCGGGCCCTGCCAGCTGATCCTGGCCATGGGACAGCTGGGCATGGCCCCTGGAGCCCTGGGAGGGATCTGGGGCAAAGAGCCCGTGAACAAGGGCTACCCCAGGGCTCTTCTCAGGAAGCAGCTCTCCCTTCCCCCAGAATCCAGAAGGGGGCACGTGCACGGACGACAGCAACTGCACCCCAGGGAAGGCGGAGAGGAAGGCCCAAGGTGAGGCGGGCCCCTCCGCTCCCCATTTTCCTGCTCCCCCTGCCAGCTGCCCCTTGCTGTCCCCATGGTTTGGGGCTGCCTGTTTCTCTTAGGTTCCCATCACTGGAGGGCTCTGGGAGTGGGGTCTGGAGGTGTCCCTCGCACCTGCTGGTCTGACAACAGGGGCTCCCTCTCACCCAGGCATCCGCACAGGCAAGTGTGTGTCCTTCAATGACACGGTGCAGACATGTGAGATCTTCGGCTGGTGCCCTGTGGAGGTGGACGATAATGTCCCCCGGTAAGGCCTGTCCTTTGGGGGAGTACGAACCCCGGGCCAAGGGGCACTCATGCTCCCAGCCAGCCCTTCACTTGCCAAGATTCCCCCAAACTTGGGGGGCAAGCACAAGGCTCTATGTCAGGACACGCCTGCCCGCACCCTCGTTCCCCGCCCCACACGCTGCCTCGACTGGGTGGGCACTGCAGAGACCGTCTGTGAGTGTGTGCCATGTCCCCCAGCCCTGCCCTCCTGCGCGAGGCCGAGAACTTCACTCTCTTCATCAAGAACAGCATCAGTTTTCCCCGCTTCAAAGTCAACAGGTGCAGGGGGCGGGGGGGACTCCTCCTGGCTGCCCCACATCCCCCTGGTGGCCTCCCTGACTCGCGCCCAAGCACCCAGGGCAGGAGCCGCTGGTGGTGTTGGGGGGACTATGGGAGGGGAGCCTGGGGACACGGGCTCTGCGGGGGGGGGGACCCGGCCTCAGCGTCCTCTGGCCCCACAGGCGCAACCTGGTGGAGGAAGTGGACGCCCGCTACATGAAGACTTGTCTCTACCACAAGGTCCTGCACCCGCTCTGCCCCGTCTTCAAACTCGGCTACGTGGTCCAGGAATCAGGCCAGAATTTCAGCACCCTGGCAGAAAAGGTGAGACGTGAGGACGGTGGTGGTGGGGTGGGGTGGGGGGAGGGGAGTTGGCGGGAGGCCCCTGGAGCTCTATCTGCCTCTCAGAGTCACCTCTGGGCCTCTCTCCTCACCTGGGGTGGGGGCCCGTGAGGTCTGACCAAGGAACTCACTCGCCCGGCCCTGGCTCTGGCACCGAGTAGGTATACAGAAAGAACGGATGTGGGCAGACACTATTGTCAGGTATCTTCTGGGATCTCAGTGGTTGATTGGTTTGATTGTTTACTATCAGAGAAAGGCAGCTTGGACCCTATTGCTCCTCAGCCAGCCCAGGGCTCTAGGGCATTCCCGAGGTTGAGATTTCACAGTTCTGAGAGAAGAGATGCTTTATATTCCCAAGCAGTGCTCTGGGAATCCGGGGATACACCTGACGATTCTCAGCCAATCTAGGAATGCGCCTGACAATTCTCAGCCAACCAAGCCAGTGGTCCAATGTGAAGGCCCACTGATGCAGAGCGCTAGGGCGCTATGGTGCTGGGGACCACCCAGTTCCCCCCAGTGGGGATTGGGGGCCTCAGGGGGCCATGCAATGCCAGAGATCAAACCAGGGTCAGTGCATGCAAGGTATGTATTACAACCCCGGTGCTCACTCCCTGGACCTGAGAAGGGGCACATTTTCTTTGAGGTATGACACACTCGGTGGTGCTCAGAGACTATTGCCAGGTTTGCTCAAGGGTTGATCCTGAGGTCATTTGGAAGAATATGTGGTGTCCAAGATGGGACCAGGGGCAACTGCGTGCCAAGCAATCACCTAACCACCTACCCTATCTCTGCAGCGACTTCCGACTCTGCCCTAAGGAGTAGTGTGTCCCCAGATATGCCTCTTGCCTTTGCTGTGCCCAAGTTTCTGCCCCGCGTTGTGGCGGACACCCTGGCGGAGCGGGTGTGTGTAGGTGTGGGACCTTCTGCAGGGGCCAGTTCAGGGATGGGAATCGACCCTTTCTGGAGCTGTCATATAAACAACACATTTATACCACGTTTGTCCAGAACAGGGGCAGCAGCTTATCCTGTGTAAGGTCAGAATGCAGGCTCTACTCTGTCCCAGCTCCTCAATCACTTGTCAGAGGCCCAAAGTGACTCCCACCTCAGTGCCTCCACATACTGACCAAGAAGCAGAACGTCTTTTGGGGACGTGTAGGCCACCCCTGCTTTGCTCAGGCCTTACTCCTGGCTCTGTGCTCAGGGATCACTCCATGTCCTGGGGGCAAATCCAGATGGCCGCATGTGAGCCAAGCGCCATACCCACTGTTCTATCTCTCAGTCCCAGGAGGCAAGATCTTAAAACTCTCCCCTTCCTAAAACTCTCCCTGCCACATCCACGATGGAGCTTCACCCCTTCCCAGCTAGCTGTCCCCATCTTTGCCCAGAGACTATGGCTGGTTTGGGCTTTCTCTCCCCAGCTTTGTCTTCACAGACTAACTCGGCCAACAGGTGCTGTTCCCCATGCTGGTAGCAGTACAGGAACTCGGAGGCAGGGGTGCAGGGCCAAGAGCCTGGACTCTGGGCAGGCTCAGGTTTGGAGGAGGAGATGAGATGGACTCATCAGGGGCCACACATAAGACCGATGTTTGAAAGTAACAAATGTGGGGCTGGAGCAATAGCACAGCAGGTAGGGCGTTTGCCTTGCACGCGGCCGACCCGGGTTTGATTCCCAGCATCCCATATGGTCCCCCAAGCACCGCCAGGCGTAATTCCTGAGTGCAGAGCCAGGAGTAACCCCTGAGCATCGCCAGGTGTGACTGAAAAAGAAAGTAACAAATGTTCCACAGGACAAGATACAGGGAGGGGGATCAGGGCAACTTTTTAGCTTGGTGCAGGGGTAGGGGGTGGGCAGACTCCAAGGGGATGAGTCAAAGATGAGGTCCAGCTTCATGGAGACACCATGGTGCTGGGTGTGCAAAAGCCCTGGGGATGGGGGAGACCTGGGTATTTGCTAAAAATGGTCAGAACCCTGTGTAGGGGGCAGGGGCAGGGTCAGCAGCCTGGCAGCTGCTTTCCGGGGTCACTTCTCAAGCAAACATGTCCAGCTTTGGGGTGGGAGTTTCTGGGGTCTCACAGGCCCATGTCTCCTACAGGGTGGGGTGGTGGGCATCACCATCGACTGGAACTGTGACCTGGACTGGCACGTGCGACACTGCAAACCCATCTACGAGTTCCACGGGCTGCACGAGGGCAAAAGCCTGTCTCAGGGCTTCAACTTCAGGTGCCTGAAGCCCCCATGCACCCCTGTACATCACCATCCACGGGGGCTCACGGGCTTTTCACCTCCCAGAGTGGGCGCAGGGGCCTGAGTCCCCTGCCCCCGCTCCCAGTGCCCGCACCCAGAGGACCCCCTCACCACGCCTGGGCTGCACAAGGGGCTGGCAGCAGAGTGAGGGTGAAGGCCAGCCTTCCAGGAAGGGGGACCGAGATCCTACCTGGGGCCCTCCCCTCAGATCACGGGGTGCCTGAAACCCTACCAGGTCCTGTCTCCATGGCACCCTGAGTTCTGTCGCTCTCTCTTGTCACCTCGCCCCTTTCCTAAGGTTTGCCAGGCACTATGTGGAGAACAAGACCAACCACCGGCACCTCTTCAAGGTGTTTGGGATCCGCTTCGACATCCTGGTGGATGGCAAGGTGGGTATTCAGAGCGAGGGGCCATGGGGCACACAGCCTCGATCCTGTGGGTGCTCTGCTGGATGGGGCGTGACAGAGGCAGGAAGCTGGGGGCTCCCTCAGGAGCGCTGAGCATTCCGCCTTCCACCACCTCTCCCACTCATTCCCACTCCCTCCCAATCTCTCCCCCTCTCTCCCATTCTCTCCCTCTCTCTTTCACTCTGTCCCCCTCTCTCCCCCTCTCTCACACTTCTCCCACTCTCTTCCACACTCTCCCACTCCCTCCCACTCTCCCCCACTCTCCCACTCGCTCCCACTCTCTCCCTCTCTCCCAATCTCTCCCACACTTCTCCAAATTTCTCCCACACTCTCCCACTCTCTTCCTGTCCAGGGAGCCAGAGTCCAAGGCCACAGTTGGTCCCCAGGGAGCATGGAGCATGGGCAGTGAGCAGGGGGCGGCTAAGGGGACGCGGGGGGAGGGGTGTGTGGTGGGGGACGTGCCCTTGCTCCAGGCCTCACTCCAGGCCTTTCTGACCAGGTCCCCTCTGACCATGAACCCTTCTCTCCCTTGGGCCCTGCCACCAGGCTGGCAAGTTTGACATCATCCCCACCATGACCACCATTGGCTCTGGGATTGGCATCTTTGGGGTGGTAAGTGCTGGGGTCAGGGGATCGTTGTTGGGGTCTGTCCCACCTCTTCCATATCTAAATAGTAGCAGAGCAGCAGCCTCTACCCCTGAACATGACTGCATTTGGTCACATGCCTGGGCCCCTTGACCCTAGACCCAGAGTTGGGCTGCAGGAAGAGAGGCCCAGGATGGAGGCCTGACAGAGATGGGAGCGGGTGATTTCAGTCCACTGATGAGCCAGGGGCTCATCCCCATCCCAGGACCAAGATTGGACAGGGCAGAATTCAGCTAGGCCCCCACAGTGAGTTTGGACTGAAGTGTGATGGAGAGGGTTCTGGGTGGCCCCCAGATCTCCATGCTTGATCCCGGCCTCTCCACCTCCATGCTCCATCCTGGGCTCCCTGCCTCCTTACTGATCCCCAGCCTCCCTGCCTCCATGCCCACTCCTGGCCTCCCTTCCTCCATGCCTGCTCCAGGCCTCCCTCCCTCCATGCCCACTCCCAGTCTCCCTGCCGCCATGCCTGCTCCTGGCCTCCCTCCCTCCATTCCTGCTCCCAGCTTCCCTGCCTCCATGCCAGCTCCCAACCTCCACCTCCATGCCCATTCCTGGCCTTCCTACCTCCATGCCTGCTTCCAGTCTCTCTGCCTCCATGTCCAATCCTAGCCTCTGTGCCTGCTCCTGACCTCCCTGTCTCCATGCCCAATCCCGGTCTCCTTGCCTCTTTGCCCAATCCTGGCCTCCTTGCCTGTTCCTGACCTCCCTGCCTCGATGCTCAATCCTGGCCTCCCTCACTCCATGCCTGATCCTGGCATCCCTGCCTCTATGCCTGCTCTCGGCCTTCCTGCCTCCATGCCTAGCCTGGCCTCTCTGCCTGATTCCTGGCCTCCTTGCCTCTAGGCCACCGTTCTCTGTGACCTGCTGCTGCTCCACATCCTGCCCAAGAGGGATTACTATAAGCAGAAGAAGTTCAAGTATGCAGAGGACATGGGACCTGAGGCGGTAAGGCAACATCCTGACTCAGCTGTATGTCGGAGGACTAGCTGCTCCACTGGGGCTGACTTCTGTCCCCCCAATGCCTCCTCAGGGTGAACGTGATCCTGGGGCCACCAGCTCCACCCTTGGCCTGCAGGAGAACATGAAGACATCCTGACCCTGAGCCCCTATCTCCTGACTGCACAGCCAGAGGCTTCCGGTGAGGGCCTGCTGGGTACACAGCCAGGGCTCAGCCGAGCACACACCACAAGGCAGCAGCGCAGAGTGGACACTGGCCACTCTGGGCACCGTTCTGGGCTCTGGCTCCATCTGCATCCTGCCAGGAGGCCTCACCCCAGATTCAGCCTCTCCTGTCTGGGTGGGGCCCCTTCACACTCTGGGACCTGCGTCTCGTGCTTCTCTCGGGCCCCTTTCCCAGCCCGCTGTCTTCACACCTGGCTTCTCCAATGTGGCAGCCACTAACCAGGGATGGGGAATTCAATGCCTATCAGTTGGGACTCCTTACAATTAAAAACGTGTTCCTCACACTAGCCACATTACAGTTGCTGAGTGGAGGCGAGAGGCTAGAGGACAACATGGAATGTATTCATCATCACAGAAGCCTCTGGTGGACTGCTTGGCTCAATCGCTGTTTCTTACCGGTTTGGTCTCCCTGAGGAGCTGGTCCACTGAGCAGGCCCCTGCAAGGCCTTCCTAACAGACTCGCCTGGGAAGACCGTGTGATCTGCGTGGCTCACAGACCCCTCCTGCCACTTGAAGGACCCCAGTTTAAGAACTGCTCCTGATGACCCGGCTCAGCCAGGGCCTGTGTCCCTCGGCAGGTGCAGGCGCTGAGCAGGTGTGTGCTGCGCTCCCAGCCACGGCGCCACACACTCACGGCATGCAGACTCCCTCCCCTCTACACTGTGTGTTTGAACAGCTTGGACCCTGCAAACACAACCATCTGAACACACCTACACCCGCCGGCACAGACACATGGTCCATGTCACATGGCCTTCTTGGGAAATGCTGCTCCCCCAGGAGGGTCAGTCCAGGATAGCCCCTCCTAGCTAGGACTCCTTCCTTGGCTGCCTCCGGTCAGAGGGGGAGCCTCAGTGAACTCTGGGGCTTCATTCCTCTGATCGGCTCAGCTCCCAAGGTCTGCCGGGCTCTCCTGAATCCAAGACATGGCAACAGCTTGAGGTGAGCACAATAAAGGGATGAGGACAAGCCTCTGCCTCCTGCTGTTCTTCCCCACCCCTCTCTGGAACTCAGGGTCCTCGCTGCGAGTGTGGGCCAGTGCCCAGCCAGGCCTGAGGTCTTCCTGGTATGTCAGTCGGTTGTGGTGAGCTGATTCGTGCCCAAGACCCAGGTCCTTCATGTGCCTCTGCCCTGGCCCAGCCCGCAGCCCTGGGATTCCCTGCTATACTGCACTTACCCTTCCCAGGCTTGTGGGGTCCTGGCGCTGGAACAGGCAGACACCCTCAGGAGTGGCTCCACAAAAAACAGAGGTGAGGAAGTGGCTGGCTATGCCAGGTGGGGGCAGAGCTGAGGGACTCAGAATATTGAAACCAGGGAGTGTGGTAGATTTTCCAGTGGGCTGTGGGCCTACGTCCAGTCAGGGGCTCTGGGCCTCTGCAGACCCCATATCCACACTCTCTGTGGAAACCTGCTGGGAACTCCCTCTACCTGATAAGGTACTCAGTAGTCACCTGTGGCCCCTGAGTGCTTCAAATAGGAATGCTGTTGGTTTTCTTTTTCCCCATTTCAGTCACCTCTAATTAATTTAAGACACACACATGGCCAGTGACTACCACATTGGACTGGCCCCTCCCTTCGTTGCAGGCTCTTGGCCTTCTGCCCTCGTCCCCAGCCAAGAACCATCTTTCAGACTTCATAAGACAGGAACTCCTTCTTCTTCCCTCTCTCCCTTCTCCAGATCTGCCTGCCTCTGCACCTCCTGCACCAGCAGGAAAGGATTCTTCCTTGTAGCTAGCCCTTCCACCCAGAACAGGAGGCTCCGTGCAGAGGCTGCCTCCCCTCTTTGGCTCCTCCTGTCTGACCTCTGCCTGCCTTCATTGTCACCATTCCAGAAAGACCAGTCTATTCTTCCCTCTGAGTCCCACCCTCTGTAAGTGGCCTTCTGCCCCCACCCCCATTCTGGATGTCCTTGCCAAGTTACTAGCAGCGTCATGGTTGCCAAATCCCAGCAGCCTCTGCAGCCCGTATCCCACTCAACCTGTCACTTTCTGTTGATCGAGGCTTCCTTGTTGTAAGATTTTTCTCCCAGCAGCTCTGAGCACTCATCCTCTCCTGATTTTCCAGCCCACCCGGTTGGTGTGGGAAAGACAGGCTTCAATGGCTGCAGAGCCACAGGTCACTGTGTGTCCTTGAGCAAGTTGTTTAACTCTCCAGGCTTCCTCTGTGATCAGGGATAATAATATTCTCTACCAAGATTGGTGGGAGATAAGATATGAAAAGTGCCTAGCACAGAACCAGGCACACTGTAGTCTTTTGTTTCTCCATCTGTCCTTCCTTTCAGTGGGACAGTCAGCCCACTGTCCCCAGACCTCTGTTCTTGATACAGATTGTTTGTTTGTTTGTTTTGCTTTTTGGGTCACACCTGGCGATGCACAGGGGTTACTCCTGGTTCATGCACTCAGAAATTACTCCTGGTCGTGCTCAGGGGACCATATGGGATGCTGGGAATCGAACCCGGGTTGGGCCGCATGCAAGGCAAACACCCTACCCGCTGTGCTATCACTCCAGCCCCTTAATACAGGTTGTTGGCTGGGAATGTAGCAGTTTAGATTGAGAATGCCCTTGCCCACCTCTTGCAGTTGATCCGGTCATGTGATTAGGTTTTCAACTAACGAGCAAGATGTAAAAGTGTCATTTGATGTCACGTGACACCTGGAACTTGAAAAGAGAGCCTGGTTGTTTAATTCTTTTGCCCTCTTCTTTGTCTTTGAATCCATCCTATTGCCTGGAATGCTGACCTGAGTTCGATTCCTCAGCCCCTCTCAGAGAGCCCAGCAAGCTACCGAGAGTATCTCGCTCCCACGGCAAAGCCTGGCAAGCTACCCGTGATGTATTCAATATGCCAAACACAGTAACAACAAGTCTCACAATGAAGAGGTTACTGGACCCGCTCGAGCAAATCAATGAACAACGGGAGTGCAGTTCAGTGCAGCACATATGAGATGAGTGGTGCTCTGGCCACTATCCTGAACCATGAGGACACAGTTGCGGTGGCAGTAACTAGAAGGGCTAGGCTGAGGGACCTTGGAGGAGCAGAGTTGATAGTGCCTGGCACATTCTTCCCCAAGGGTCTGGAGTGGGGTTTATGCTATCTGCATCAAAACTGCCCCTACTGCTTCAGAGATCTTCCCCTTGAAGAAAATTTCTATCCTCAGCTCCTACTTTATGTTTTCTTTCCAAGTTATCTCACCCATTCTCATGACTCTGCTTATAAATATGAACCTTTCCTGACAACTTCCAAAACTGATTAGTTCATCCTTCTTCCCCCAACTCCAGCCCCACTACGCAACCTCCTAGCTGCCACATCTAATTAACTTTTGTTTGTTTTTCTTTTTTATTTTTTTTTGGGGGGGGGAAGGTGTGCCATGGTTGTGTTCGGTGCTTACTCCTGGCTCTGTGCCCAAGGGATCACTCTTAATGGATTTGAGGAATCATAGAGATTGCTGGGGATTGAACCCAAGTTGACTTCGTGCAAAGCAAGTGCTCTACCTGTTGTACTATGGCTCTGGCCCCCATAATTAGCTTTATTTGGTGAAAAAAAATCCTTGGGTACCTTCCCAATGTGTCAGGCTGTGTGCTGGACTGGTCAGGTCCTCAAGTTCTGGGTCCGGAGGGAAAAAAAGCAGGAAAACAGAGGTGAAGTGAGATAGTACAGTGGGGAGGGCAGTTGCGTTGCACACAGCCAATTTGGTTTCAATCCCCAGCATCTAATGTGGTCCCTGAGCACTGAAAGGAGTGAGTGATTCCTGAGTGCAGAGCCAGGAATAAGTCCTGAGAAACACCTGGTGTGGCCCAAAAACAAAATAACAGCAACAACAAAAACCCCGAGGAAGTCCCTAGGTCGGGGCCATTTAACCTATGTGGGACAGTGAGGAGGTCCTGGTAGCAGAAGGAGTTGAATAGAACCCTCAGCGAAGTTTGACAAGCCAGTGGTTAGGACTGAGGTCATGGAGGATTTGATGGGGTCTAGTCTCAGCTTGAGACGGGGATCATTGCAAAGAGGGAACTCATTAGCTGGCCTTTGGCTTCTGTAAGCTGGAGAAGGCTGGGAGGGGTACGGCTGCATGAAGCTGGGAGCCACTAAGGCAGCTAGGCAGCGATCCAGATACAAGATAGTGGTAGCCTGATAAGCGGGGTGAGAATCTGAGGTTGAGGGAAGTGGGTGGGTGCCAAGGATAGTTAGAGTCAACATGGGCTCTGGGAATGTAGCTCAGCAGTAGAGCACTTGCATGTGTGAGGCCCTGGGTTCAGTCTCCAGCAAGGGGGCGGGGGCGGGGGGTGAATCAGCATGGTCAGGGTTTCGTGCTGGATTGATTGCGGCGGGAAAGGAGCAGGCTCCGGGAATTACTGGATTTCTGGCTCCAGATCAAGACAGCACACAGGGGCCGGGGTTGCGGGGGATGACGTAGATCTGTCTTGAGCAAACGGAAGGGTGTGAGGTGCCAGGGGTTTCACAAGTGGACAACTTAGCACAGGTCAACCAAGAATTGTGGAACATCTCAGGAGATAGCCAGGGGACAAAATACCCTGGAAGGGTCACTACGAAGGTCAGGAAGTTCATGCTCATGCTGCAACTTGTCCATCCCATCGAGTGCTCACAAAGCCCTTCCCCAAACATGACCCTGACAAAGGCACCCGAGCTCCAGCCTAAACCACTTCCCTTCTCCCCGGCCCCTGGCCGGCAGAAGGCTAAACTCCCGGAGCACGACTGCCATTCAAGCCTTTTCTCCCAGGACCTAGGACGCATCCCTGGCCGCCTGTCCCTCCCCCGGCGCGCACCGCGACACATCCCCGGAGGCAAGGGACCGCTCTTTCCTCCGGCAGGTTGGAGCAAGAGGAAAGGAGACAAAGCGTTCCGGGGACGGAAGCACCCATGCCCTTTACGACCAAGGCAGCCGGACCGCGGCCTGGCGAGGTTCCTGGGGACCCCGCGGAGCCCCTTCCCGGCGCCGGGGGCGTGACGAGGCTCGGCCCAGACGCTGCGGGAAGGGCCCCCTCGGAGCCGCCGCCCGCCCCGGCCCCGCCCCTCCAGGAGCGGAGCGAGAATCTCCGGTTCTGATTGGGCGGTGCCGGGGGGAGCCGCACACTCTGACCAATGAGCGCGCGCCGGGCGCGGCGGCGGCGGCGGCGGCGGCGGCGGCGGCCGGGGGAGCGAGCGCTGCCCGAAGCCGCGGCGCCGGCGGTCTGAGCTCCGGGACCCCGCGAGGCGGCGGGGTGGGGCACGCGCCGCGGGAGCGAGCCTGGCCGCCCGCCGGGCCGCCCAGACAGAGTCTGCTGGCGCCGAGGTAAGGGTCGGCGGGGAGGGGGCGGATAGGAACGCCCGAACGTCTGCTCCGAGCCCCCGGGGATGGTCCCTGTGGCCGCGTCTACACGGGCAGCCAGTACCTCATCCGTGCTGGTTCCCAACCAGCCCTGCCTCGGAGTCGACGGGGTGCCTGCTTCTGCCTGCGCTGGCCGCCGACTCCACATCGGTTTCCCTTCCCCAGTGCGGATCCAGCATCCTGATCACCCCCTCCTCCGCTCGGGGTGGGAGGGAGGCGGTGTCTCTGCAGGGTGGGCCCAGACGGGTGCACCCACGTGTGGATCTGGGCTGAGCGCTCCTCCCACACGGCCTGCGCCCAGGCTTCCCGAGCTGGGGTGCGGGGCGGAGGAGGGAGATGAATGGGACAGCTGCGGCGGGGGGCCGGGGCTGCGCAGTCCACCCCCGGAGGGGCGGGGGCCGGCGGCGGCCGCTGCGGCGGCGGCAGGGGCGGGGCAGCCGCCGAGGGCACACACGTGCGCAGGGACCGGTGTGTGGTGTTTGGAGACGGGTGTGCGTGTGTCACGTGGACGCAGGAGTGTGTCTGTGCGTGAGAGCGGGTGCACTGCGGGCGCGAGCGGTGTGTGAGGGCGGGTCACGCGGAAATCGGCGTGCGCCGGGCCGGGGAGGCGTGTTGGGTTGTCTGCAGGGTACAGGACGGAGTGAAGGGCCTGTGGGACGGAGCGAAGGGCCTGTGGCACCGTGCTTGGGTGGGCGCATATCGGGCCGGGTGCCCGACAGATGGGCCTGGCTACTGGAGAGAAGTGCGCAGCCTGCGTCCTTGAGCGGCCCTGGGAAGATGCCCTGGCCTGCCCCACCAGGAGCTCACAGATTGAGCAGCCCTTGTGTGCTAGACTGGGAGAATGCTGGAGGCCCCTGGCCATGCCCTCAGTCCACACAGGTCTCAGCCAACAGACCAGCAAACCCTCCTTGGGTTTTGGAAGCTGCCCGGTCTCTGTGTGCATAGCTCAGAAACCCTTCACTCCTAAAGCCAAGTCCTCAGTCTTAGCCAGGAAGCACCTCTCGGGACCAGGGTGAGTGTCCTAGACCAACTCCCAGGCAGTCTCCTTCAGAAGCCCTCACTGAGGTCAGGGGATTACCCCTCTTCTCAGCCAGGGGCTGGCTCACAGACAGAAGCCCCCGCCCAGTGCCCAGCGACCTCCTGGCTTCTCAGATGAGCAAGCCTGTCCTGGCTGTGGCCTCTGCAGTTGCAGGATCCCCCATTTGCAGTGCCCCTCCAGATGGCTGTACCATCCACTCCCTTCCCTCTCTAGTCTTCTACGCAGACCCTCCATCAGTGAGACTTTCTTGGCCAAAACACTCACAGCCCAGGCAGTCCCTTATACGATTCTGTTTCCCTCCACTGCCTGCCCCCTGAGAGATCACCTGTTCCATATAGGCTTTCTGGTTCCTTCTTGAACTGCCCCCTCCTGAAATTCAGCTCGCTGAGAGCAGGTCCTTCATCTTTCTCATCCATGGGCTCCTCCCCCTCAGGCACCTAGCCTCGCGCCTGGGCACCCAGAGAAGGTGCTCCGTCATAAGTCTTGGTGGCCTGAGTGAATGACTCTGTGTTTGTATCCTAAGAGTCTGTGTCCCTGGCTGCTCCCACGCCTGTCAACTCCCTGTGTGAGACTCCGTCCCCAGCCCCCAGTTCCTTTTGTCCTCCAGATGCTATGTTCCTGGAAGGCCTGACTGGAGAAATTGTGACCACATTTGCATGTCAGGACATTGCCTGTGGCAGCTGGTATAAAGCCTGGAGGCCGGGGCTGGGGGGCGGTCTTGGTGTGAGTCTGGAGATAGGGCTGTGGCTAGGAGGCCTATGTGTCACCGAGGTGAGTTAAGACGTGATCTGGCCCTGGACTTTTGAAAGAGTTGGCCTTGGTGACCTCACCCAACCGTGGGGGACTGGGGAGGGGCCCCCGGGGGAGGCATCTGAGCTGTCCTCTGACAGCAGAGAGGGAGGTATGCTTTCGGCAGAAGGCACAGCTTGTACGCAGTCCTGACAGCAATTAGAGAAGCAGCAAGGAGTGGTGTGTGGTCGGAGTGGTGGGTAAGTGAGGTTTCAGGGCCAGGGTGCCAGGAGGGGCAAAAGGGAACGAAGCCTGACGGTAAAGAGGGGCTCTTGGGTGTCTGGCCCGGGAGAGCTGGAGGAGGACGGTCCCATCTCTGTGATGAGAACAGAGACAGGAAGGCAGCACAGACCTGGGAGAAACACTGAGTTGAATTTGGGTCCTATTGGAGCCGAACTGCTCGGAAGCCTGGAGAGGGAGGAGGCAACTGGCTGGAAGGAGCCAGGCTGGTGGTGGAGACCCCGGTGTGGACAATGAGGAGGGTCCCTGGAGATCAGCCTTGGGGCTGGGCCAAGAGGATGCGCTGCAAGTGGTTGTGCCGCGCCCAGCACAGAGCCCACCTCGGTGCTCAGGGCCTCCCAGGGGAGGCTGGCGGGGGGGCGTCCTCACAGCGGGCGTCCGCCAGCATGACTTGGCACCAGACGCCTGGGCCTCCCTCGAGGGGACTGAGTCATCCTGTCGGGGGCGGGAGCTGCAGAGGGCACTCGTTGCCAGGGCCGTCCAGACACTTGTCAGGAGCATAAACACGGCTCCTGTGAGGCGGCCCAGGGAGGCTGGGCCCATCATCTGGGGCTCGCCCTGTCGCTCTGCATCTTCTTTGTGGCTTCCCCTGCCGGCTGGGGCTCTGCCATCAGAGCTGAGGTCTCTCCGCCTGCAGTGGGGCTGCTCCCAGAGCTCTGACAGGTGCTTGATACCCGCCTTGGGGGTTTCCAGAGTCGGCTCTGTCAGCCCAGTCCAGGAGCCTGGACCGCGGGGGCATAGCCTGAGTGGAGGAGAAGCCCTGGTGTGGGGGGTTGTGATGTGCTGGTGCCATCCGAGAGCTCGGGGGCAGACTCAGGGCTGTACTTCACGCACCTAATCTCGACATAACCCGCCGTCCCGGCCCAGGCTCACATGGGACTGCTCTCCCCTCTGCCCGCCTGCCTGCCTCCCCTGGGAGTGGCAGCGCGGGAGCATCTCTCCGACTCACAGAAGACCGAGACCCCTGGAGGCCCACTGCTTTGTCTGAGGCATCACAGTCACTGTCTGGGCACCCAGGAAGGGGCTGACTTTTCCCAGGGAGCACCTCAGTCTGGCCCTTCTTGGCCGTAGGACTCGCTGGTCTCTGGGAAGCACCTCACATCCACAGGGCCGCTTGCTCTGCTGTGGGCCTGGGTTCCAACCTCTCTAGCTGGCCTTCACTGTGTGCTCATCACCCCTAAGTACGTGCAGAGTTTGTTTCTATGAAGTGTTTCCTGAAACCTCAGCTCTGGGGGTGGGAGGATTTGAGTGTCCCTGAAAGGAGAAGGGGACCAGCTCAGCCCTGCAGCTCAAGTCAATGGACAGGTTACAGGGAAGGAAGGTCAGTCTGATCCAAGGGTGCAGCCCCCCTCCCCGTGCACACATATGTACACACATGCGCTCATGCACACACACGTGCACACACATACACGCGCACATGCACACACACCCAGCCCTTTCTGGCGCATGCATTCCCACATGCTGATTCTGTGATGCATGAGACCACAGCCCTCGATTCCTGTCCCCGGACCCGTGTGCACCTCCTCGCAGACTCACGCCATCCACCCAAGCCTCAGCCCTGCTCACACACTCTGTGGCCACGTGCCCTTACACTCAGCCTTGGAGTCCAGGTGCCTGTCGCCTGGGTACGAGGCAGGAGTCTGGGACCTCCCCAGGGCGCCTCCTGCACAGACTTGCTTAGTCACCTGAATTTGATCCAGGCGGGAGGGAGCTTGACGTCAGCCTGCCCAGCCACAGGCGCTCCCATCTGCCCACGGCACAGCGTGGCCTGCAGTCCCCACAGCAGCACAACAAAAACGCACTCTTACGCAGGAAGGGGCGGTCACTCCTGTGTGCCTCAGAGCCCCACACCCGCAGAGTGGGAGCCTTTTTTGGCCCCACGCAAAAGACGGCAGAGATGAAGTCACCTGCCCCCAGCCGTCGGGCTGGGAAAGGGCAGAGCCGGGTCCTTAGGCCTGCGAACAGCAGACAGGCTTCTGCTCTGATTCACTGGCCCTTTGCCTCCGCACCCCAGGCAGATTTCACTTTCCCTACCTGAGAAATTGGTAAGAGGGTTTGGGGTGGCTGGCCTCGCTGGTATGACAGCCTCAGGATGACCATACACATATTTCATGGGCCAATGTGCCCGTTATCGCTACCAGGGGCAGTCCCACATGCTGGGGGGCTGCTTGGGAGCAGAGGCCAGGATCTCTGCCCCGCAATTCATTTTTTAATGGGGGTTTTTAATGGGGCTTAAGTACCACACCAGGTGGCACTTAGGGCTTACTCCTTGCTCTGTGCTCAGGGATCACTCAGGGTGGTGTTCAGGGGACTGGAATTGAACCCAGGTTGGCAGTGTACAGGCAAGCTCTTTACCCACTGTCCTTTCAGTCCCCCATCCCATCAATTCCCCCCCTTTTTTTTTAAACTTTTGGGCCATACCTGGTGGTGCTCAGGGCTTTCCCTGGCTCTGCACTCAGAGATCACTCTTGGTAGACTTGGGGGACCATAGGAGACCACACGAGACCACAGGGGTATTGGGGATCGAACCTGGATTGGCCCCATGGAAGGCAAGTGCCCTACCCACTGTACTATCACCTTCACCCCCTACCCCCACAATTCATTTCTTGCTGAGGACTCTGCCCTGGAGCAAGTTGGGGTCCCCCTTTGAGGGTGTGTCACCATCTGTCTGATGGGGACAGTGCTGTAAGAGCACTGTGGCAACTACAAATATTTACTGGGCTCCAGTTGTATGCCAAACACTGGAAGACTCCAGTGATCCCATAGAGATAAGCAGACGAGCACTGATCTGTGGAGTCTTTGTTCTGGGGTTTACAGAGGGAGAGGGAGTACCCAGGGAACAGGCCAGAGGGGGGAGCAAGTGAGCAGGCTAGCCTAGGGCCTAAAGGATTCTTCTCAGCCTTGGCTTTCTCCTTCCTTCCTAGTGCCTTATTTATCATATTGGACTCTGAACTCCAACATTAATCACTGCCCCCCTCATCCTCTTCCAGGGAGGCCTCCCTGATGCTCCAGTCCTACTTGCTTCTTCAGGGAGACCTCCCTAATGGAGCCTCACCAGCTGCCCTCACTCCTCTAGATCCAGAACCCACGCGTGACTTTCCTGTCGCCAGCATGGACCCCTTTTCCCTGTGCTCTCTGAACACCAGTATTGGCTCCTCCACTTCAGAATGCCACACACTGAGGTCCAGTCAGCACACAGTGCCCACCATGGGGGCTCTGGACCATGCCTTACCCATGCTCTTCCTCCAGGGAGCCTGGGTAGTTCTGCATCCATAATAGCTTGCAGGGGGATGGTGGTGGAACTGAGCCTCAGAGTCAAGAAGTTTGACTAGGGCTCCACATCAGGGTGGTCTTCCTGGAGAAGGTGAGCAGGCCTGGATGCTGGGTTCAGGGGGTGGGTTCTGCATTACTGATGCCCAGCTCAGCTTCCAGATAAGCAGGCAAATGGGCAGGACGGCAGCTCAGCCAGGTGCCCAGTAGCCATGGACTCCTGCAAACCCTGCCGCCAAGAAGATGGGGGACACAAAGAAGTTGTGTCTTCAAAGTCCAGTGTAGGGAAGAGGAAGTTACCTCTGGACAGGAAGGGCAAAGGGTCAGGATTCCATTCACTTCCTTTTCCCTGACCTGGCAGGGGCCAGAGCAGAGCGGTGGGGTGGAGTGGGGTGGGGTGGGGTAGGGTGAGGTGAGGTGGGGTGGGGTGGGGTGGTGCTCCACGTAGGTCCTGCCCAGGCAGTGAGGGAGGTTGGCGGTTGGAGGTTGGTTTGGGGTTCGTCCTCACCTGGGGCTACGGTGGCACTCAGACTGCAACAGGCCACGGTGGGTATTGGGCCAAGCGACGTTGCCTCTCCACCTGAACACATGTGGCAAACTTTTGGGCTGTGTGAAAAACTGGAAATAAAAACCCAGGAAAAATAGGAGTGACTTTTGGGGGGGGGGGTGGAGTGAGGGCACACCCAGCAGTGTTCAGGGCTTACTCCTGGCTCTGTGCTCAGGGATCACTCCTAGCAGGGCTCAAGGGACCATATGAGGTGCTGGGGATTGAACTTGGGCCAGCTGCATACAAAGCAAGTGCCCTGCCCACTGTGCTATCTCTCTGGCCCTGGGAGTGACCACTTAGGGCAGTGAAGTCTCTCCTGATAGCCGCCAAAGTAGCATCTCCCTCCCCAAATGGGCGTCCAGAACTGGAGGCTCTGCTTGGGCAGGGTAGGAAGATTTTTCCTGTGGGCCTCCCTGGAAAAGCTGAGGGAAGCTAAAATCTCTGGGAAGGTTTCTGGAAGCAGTGAGAAGGATGTGGAGGGAGACTGGGACATCAGAATGTTCTTCCTGGAGGAGGTGAGCAGGACTGGATGCTGGGCTCAGGGGGGTGGGTTCCGCATGACTGGTGCCCAGCTCAGCTTCCAGACAAGAGATAGGACTTGGTGAGTCACTGAGTCTGAGCTGACTCTGGGCTCTGTCTGTCCCAGGGCAAGCGAGACCTTCTGTGTTCTGCCTCTCTTGGTCCTGACTCCCAGCTCCCACTCTCCCTGCTTTTCCGGGCAGCCAGCAGAGAGGTCTTCCGGTGAGGGTTGAGTGCAGCAGGGTCAGAGGTTTCTAGAGTTACGGAGACAGACCTGGATTTGGGTGCTGCCGGCTAGGACTCCAGGATGGACAGGGCGCAGGCCTGGCTGTGGTGCCCTGAGAGCAACATCCAGAAACCTGACTGGCCAGCGGTCAGGGTCCCAGCCTTCTCTGTCCTCTCTCCCCAGGCTCCCAGGACGGCTGTCCAGAGGACCCCGGGACTGCGGCAATGGAGGGAGGCCCAGCAGTCTGCTGCCAGGACCCCCGAGCAGAGTTGGTGGAGCGTGTGGCAGCCATTGACGTGGCCCACCTGGAGAAGGCAGTCAGTGGCCCAGAGCCTGCCAGGAACGGTGTGGACCCTCCCACCCGGGTCCGTGCTGCCTCCGTGGTTCCTGACCACTCCACAGGGCCCCCTCCTGCCCGGCCCAGCCTCTCGGCCCGGAAGTTTTCCCTGCAGGAGCGGACAGCAGGCAGCTGCCTGCAGACCCAGGCCGGACCCTATGCCACGGGCCCTGCCAGCCACATCTCCCCACGCACTTGGCGGAGGCCCACCATCGAGTCCCACCGCGTGGCCATTTCGGACACTGAGGTGAGTGGGCCCCTGCACCCTTCGTGACAGCCCTATGGGACTGCAGTTCCTGCCACTCTGAACTCTTGGGTGTGTCCTCCCAGAGCTGAAGAGCTCACTCCCTCGTGGCATGACTTTGTCCCACCCAAGAGCCTCAGCTGAACTGACCACAGCTTCCGACCCTGCCACTAGTGCACCTTTCCCCACCCCCATCCTGAGGTAAAAGGCCTCTGTCGTGTCCCCCAGACATTCTCCTAGAGATCTGAACATAGATGGAGTGTCCTCTCACCCTGCCCCTCCCGCCTTCCCTTCTTGGCCCCCCGTACCTCAGATCCTCCCCCTGGAGTCTGGTGACTCAAACTACCCAGCCGCTTCACCCTCTGGGCTCCCCCTGGCTCTTGGCCTTGTCTGAAACTGAAGCCAGGTTCAGCTGGGGATTTGTCTGAGCCAGGCTCTCTGACTCTGCTCCCCAAGGTGCATCTCCCTTGGCCCTGTTGCCCAGCCGGCTTCTTGGAGCCGCTTCTAGACACACTTGCTCAGGGCCTTACCACAGGTGGTGTTTCCTAGATGCCAGCGCCACCGAGTATTTTCCTGCCCTTTCCCGGCAGGCATTGCCTAGCTCTGGGATTCATGTGCTCAGGCATCCAAGGCTTCCTGCTTATTCTAGTAGCAGTGTCCCTCATCTGCATTTGAAAGGTTCTTGAGACCTGGGACCAGGATTGAGGGGCTGGGACAGGGCACCCTGCTGACTGTTTCCTGAGGGCCCCTTCTCTGCACCCCCAGGACTGTGTGCAGCTGAACCAGTACAAGCTGCAGAGTGAGATCGGCAAGGTAGGACTGGGGCTGGGGGGTCCCCTGGGACCCTCTGCTGGAATAGTCCCTTCAGGAATGGGGGTGACAGAGTAGGGGGGCTCCAGCCTGGGAGGGAGGAAAGTTGTGTTCTCTGCATGTGGGGAGTTCCTGCCCTCCCCCCCCACCTCCACCAGGGGTCACTGACTAGAGATTTCGTAACAGGGACCCAGGAGGGACTAGAGGGGCCTGAGGCAGGGCAGTTACCACTTGTCATCTTAAATCTTTGGTCTGGATGCAGATGGGAGGCAGGAAGGGGCTGGAGTTACTCAGACGCCCCCTTTCTGTGGGGCCGTCCTGTGCTTGTTTGCAGGGGGCCTATGGTGTGGTGAGGCTGGCCTACAATGAGAGCGAAGATAGGCACTACGTGAGTGTGGGAAATGGGGGTAGCAGGGAGGGGGCGGGGACAAGACCGTCTCTAGGGAGGGGACGCGCCCAGCCCAGAAGCTTGCAGAAAGAAGGAAGGGGAGCATGTGGCAAGGGGTCCTCCCTAGAGGTACTGGCCAGGAGGACGCCAGGGTTCTACCTGGTAATGGCCAAAATGCTGCACAGTTCAGAGATTGAACCAGGTCCCTATGCACGCAAATACTTCCCTCAGCTCCCCTCCCTCCCCTCCCTTGCCCCTTCCCCTTCCCTCCCTCTCCCCTTCTTCCTCCTCTCCCCTCCCTTCCTCCCCCTCTCCTTCCTCTCCCGTCCTCCTCCCCCTTCCTTCCCCTTTTCTTTTCCCTTCTCCCTCCCCTTCCCTATTTCCTTTCTTTTCCCCATTCCCTTCCTCTTCCCCCTTTCCCTCCCCTTCCCCTTTTCCTCCCTTCCTGTCCCCTCCTCTTCCCTTCCTTCCCTTCCCCTCTCAGGGGCTACTCCCTGGGAAATCTCTCTAAAGCAGGAGACCCTGTAGAGCCAGGGGTGGGGACCCCAAGCCTCCCGCATGCAAAGCCTGCCCGCTGAGCTTTGGAGCCATCCCGCTGTCCTCAAGTGTGCGCTCCACCCTTGACCTTGGGACTATGCAAAGGGAGGCCTCCTGCTCTGAGGGCAGAGCTCCAGAAACGGCTTGCTGGTGGAAAGGAGTCAGTCCTCCCTTTAACCAACTCAGCCACATCCAGAGGGGCCCTCCTCGGTGCCAGGCAGACCGCCGGTGTGCCTTTCTGGACTTCAGTCCATATGTCACATGCCTGTTCCGGCCCCAGGTGGCTGCAACACATGACTGACATCTTCATCCCTCCCCCCCTTAGGCAATGAAAGTTCTCTCCAAAAAGAAGCTACTGAAGCAGTATGGCTTTCCACGTACGTAGGCGGGTCCCATGCTCACTTGGGAGCTCTTGGCTTGGGGATCTCTGTCCCTAGCTCATTTTTGTTAGGATCTGGGATCATGGGCTTTTAGTGAACAAAAGTCTGGCTTTTGCTCATGTGGGAAGATGCTCCATGGGTCTGATAAGGGTCTGGCTCGTGGCTAGCATCTTTGTGCATCTGGAATGTCTCACCCCCTCCCGCTTGCAGGCCGCCCTCCCCCCAGAGGGTCCCAGGCAGCCCAGGGAGGACCAACCAAGCCGCTGCTGCCCCTTGAGCGGGTGTACCAAGAGATTGCCATCCTGAAGAAGCTGGACCACCTGAACGTGGTCAAGCTCATTGAGGTAGGAGGCAGTGATGAGCTTGGGTCTGCCCCACGGTGGTATGGCTGAGGCTGACAAGGGCAGGACCAGACCTGGGACAGGGGCTGTAGAGAGGCTTGAGGGGTCAGTTCAGGTTGACCTGGGATATTCTCAAGGTCCCGTGAGGGGGAGTGGCTGCCCCCAAACAAGAAGTAAGTCCCTCCCCCATCATCTGGAACAGAAGAGGCTGGGTGTACAGTTCCTGCTTCATTGTCTGGGGTAGCAGCAGCACACACGAGGGGTCCTGGGGCCGATGAAGGCAAGGAGAACTGGGACACCGACCCTCTGTCTCCTCACGCCTTGCCCTCATGTCTGCTCTCCCTGGTCAGGTCCTGGATGACCCTGCTGAGGACAATCTCTATTTGGGTGAGTGACCCACCTCCTTGTCACAGCAGCTTACCTGGGCATCATCCCTGGGGACACGTGGGACCATGGGAACACCTGACTTCCGAGCTGTCAGTCAGTGTCAAGCCCTCGAGTGTCAAGTCCCACCTTGCTGACCCAGACTCAGAATGCCCAGCTAGACTGAGCAACGTCCCCAGCCCCAGCCCTGCCAGACTGGCACTGTCAGGGGAGCTGGGGCAGGTAGCAGGCCACGTGATCGGGGTTCCCACAGCCAGTCTGATAACCCTGTGCTTCTGCTTCCTCACCAGTAAGAGAAGGGTCACGCAGTGTGGGTGGGGAGTAAATGAGTGACTGTCACTGTGGACATAGTGATTGCTGGAGTGTTGGTGCTGGGTGCAGGCTGGGCAGAAAGACACTGGCTTAGGGGTTAGAGGCCAGCGCACTCCTCTCCTCCCTGCCTTTCTGCTGTGACCTTAAGGAAAGAGACTGCCCCTTCTTGGAACCTCACTTTCTCTCCATCATTTCCCCTGACCCCCACCCAGCCCATAGCAGGGCTGCATGCTGATGGGCCTAGACCCCGGTCTCATGCCTCTACCTGCTATGACACATAGGACCCCCATCCTGTCTCCCCCTCAAGTCATTTGGAACGCCTGTCCCCCTCACCCCTCCAAAACAGGAGAGGCCTTGGTGTCACCGGCTTGCACAGCCTGACTGCTTATTTTTTTCTTTTCTTTTTTTTCAGTGTTTGACCTCCTGAGAAAGGGGTGAGTTCCCCACACCAACCAGGCGGGTCAGATCTAACCCCTCCCAGTGTCTCTAGTCCTGGGGTCCGCTCTGCTTGGAGCAGATTAGCTCCCGGCCCTGCGCTGGGGAGCTCAGGTCTGAGGGATAAATGAGGGAGCAAGAGGAACATGATCTGAAGGCCAAGGGGAGTAGTGAGGCTGGAATAATCTGATGGTTTCTGGAAGAGGAGAGGTTCTGGGCCAGGTCTTGGAGAACAGAAAAAATTGTGATGGAGGACAGGGAGAAGAAAAGAGTTTTTTTCAAGTGAAAGTTTAGAGATGGAACTCGACTCTTACCTGTGTTCACATCTCAGAGTTCCTTTGACTGTAAGGCTGTGAGTGGGGACTCCCCACCCATGTACAAGGGGGGAACTAAGGTTCACAGAGGGTGAGAGCTCAGCTCAGATCATAATGAACCTAGGGCTCTTGCTCATTGGCTGCCTTTTTTGGTTTTCTTGGGTATTTGCAGAACAGCGGGTGTGGAATCGGGAGCATGGGACTGAGTAAACTGGGCACCAACAACTCAGGCCCTGGAGAGAGGTTGTGACTTGTCTCTTGGCCTGGAACTACCTAAAGACTCCTTCAGTTTGAGGAGGGCAGAGAACAGAAAGCAGTTTCCTGTTACTCAGGGGCTCGTAAAGTTGTGTGCCTCCTTACAGAGTAAGAAACATGTTTTATGTTACACATTTGTAACTGAGACCAAGTTTTTATAAACATATATATATATATTACATATGATATACCCTGATGCATTTTACATTACTAGAAAAAAAAAGCAGTATTCACTAAATTGATTTCATGACCTCTTGGTTTTGAATCTGCCATTAAGAAACCTACCTTAAGGGCCTCTTTGGAATTGTTTGAGTGTAGATAATTTAGTACTTAGAAGAAGGGGAATACCAGGGCATCAAATTTAGCCTAAAGCTAATACGAAATTCTCGTGATTGAAGGGGGATGATTGTGTGAGAGTTTTGCTACATAGGAGAAGTTAGCTGCTTGCATTCTGGAAACCTGTTTGAGTGTAGAAGGCCATCCAAGAGATGCCAAGGGCCTGGATGGCACAGCCTCTGCCCGCTTCACCAGCGGCTCACCTTTCCTCGTTCCTACTGAACACCCTCCTTCCTGCCCTCCCCATAGGCCGGTCATGGACGTGCCTTGTGACAAGCCCTTGTCAGAGGAGCAGGCACGACTCTACCTGCGGGACATCATCCTGGGCCTTGAGTATTGTGAGTGAACTACCTCCCGGCCCTGGGCTGGGACTGGAAGTGGACTCAGGCAGTGACAGCTCCAGCGAGCAGCCCCCAGCCAGTTGTGTCAGTCAGCGCCGATCTACCAATCAGCTTCAGCTGGGGGTGGGGCGTGGGTTGGGAGTGGGGCAAACCCCTTAGTTAGTGGGCGGGGCTGGGCCCTGCTGACATCTCTGGGCTTGCAGGGATCTCCATGCTGTGCAGCCTGCAGTCAGCGCAGTGGGAGTTCCTGTCAGTATCTCCCACCTACTGGGACTTAGCCAAGCTTCGCCTCTCTCAGGGCCTCATGAAAGAGAGTTATGCCCTGCTGCACCAGGATGGGTCCCTTGGCAGGGGACCTGTGCATTTAAGGGGTGGTTCTCAGAGAGGGAGGATCTTAGCTTGGTCTCTGCGTCTGTGGAGGCAGCCAGGGTGGCATCACTGTACAAGACAACCAGGCAGAGAGCCTGCAGGACAGCAGGCAGGAGCTGTTTAAGAACTGGAAGTCCAGTGTGAGTGAGCGGTGGGCAAGTGGAAGGAGATGCTCCCCTGGCCACTGTAAGGCAAGGAATGCCTGCACGGAGCGAGAGGCCATGATCGGATTGCTTCCAAAGCTCTGTCAGGCGGCTTTGTCAGGACTAGATGGAGGGCAAGAAGAGCCGGCTGGTTCGGGAAGAAACTGTTTGTCCTGGCCTAGTGACAGCTGGTGAGGCCTGGATTAGGGGAGTTGCAGTGGGGAGGAGATAAGAATGTTGGGGGAGGGGTTGGAGTGACAATATAGCGGGGAGGGCGTTTGCCTTGCACATGGCTGACCTGGGTTCGATTCCTGGCATCCCATATGGTCCCCTGAGCACTGCCAGGAGTTATTTCTGAGTACAGAGCCAGGAGTAACCCTTGAGCATCGTCAGGTATGACCCAGAAAGCCAAAAAAAAATGTTGGGGGGATGCCTAGCACTGTGAAGAGCTCAGGAGAAGAGGGGGTCCCCAAACACCTAAGGAAGAGAGAGCCCTGAACCCAGTAATGCCATTGATAGCCCCATCAAGTGGCCTGTATAACCTCTACCCCCTTTCTGTCCTGGGGGCTTCTCAGTTGAGAGTTTGTTCTCTCCCCTCACCAGGGAAGGCTAGAAATGGCCTAAGGAACCCCATCCCAGGTTCCTCCCTGCTCCTCAGCCACAGGCACCTTGATAGCCATGAAGAGAGCACTGGACTTGGAGTCCAGATACTCATAAGATTTAGACTTGGCTCCTCTGTGACAGCCTGGGCCTGCACAGAGGCTCCTGAGACCTTTGCCCAGGTCCTCGTGAGATGCAAGTGTTCGGGGCAGTGCGAGGGACTTCTTAGCCAGGCCAGGACTCTGGGCGGCCCCCTCAAGTGGCCTTTGTCTGCAGTGCATTTCCAGAAGATCATCCACAGGGACATCAAGCCGTCTAACCTGCTCCTGGGGGACGACGGGCGCGTGAAGATCGCCGACTTTGGCGTCAGCAACCAGTTTGAAGGGAATGACGCGCAGCTGTCCAGCACGGCGGGGACTCCTGCCTTCATGGCTCCAGAGGCGATTTCGGATTCTGGCCAGAGCTTCAGCGGGAAGGTAGCCTCCAGGGCCCGGCTGGGGTGGGGTTCAGGGGGAAATGTGGAGTATTTTGCATTGGGGGGGTAGGGGGTGGATACCAGTTGCAGCTTTCGGGGCCAAGGTTCTTGTGTCTAGGATAGAATCATCTGACATGATTTCCTCCTTCATTTGATTTGTTTTGCGTTTGGAGCCATACCTGGCAGTGCTCAGGGCTGACTCCTGGCTCATACTCGGAAAGTGGTGCCGGAGATCAATTCTGGATGGGCCATGTGCAAGGCAAGCGCCCTACCTGCTGTACTATCACTCCAACCTCCCCTTTTCATACCTGACTCTGTTGGCCCCCAAAACTCCTTAGCTGTGGCCTCTTCTTTTCTAGCCAAACAGCACCAAGTCTCCTGCAGGTAATTCCTGCCAGGAGCTCTGCTCTGAGCTAGGGAATGACAGAATCTCTGGAGATGGTGGAAAGAGCAGGAAGGTGCGTTTGGGGCAGAGGCTCCCCCCGCCCCGACTTTCAGGATCTGGCTCAGCCTTGGAGAGCGAAGGCAGTGGGGGGGGGTGGGATTAGGACAGTAGGAACTCAGCAACTACTCAGCTACTCCAGAGAGTTGCAGGGCATTGGTGGGGGGACACGGTGGGGTTTAGGTAGAATTCAAAGATCCTGGAGTTTGGGCTCTCTCCTCGGTGGTAGAGATAGGCTTTCCCAGCAGGGAGGGGGCTACAGTTCAGTGTATTAGCTGTGGGGTGCCACCCCTGCCCCATCCCCATCCCCACCTCTCCTCTGTGCCTCTGTCACACAGGCAATGGATGGTTGTAAGGTCTTAGACTTGCATGGTGCTGTGATGCTCAGAAGACAGGTCAGGAATACAATTAGAAACTTTCGAAAAACTTTATTTGGGTATAACCCCACATTTGCCGCAAAATTGTAGGGATAGTAATGTATCTGTGTGTGTGTGTGTGTGTGTGTGTGTGTGTTTGTGTGTGTATTTTGGGACCATGTCCAGATGTGCTCTGGGATTATTTATGGCTCTGTGCTCAGAGATCGCTTCTGGCAGGGCTCAGAGGACCATATGAGGTGCCAGGGATTGAACCCTGGTTGGCTGCATTCAAGGCAAGTATCCTGTCCACTGTACTTTCACTCCAGTCCAATGTATAATATGTGTGTGTGTGTGTGTGTGTAAGTATGTATACCTATACATACATACATAGTAAAATGCCACTGAGACACTGAGACTGGGATCTTAACTCATTTACTTTTTCATTTTCTCTTCCTACATTTCTATGTATGCAGAATACATCTTTCTGAACCATCAAGAGCTAAACTAGAGATGCTATCACCCTTATAACTAAATTTTAATTTTGTTTTTCATGTGTTTTGGGGGATGTCATCTCCCCAGCTGTGCCAAGGGCCCTCCACACTGTAACCTGCAGTGATTAAGATACTGTGTGGTTCCATGCACTCCTGCCTTCGCATACTCTCCTTGGCCTGTTCCTAATTATTTGAGCATATATTTTCTAACAAGGGCATTCTGTTATGTAACCTCAGGACAATGAGAAAAACTAGGAAATTCATCATTGATTTTAAAAAACAAAAACTATTATTTTTTTGACTATGTTCAGATTTCTTTCTTGTCCTTCTATTGCCCATTTTTTGTTGTGTCTTGGTTTTGTATTTTTGTTTTTGGAGCCATCCCTGATGGAGCTATTCTAGCTCTGTGCTTAGGGGCCTTTCCTGGCAGTGCTTAGGGACCATCTAGTGTTGAGCCAGAGCATCCTGGGACCGCAGCATCAAAGCATCCCTTCAACCTGCTGAGCTGTCTCTCCCACCCTGCTATCCTCCTGTAATGCCTTTCCTGTGGTCCAGGATCCCATGCAGGGCCAGTCTCGCAACAATTTGTCACTTCTCCTTGGAGTCCTTTACTCTGGATGAGTCCAGGGCCTTTCCCTATCTTTTTCAGCCTTGGCATGTATGAAGAGCACAGGCCAGCTTTTTGGTAAGGTCATGTCAGCTCACTTTTCCGTTCATTTTTTCTGATGTTCTAGATTGGAATTGTACAGGAATAGACAAGGAGAGATTGGAGAGTCACTCCTGAGAGAAAGGAACAGGGTACCAAGCAAGGAGATGGGAAGCAGAGTGCCACAGGGGAGGGTTGAGGTACAGATGGTGGAGACCCAGAGGCCTGGTATGACAGGGCTGTGTGTGGCATCAGTAAGAAGGTGGATATTGGTGATGGTTAGGGAGGGGTGATCTCTGGAGGCCAGAGCCAGCACAGTGGGTGTGAGTGCAGTAGGAGGCATGCATTTCTGGGGTGCAGTTGAGTCACGGGCACAGCAGATGTGAGCCTACAGGCAGAGGTCCCAAGATTTACTTGGCTTACTCACTGCCTACTGTCTAGAAACAATTTATCCAGTTCCCTGCTAGAAATTTACTTGTGTTGGTTTTTCAGTCATGCCTGGTGGTGCTCAGGGGTTAGTCCTAGTGGTATTCAGGTGACCATATGGAATCCCAGGGATGGACCCTGGGTTGGTCGCATGTAAGGCCAATGCCCTACCCACTTCACTACCACTCTAGGCTCTGTAAATTGACTTTATTCAAATGAACAAACAGAAAGCAACCCCCAGTTGTACCAGAGGCTACTACACCCCTGGATGCTTCAGCGCCTGCTGGGTGCTGGGAAATTGGGGCGTGGTCCACTGTGAGGAACAGAGCTGTAGGTAAAAGAGGTCTCATTCCAAGTAGGCAGGAAATGTCTTCATCTGGGCCTTTCCTGGGGAGACTTAGACTCGCTGGAGGGCAGGGCCTCATTCTGGTCATCCCTCTGCCCCCACACCCCCCATGCTCAGCGCAGCATCTGGCATGGGAGTGTTTGAGGGGAGAATGTACAGCTGAGGAAGGAGGCTTCACATGCCCACTGGAGATGGGGCAAAGGGCGCTGACTCCTCCCGAGGACTGATGGGAACTGTTTCTCTCTAGGCCTTGGATGTGTGGGCCACGGGGGTGACACTGTACTGCTTCGTCTACGGGAAGGTGAGTGCTGGGGAGCCCACACAGCCCCCTGGGCTGCACCCACCCATGCCATGACAGCTGCAGGCCCTCACAAGTTAGTGACAGGAAGGAGCCTGCAGGGCTCACAGATGGTGGCTCCAGAGAAGAGGCATGTGTGGGACCCTGAGTCTCATCCCTAGCACCATATGGTCCTCCAGAACTGCCTCTATTAAAAAAACCTAATCAAAGGAAAGAAAAAAAAAAGCCACCCCGGAGACGACCAAGAGGGGAGCTTTGCTGTGCCCTCTTGTCCCCGTCAGATGGACCCTGTGACCGTAGACTGCACAGGAGGAGGTCGCATGAATGGTGCCACCTTTTCACCTTTCTTCCCTCTCCTTCCATCCTCAGAACCAGGCATTCATTCACCCTTCCCCCAGCCCTGCTCCAGTTCTGGGTCAGATTGGGATCTGGGTCCCCCAGCACTGTCTTGGCCAGATTCCTTGGCCAGATTCCGCTCTGGTGACCATCCGGAAAGCTGGGGTCTGGGGAGGTGTTACCTCTTCAGGGCACCGGGCCCTGTAGTTACCCTGAGCCTTGTGGGTTCATCCATATCTGTGCCAGGCCCTGAGCCAGGCCATGGGACATGGAGCCCAGCGCTGCCCTCTCCCAGGCCCCTGCCGAGACCCTGGGTCTGAGAACTGTGTGCTTTCCCCTGCAGTGCCCCTTCATCGATGACTACATCCTGGCCCTGCACAGGAAGATCAAGAACGAGTCCGTGATGTTTCCTGAAGAGTGAGTCTCCCCTCACCCCTCCCAGAGGGGGCTCCCATGCCTGCAGGGGAGGGGGTGTCTGAGTTTCCGCAGCTTTGCCCTTTGAGGCATGCTGCACCCCCCTACCCCACCCCATCTGCAGCCGGGCAGTAGGGTTCTTATCTGAGAGTTGCCTGGAGCAGATAGGAGAAATAGCTAAGGTGGTTCCCACGGTGCAGCCAGCACTGCCCCTTCATGCGGGGGAGGGGGCAATGGACCAACCCCACAGAGATTCTGGACTTGGAGAACCCTCCTCATGTGCAGCCTGAGGGCTGTGAGATGCCATTGTGGGGCCAGGGAGAGCTCCCAGGGCTGGAGTCCCTCTATTAGAGGCGCTGACCCCACGTCTGAGCTTGGGCTCTGTGAAGTCACCCGAGCACTGCTGGTGTGGCCCGGGGGCCCCAGCCCCACTGGACCAGGGCAACCCCTAAGCAGGATGTCAGGTCAAGTGTCACGTGAGTGGCTCCCCAGCCCTCTGAGAAGTACGTGAGAGGCTCCCCATCCCTTCTAAAGGTGCCAGGGTGCTCCCCCACTTCACAGATGGAAAAGAGACCGGAGGAGTGGGGTCAGCTTGTCTAGGATCTGAAGCCACTTTCTCTCCCAGAGAACTGGGACGTAGTTCGTGCTCAGGGTCAGGCACTCCCTCTGCTCAGAGACCTCTGTCATGGGCACCACTGAGTTCATCACTGAGTTTAGATCGTGATTTCCGTGGCGGCCAGCCTGGGCCCCAGACCCTCAGACTTCAGGACCCTCTGTCTTCTGCACACAGAAGCTGGGGCAAGAGGCCAGAGCGATAGTATAGTAGGCAGGGCACTTACCTAGCATATGGTTGAACGGGGTTTGATCCCTGGCATCCATATGGTCACCTGAGACCAGCTAGGAGTATTGCAGAGCCAGGAGTAAGCCCTGAGCACCACTGGATATAACAGGAAGGGAGGGAGGGAGGGAGGGAGGGAGGGAGGGAGGGAGGGAGGGAGAGAGGGAGGGAGGGAGGGAGGGAGGGAGGGAGGGAAGGGGGAGGGAAGGGAAGAAAGGAAAGAAGAAAGGGGGGAGGGAGGGAGGGAGAAAAGGAGGGAGGGAAGGAGGGAGGGAGGGAGGAAGGAAGAAGAAAGGAAGGAAGGAAAGAGAAAGGAAGGAGAAAAGAGAAAAGAATTCAGGGCGAGTTAGAACCCACCAGGCATGCCTCCTGATGCTGCCTGTCCCTCAAGCCCCTTTCCTGTCCCAGCTGTCCCACCCCCTGCAGAGCTCTGGGCCTCACTGCCATCTACCCACATCACGATGCCTGGCCTGGTCTCCTCCTTTCTGCTGTCCCTACTGTCCACTCACTCCTGTCCAGTCTCACGCAGGCTGGGGGACCACAAGAGAACACATCTGGGGTCACCGCTGTCCTGCAGAGCCTTTGGCCAAGGCTTGCTCCCGCCCAGCCCTGGCTCTGGCATTCCAGGGGCTCGGGCCTTGCCCTGCCAGCATGCTGCCCCCTTGCTCCCTAGCGCAGCGCTGGCCAGCCCAGTGCTCTCCTAGCTTGTCTGAACCTGCATGGCAAGCTCTTCCCAGCTCAGACTGCAGCAAGGGGTGAAGCATTTTGTTTTTTTTTTGTTTGTTTTTTGTTTTACTTTTTGGGTCACACCTGGCAATGCACAGGGTTTACTCCTGGCTCTGCACTCAGGAATTACCCCTCCCTGGCGGTGCTCAGGGGACCTTTTGGGATGCTAGGAATCAAACTGGGGTTGGCTGCATGCAAGGCAAACGCCCTACCCTCTGTGCTACTTCTCCAGCCCCAGGTGAAGCATTTTGGACGGCTCAGCACAACAGGACGGATAGTCCTGAGCATGGGTTCCTTCCCTGAGACTTGGGGGATGGGAATGTGGGAACAAGGAAGACCAAGTTGGGGAAGGGACGGTGTAGGCTAAATGGGGCCTCCCCGCCCAGCTTACTTTTTCTAGCAGAAACTGTGCCTGGGCTCAGCCGCCACCTCTGTCCATGGCGACTCTTCTCTGATCCCTGTAGAAGGAGGGGGTGTGTGGAGCGAGGGACCTGAGTGTCCTCACATTGTCCTCACCATCTCTGCCTGCCCAACTCTCTGTGCCTGGGGCCTGTGTCCCAGAGGCCACAGCTTCCCGTCCCACTCAATTGCTGGGGGTTTCCGACACTTATCCTGAAACGCCTACCGCCCTGGGAGACTCCTTTCTGCTCTGGGAGGTTGAGGATGAGGGTGGGGAGGGAAGGGTCCTTACCCACTCTCCCTCTTTTCCTCCTCATTAGGCCAAAGATCAGTGAGGAGCTCAAGGACCTAATCTTGAAGATGCTGGACAAGAATCCCGAGACAAGAATTGGGGTGCCAGACATCAAGGTAGGGGAACCAGAGGATCCCAGAAGAACTGGGCTAGACAGAAAACCCAGGCCTCAGTTTCCCCCTGGGGAGTCTACCGTGAGGACATCTGGGCATGGGCTTGGGCTTTGGGCCTATGAGCTTTGCACGTCTCCAAAGCATTGACTAGCATATCTGGGGCCCCTGTCTGCCTGTGGCCCTCACCCCTCTCTGCCTCCCTGGCCCCCTCAGATGCACCCCTGGGTGACTAGGAATGGGGAGGAGCCCCTTCCGTCTGAGGAGGAGCACTGCAGTGTGGTGGAGGTGACTGAGGAGGAGGTGAAGAACTCGGTCAAGGTCATCCCCAGCTGGACCACGGTGGTAAGAGGGGGAGCCCCCAAGAGGGATGTGGCCATGGAAGCCCACCCAGGGGAGGGAGAGGGTTTCCTCCTCCCCCCGCCCCCATCTGCAAGATAAGGCTCTGGATTTCTGCCCTTCCCAGGCTGCTCCCACCAATGCTGGTTGCCTCCAGTGCATGCTTCTTCCTTCTTGGTCCTCTGAGCTCTTGCCCAGGCTGTTCTGTCTTCCTTTCCAGGAGCCCTAGCATGGCCCCTGGCTTCTGCCCTTGGGGGGGCGGGTCAGAGAGTCTGCTGGCATGGGGAATCTGGGGGGGTGGGGTTATTCCTCACGTGGTGTGTCACCCCCAGATCCTGGTTAAGTCCATGCTGAGAAAGCGCTCCTTCGGGAACCCGTTCGACTCCCAGGCTCGGAGGGAAGAGCGATCCATGTCTGCTTCAGGAAACTTCCTGTTGTGAGTATGGTGGGCACTCCCTGGGGAGGTGGCGGGGAAGCTTGGACACGTCCCCCTACTCTCACTCTGGGGACCGCTCAGGCTGAACCCAGAGCCTGGGGTGCAACCGTGTCTCCAGCTCGGGTCCTGTGGGCAGTGTCCTCGTCCCAGCAGCCTGTGGAGATTCGCACACAACCCCCGTCTGGTTTCACGAGACTCCCAAACCATGCTCAGGGTCCCAGGGGTTATTCCTGGTGACATTCCAGCAGCCACGCTAGTGGTTCTGTATGAAGGACCGAGGATGTGGTGCTGTGCTGGCTCACCAGCACTGCTGGGGGGCCCCCGGAGCCACAGCCACCGACGCTCAGGAGGCATGGTGGGGCATTTGGCTCCTGGGAATAGAGCTGAGTTGGGCTTGTGGAGGGTTGTCCAGCTCATCAGTGCTAGAAGGTTGGCCACTCTGGCTCTGCCTGGCCGGAAGCAGTGCTGACCATTTGTGTTCGTGGTCCCCTGTCCCTGCAGCCTCACCGTGGCCGAGGACTTGAGCCTTATAGCTTTGTGAATGCTTGCCGTCCAAGTAAACGCAGACATGGGAACAAGCTGCCTCTCAGGGCTAGGAAAGTGCCACGCTCCCCTGCCCCACGCCCCCCGTTTGTTGAAGCCTCCCTTCTGTAAAAGGCACATGCCTTCAGCACCTTCTTCCACTAAATTTAGAGCCCTTCCAAGTCTGTAGGCCCCGATGCTGCCACGGGGCTTAGAAAAAGTAGAACATTGTATTGATTTACGTTTGGGTTCTGGGCCATCCTGATAGTGTCAGGAGGCTACTCCCAGCTCCGTGCTCTGTGTGCAGTGCCGAAATTGAACTCGCAGCCTCTTGCATGCAAAGCATGTGTCCAGCCCATTGAGCCATCTCTCTGGCCCTCAGAGGATACCCCTTTTTTTAGTGTCTAGATAAAACCACTTTGGAGAGTGTCCAAGGAGGGTATTACTAATCATTTATGCTGGAACATCAGGCATAACTCCCGCTGAGTCAGCCAAACCTGGAGGTTGGTCACAAGCCTTGAGTCTGTGACTCAGCTTCCTCTCCTAGTGGCTCAGGCCAGTCACAGGGACAGAGCTGGGCCCATGGGAATTATGTGCGTGGGAAGCCATCATTGACAGCCTTGTAAATCACAGAACCTCAACCAATTAAAGAGTTTTAAAAAAAACAAACAGAGCAGGGCCCACAGAGACAACTGAGAAAGCGTGGATAGGCCCTGGGTGATGTGTTTCAAACAGGCAGGTTCCCTCATCTGGACTAGGAAGGGATCGGTCTTAATACCTGCAGCTATAATAGTTTATAATCCTGTGACCCAACTTTAGTTCTGAGAAGTAGTTTTTTACCTTCTCATCGAGTACCAGTGTTTGTCTTTGAAAGATTGTTTTTCACACTGTGGGATAATTGTTGAAATTGCAGTAGGGTTAAATGGCATTGATTCTTTATTTTGTTTTTTAAGATATCAAAACCCTTAATTGGTCAACTTTATTATTTTTTTTCTTTTTGGAATCACACCCAGCGATGCACAGGGGTTACTCCTGGCTCTGCACTCAGGAGTTACTACTGGCAGTGCTCAGGGGACCATATGGGATGCTGGGAATCAAACCCGGGTCAGCCTCGTGCAAGGCAAACGCCCTACCCACTGTGCTATCTCTCCAGCCCCAATTGCTCATTTTTAAAAAAAAAAGGTCTTGGGAAGAAAATCAGATGCAAAAGTTAATTGAATATTTAGTGGATTCCCCCAAAGCGGTATCTAGACTGGATCCCGGCAGGATCCCGGTGAGGTGTGCACCCTGAGGCACAAGGCTGCCCCGTGAATGCGACAAAAAACATGCAAAACCAAACCTTTTCCACTAGGATGCTAAGGGGTGGTGAGGGCCAAAGCAGAGGCCTGCCCCACTGCTGGTGGTCCAGGGTATAGAGAGGTCAGAGGAAGGAGAGGTTCGGAGGACTGGTGGGAAGTCCAACCTTCATCTTCAGGCAGTCAAAAGCCATGGAGTTTAGAAGGGGCTTAGAAGGGACCCACAGAGACAACCCAGACGGCCTGCCGTGATGTGGAGGAAGATGAGGCAAGCTAGGGAACCTGGGCACCTCGGGGATCTGAGAGTATGTACATTGAATTCCTGGAAGCATGGGGGCAGGGGGTAGACCTTCTGAGTGCGTGTTCTGACCCCAGTGGCCTCCAACTCCGGGTGTCTCCTGAACAGGAAAGAAGGGTGTGGTGAACGGGGGAAGAGCCCCGAGCTTCCCGGTGTCCAAGAAGACGAGGCTGCATCCTGAGCCCTTGCCTGCCCGTGGCCGCCCAGCAGCACGCTCATCCCGCGCCTCCAAAGGCCCGCCGCCCTCTCACCGACAGCCGCCCCTGTGGCCAGGGGCCTGGGGACGGTGGCCCTGCTCCCAGCCCCCTCCCCTGTCGTGCTGCATGACCTCCGCACGTGTGTCCAGGGTCAGGATTGCAACGTGGCTCATCGGGCGTGGGGGGTGAGGCACAAGGCTCCCGCCAAACCTTTTTTCTCCTCCTGGCTCTCCCTGGCAGGAGCCATCCTGTGGGGAAGCTTGGTGCCCATGGTGCCTTAGAAGCCCCACCCGGCTGGTTGGCAAGGCCTGGGGGCAGGAGGCGGGCAACCAGAATGGCAGGCAGAAGCCCGGCTTACCGCAGCTGCAGACAGTGGGCCTAAGGGTAGGGGGCCCAGCTCAGCAACCAGTGCACGTGGACAGTGAAGCCTGCCCACCCCCAGGGGGTAGTGCCGGAGCTCTTGTTTGATCCAAGACTGATCTGGAGGCCCTGGCCCCTCCAGGTTGCCGGGGCTTCCCTGGGGAGAGGCCTGGATGGGAGAATTTTGATGCCTTTTCTGTTGTCTTCCTCTTTGGCGTTTACCCTGAGGTGGGGAGGACAAAGCCTTGCTCCGGAACCTCCAGTGAGTTTTTCTACAGTGTTGGGTGATGCCCAGCACACCCTGTAATTGTTGGCAGCCAAATGGACCAGCAGACTGACCTCCCCTTCCGCATTTTACACTCAAATAGACTGAATTCAAGCTCCGAGCGGAGGCCCGAACCCGGCCCACATCATTCATGCACACCCCCTTCTCCCTTCATGGCTGCAGGAGAGGCCTGGACCCACCTGGTACCCAGGCCCTGGACTCACAGACTGGAGCCTTGCACATGCTGGAGTAACTGGAACCCCCTGTCCCATCCTCCCCTGTCCTCTGCCCCGGACACTGCGCTCACATTCCGACGATGAAGGACAAACTGCCGGGGTCAGCCGCAGCATTGGAGGCAGGATCCCGGTGAGGTGTGCACCCTGGCATGTGGCCATGGAGAGGTGAGGTTCCCCGCCCTTGCCTCCTGCTGGCCCGCCAAGACCTCACATTCCATGCACTGGGAGCTGGAACAGCGGGATGGCATTCCCTTGGCCGTGCTGTGGGCTGCCTTCATCTTCTCTCTGGGATTAGAGCCTGCTGGCTGGCTTTGCTGTTTACTGACCAAATACTCAAGAGATTGACCCCCAAAGACAAAGAAAGCTGGACTCGGGTGCCTCCCCTGGGAACACAGGCAAAACAAGAAGTCTCCTCAGTCTCTGTGGGTGTCACGTCACAGGAGGCTGGGGCTGGAGGAACGCCCACAGCCCGTGCCCGTGGGTGTCCATCGCGCCTCCGCACACGCGCATGTGCGTGTCCATCTGCTGCACACAGCACCCTCGCATGCCTTGCACTGGCACGTGCATCTGTACTATAGTTTCTATGTCTATTTAAGGCCAGGAGCAGAATGCAGCCCAGGCCCACGGTCCTCCTTTCTCCCTGGCTCCTCGAGTTCTAGCATTGTAAGCCTGGGCTTCAAAAAGAGTCTGCAACTGTTTCTAAGAACACTTTTATAGAGTTCATGGGAAGCCAATTAAAGGCCATAGGCCTACGGGTTTTTCGTGGGGACCTTTGCACAGGGGTTTGGAAGTGTGAGTGGGGCAGGTGTTGGGTTTTCAGAGCTCCCTTGATTGGTTCTGCCCTCACGGAGGCCAACCCAGCTTCATTGCCTGGGACCAAGCCCTCATGTGGCCCTTACCCCATCACTAAAGGTCTGGGTGGTATCTTTGGTTTTTTGTTTGTTTGTTTGTTTGTGTGTGTGTGTTTGTTTTTTTAATGTAGCACAAGCAAGGAACAAACTCTATAAGAGTGTTTTAAAAGTTAACTTCCCAGGAAGTGAGTTAAAGACAATAAAAAGCCCTTACTTGAGTTAAAAGCTTGGTATTGGTGCCTTTGGTTTTTATTCAGTCTGGAAGTGTGTTATTCCTGGTAGTTTTTTCATTTTGTTTTCTTTTTGGTTTGGGGCCACACTTAGCTCTGCAGAGAGCTTACTTCTGGCTCTGTACTCAGGGATCACTCCTGGCAGTGCTTGCGGACCACAAGGGGCGCTGGGGACTACTGCTTCAATGTATGTTCTTTTTCATCAGTTGGCCTCGCTGACTTTGCCGCCTTTTCTGGAAGGGTCTGTAGTTGGGGAGAGCTCTGGGACTGGGGAGAGGATGGGAGGGTGGAAGGCTGGCTCTGAAGGTTGTGAAAGCTACAGTCTTAGGTACAGCTCAGCCTTCTGGGAACACCCTGTGACCCTACCTTGGAAGAAAAGGATGTTTGGAGCTGATGGACCACCTGTGAGAGTACCTGCTTTCAGCAGTCTAGGGAGGCCAGGTCTCTGTGTCATCACTCCTCAGGGGTAAAATTCCCACCGGGGGGGCCTGAGAATTACTCTGGATAGGGTGCTCACTTTGCACACAACTGACCTAAGTTCAGTCCCTGGTACCCCAAAGGGTTCCCTGAGTCTTCCAGGAGTGATCCCTGAGTGCAGAGCCAGGGCTAAGCCATGAGCACAACTGGGTATCACCCCAAAACAAAACAGGCCCCATTTGAGGTCTTGTGGGAGTTCCCCTGCTGCTGCTGGTCAGGTTTCTTTCTGTACCCCATTAGCCTCGGACACTGGTCTAAGCCTTTTGGACCCCAGAGTGCCCCGTTCATAGGGTCTCCATGGTCTAATCGGAAAGTCACCATTGAACTCGGGCAGCCTTGAACTTGGATCCAGTGTCTTTGATTCGGTGTGGGGCCTTTGGCAACTCATTGGTGGTGTCTTGATTTCCTTATTAGAGAAAGATGAGTAATACTAGCTCCCCTCCCTAGGCTTTTGTCTCACATTTTTATGAGAGTTCAGGGGAGGGGTTCCCCCACCCCATCATGGAGGCGAGGGGCTCACAGTTTTCTTCAGCCATCCCAAGTTTCGGTCCTGGGAGGTTCTGGGGGGGGGGGTGGCTGGGCACATTAGGCATGCTGCCCTCCCCTCAGACAGGTACTGAATAGTTGCTGGATGTGACCTGGGCAACCATGATGGCAGACTCGGTGTAAGGGCCAGGGTCATGCAGAATTATCCCAAGGCCCATGATGGTGATGGGTGAAGCCAGTACTGACAGCAGGGCCCAGCTGGCCTTGAGGAAGTTGGTGAGTCTGGGCTCCCACCTTGTTCTCAGCAGTGGTGGCCAGGGTGCAGGGCACTCTGGGAATTCTAGGCTGTTCCACTTTGGGTTTAGGTTTCAAGTTACTTTCATGTGTTTCTTTTTCTTTTCTTTTCTTCATTTTTTTTTTGGCTTTTTGGGTCACACCTGGCAATGCAAAGGGGTTACTCCTGACTCTGCACTCAGGAATTACTCCTGGCGCTGCTCAGGGGACCATATGGGATGCTGGGAATTGAACCTGGGTCGGCCGTATGCAAGGCAAATGCCCTACCCACTGTGCTATCACTCCAGCCCCATCATTTGTTTCTTTTAATGTTATTTTCATATTATTGAAGCCAAACTTTGAACCTAGGGCCTCATGCAAAACTCTATACCTCTGAGTTCGCACCCTAGCCCTTCCTAAGGTTCTTGTTAAGTGAAATCTGGCACAGGGCTCGGGACCTAGAGTTCAGTCAGAGAGACCCTAAAAGCAGAGACTCTGTTCTGCGCCTGGGGGTTCCTGGGACCTGTCCAGAGGCCCCATCGTGATTGGCATTGCCCTTGGTGAAATGCCCAGCTGGGTGAAACTGGAGACCAACCGGAAGACCAATTACCAGGAGGTTACCCAGCATGGTGATCAGTTTTTCCCCCTGAGAAATGAGCACCAATGCAGTTCCTGCCTATTTCCTGGTCATCCTGTCAAGTTTCCCAGTGGGGCTGCTGGAGGCCTGGCAGAACTTGCTCGACACACAACCAGTCACTCATTCCCTGAATTTAGACTCCCCTGGCCCTTCGGCTTTAGCCCTCAGTCCTCCCGTCTGCCTCCTTATAAGCTGCCAGGGGCTCTCTGGGTACCACTGAGCCATGCCCGCCCTCTCTGAGCCATTCTGTGCTGAGAACTGGGGACAGCTGAGGCCCAAGCAGCCCTGGGGAGAAGCCAGTTCTCCGCCTCCCTGTGGAGCACAGTCTGGCATGCAAAGCTTCCATGACTTTGAGGAACGCCTCTCCTGTCCCCTCCCTCAGATACACGTTGCTCATCCATGTCATGGAAAATTACATGTTTTTTTTCTTAGACTTGCATAGTATTCAATTGTGTATATATACCTCAAGTATTTTTGTTTAAGGACCACACCCAGTGGTGCTTAGGGCTTACTCCTGCCTCTGCACTCAAGAATCACTCCTGACAGAGCTCAGAAAATGGTATAGGGTGCCGGAGATTGAACCTGGGTCAACGGATGCAAGGCAAGTGCTCTACCCACTGTACTATCTCTCTGGCCCTCCCCTCTCATTCATTCCCACAATCTTCCATTCTGTCCCACCCATCCCCACAGTTCCCAATCACTGAACTTATTGTTATCTCCATAGCTTTCCCTCTTCCAGAGTTGGAATCATACAGTGGGTAACCCTTTCAATTTCAGAGATGAGTTTTAAAAGACTTTTCAGATATATTTGGTATATAACATTGTGCTCATTTCAAACCTACAACACTGAGTTGATACATTTATGTTAGTCCCCATGATAGCTTTAGCTCACACCTCTGTCTCACCACATAATTATCTTTTCTTCTAGTGGTGGGAGCAATTAAGATCTTGTCTCTTAGTTTTATCTTTGTAATTTAGCTTTGTTGTCTATAATTTTTGTTCTGTGCTTTAGAACTCTGGGACTTATCTACCAGTTGCAAATATGTAAGCTTACCTGGGTCATTTATTTTGTTAATTTTTTGACATTCATTATTTATTTTTAGTTATGCCACTCCTATTACATGAATACACTTTTCAAAAATGGATGAGAGAAAGAAGGAAGGAAGGACCTAGGATATATAAATATATATATATTTTTTGCTTTTTGGGTCACACCCGGCAATGCACAGGGGTTACTCCTGGCTCATGCACTCAGGAATTACTCCTGGCGGTGCTCGGGGGACCATATGGGATGCTGGGAATCGAACCTAGTTCGGCCGTGTGCAAGGCCAACGCCCTACCCGCTGTGCTATCACTCCAGCCTCAGAGCTAGGATATTTTTTATTTGAGGTTTTTTTTTTTTCCCCTCAAAACTCAAAGGGAAAGTTAAAATTTTTTTTATTTATCATAGTTTAGAGCCTGGCAAGTTCCCCATGGCATATTCGATATGCCAAAAACAGTAACAATAATGGTCTCGTTCCCCTGACCCTGAAAGAGCCTCCAACATAGGAAGAACAAGTAAAGAGACGCTGCTAAAATCTCAGGGCTAGGACGAATAGAGATGTTACTGGCGCCCACTCAAGCAAATCGATGAACAATGGGATGACAGTGATACAGTGATAGTTTAGAGAATTATAGTACTGTTGACATTTATGGCATCAATGTTCAAAATTACTACATGCTCAGTGCCTATGACCTCCAACACTGTCCCTCCATCCCTTAAAGTCTGTCTCCCAGTGCCCCCCGCTGTTTGACAATTGGCTCAGTATTCCTACCCAGGTCATTTGAACGTCCTACCTGGGTTCTTTTAATGAATTGCCTGGGTAGTTATGAATGGCCCTGGTCTAGAATTTGGCAAAGGGGAGTATTAGATCAGATGCTGTTTCTAAATCTAATGTGAGCAAAAGTCTTGTTTCCTTATAATGGGTCCATCTGTTCATCTATCCACTCATTTTTTAAATTAATTAATTAATTAATTTTCGCTTTTTTTGGGGGGCAGTCACACCCAGCGATGCACAGGGGTTATTCTTGGCTCATGAACTCAGGAATTATTCCTGGCGGTGCTTGGGGGACGATACAGGATGCTGAGAATCGAACTCGGGTTGGCTGCGTGCAAGGCAAACGCCCTACCTGTTGTGCTATCGCTCCAGCCCCATCCACTCACTTTTTTAATAGTGGTTTTTTTTTTGCTCATACACACTCTCCCCGGGGCTCCCGCCGCTGGCTTAGTCTCAAAATGGAGACGTTACTGGGCCCGCTCGAGCAAATTGATGAACAACGGGAGGACAGGACAGGGCAGGACAGGTCATACACACCAGTGCTCAGTGGCTACTCCCAGCTCAGTGCTCAGGGGTGCTCAGGGGTCACTCCCAGTGGTGCTCTGAGTACCACGTGGTGCTGGAGATGGAATCCTGGCTCCTGCGTGTAGAGCTATGCTCAGCCAGTTGGGCAATCTCTTCGGCCCCTCCATCGCTCCAATCCTTGCTCAGGACCATCTATAATCAGAATGAGAGTTAGACACGAAGTCAAATCCACATTTTTCTGGCTCCAGTATCTTTTCACAATCAAGACAGACATCAGTCAAGCTGCCCTGCATGAGTCTGGCAGATTTTGAACTGCTGTGTGTGCTCTGTAGGAAAAAGTTGTGGTGGCAGCTCTCCAGAAATTGTCGGAGAAAACCTTCCAGAGGAAGAGGGACTTCCAGACATCTGAAATTGAGAAAGAACTCTCGAGGCGAAAGGAGAAGCGAATTCTCTGGGCAGAGACATCAGCTTTTGCAAGGGCTCAGTGGCACCAGCTTTCCAAGTGCAGCAGGGGTGATGTTGGGAGTGAGAACAGTGCCAGGTGACGCTGGAGAGGAGGGCAGGGTCTGAAGGCGTCTGTGGATAAGATCACTCTAGAGTGTGTGGATGAGATCACATAGAGGAGGGTTGGCAGTGGAGGAGCCAGTGAGGAAGCCACTGCAGTGTCATCATATCAAGAGGTTGATATGATGATGGTTGGGATGGAAAGAGGCTAAAGAATGAGAATCGAGAGAATCAAAAGACACAAAAGGACATGGAGACCAAGGGGGAGGTCACACAGACAAGGCTCTGTGTGCCCTGGAGATGGGGGAGAGGGCGGTCCCCAGGCTCCCACACAGGAGGCTGCTCGCCCTGCTGATCAGGTGAGCCGGGAATGAGGGGACAGACCTGGCTCAGAAGGGAGGATCCTGGCAAGTTGAGTCATCCTTGAGATATCCAGGAGGTGTCCAGTGCACTGGACAATGGCAAGTGGATGTAGGTCTGGCACTCAGAGAAGTGGGAGCTGAAGATGGAGATGTGAGCGTTCATAGGGTACAGACGGTCTAATGAGAGAATATGCGGGGAGAAGAACGAGGTCTGGGATGGAGCTCTAAGGCCTGTTCATGGAGGAGGTAGAGCCCTGGGGGACACCCAGGCAGGAGCAACCCCAAACAAACAAACAACAACAACAAAAAACGCCATCTTCTGCCTAATCCACTTGCCATTGTCCAGTGCACTGGACACCTCCTGGATATCTCAAGGATGACTCAACTTGCCCCAGGCTGCTCCTGCCTGGGGTTGGAGGTATTGTGAAAGGAAACTCCAGTGTGGCACTCCAGTGAACAGAGGGTGGGCTCCCAACCAAAGCATCGTTGTTAGTATTCATGAGGCTGCGTGAAGGGGTGACCTGGGGAAGTAGGAGATAATTCTTTCGAGAGTTCAGCTGTGTTGGGGCCAGGACGACAGCTCAAGAGGCTAAGCCCTTGCTTTGTACACAGGGGCCAGGTTTTAACCCCTGCTTACCTGCATGCTCACCCAAGCACTGATTAGTGCAACCTCTAATCACAGAGTTGGAAGTAGTCCTGAGTACTGCTGGGTGTGATATCAAAGACAAAAAAAAAGAAGGCAGTGGATATTTAGCTGTGTAGAGGTGTAGAGGTGTAGAGGTGGAGGTGGGTGGACATGGGAATAGCTTCCGCCAGGGTTGGCTGCTTTGTGACCTTTGTGACCTTTTCTTTTCTTTTCCATTTTTTTTTATTAGTGAATCACCGTGAGACACAGTTACATACTTACAAACTCTTGTGTTTGTGTTTCAGTCATACAATGGTTGAGTACCCATCCCTCCACCAGTGCCCATTCTCCACCACTAATGATCCTAGTATCCCTCCCACCACCCCCCTCCCACCCCGCCCCCACCCCACCCTCACCCCACCCTGCCTCGGTGGCAGGGCATTCCCTTTTGTTCTCTCTCTCCTTTTGGGTGTTGTGGTTTGCAATAGAGGTATCAAGTGGCCATCGTGTTTGGTCTATAGTCTACTTTCTCATGCCCTTTTTTTTAATTGTGGAAATTTCCTTTACATCTGATCTATAGGCCTAAGAATATACTTGAACTGGGGCTATGGATGTGAGGTTATATGTGCCTAATTAATTAAGTCACATAAGGTGCTTTCCTTCCACACAGCTGGCCCAGGTTCAATTTCTGGCACTCCTTATGGTCCCCCAAGCTTGCCAGGAGTGATCCCTGAGTGCAAAGCCAGAAGTAGGCCCTGAGTACAGCTGAGTGTATCCCCCTAAACCAACCTCCCCCAAACAAGAAAACAACCCCAAACAAACAAACAACAACAACAAAAAACACCATCTTCTGCCAGAGCCAGGAGTGGCTCCTGAGCACTGCCAGGTTCATTAACCTGGGAGAGGTGGGTTACCATGATTTTTATTCCCTCCTTCCTGAATGAAAATGATGGGGGAAAGGGAAGGGGATGGCCAATTTCACTTAAAGGGGAAAAAAATCTGGTTTTGGTTTTGTTTTACTTAAAGGGGATTGTGTCGGCTGTACGCGGCAGTACTCAGGGTTTACTCCTCACCCTAAACTCAGAGATCACGGCTGGCAGCTGCATACAGGTAAGTGCCTAAACCCCTATACTATCTCTCTAGCCTGGGGAAAAAAATCACTTTGGAAGAACTTGTTAATGCCTTCCTTGCCCCCTTCATCAACAGATTCTCAAAAGAGTGGTTCACACTTCATCGAGTCCCACCACTAATATGCCTTCTTATCAGTCTTGGTCTCCCCCAAGGTTCCCACAGCCAACAACTCTCCTCTCTGACAGCGCCTGAGCACCACCAGGTGTGGTCCAGTGTGGTCCAGCCCTCAAACCACACACACACGAAAAAAGTCAATTTTAGTGTTCTTTGGATTGATCAACTTTGTATTCATTTTCAAATTCTCTTTTAAACTAGTCTTAATGTCTTCCTGATGTTCTCAATGAATAGAAACTTTGATGTGTGTTCATATTCTATTTGATTTTAACTTTTTCAAGATTCATTCATTGGTTCTATTGTTGAACAAAAATAAATCATGGAACAATTTGTTCACTGTGCCTAATTCTGGTCCCCTCCGCCCTTTGAAGGCAGCACTGAGGAGGCCACTGGGGAGGGTTAGGTAGCCAAAGGGCAGACACAAAGGGTTTTCTGGGCAGGAGGCTGGGAACTCTGGAGTTTGACTGCCCAGTGCAGGGTTGCTGTGGATTCCTGATTCTCCTGCCAACTTGCACTCCTTGGGGTCTGGTCCTCCTCTGAACTCTGTGTCTGTGTCTCCATCATCAAGGCTCCAAACCTGCAGAGAGAGGTCCTTACTAACCTTCTAGGGTCCACAGCTCAGGAGGGGATACTTTCCACTCAGCCCATCCCATGCAGAACTAGAAAACAAGTGGAATGATGGGATCTGTGATTTCTACCCCAAGCTAGTTATCCTAAACATACAAAAATTTTTTTGGAGAGGTGTGTGGTTTGGGATGTACCTGGTGGTACTCTGGGCCTACTCCTGGCTTTGCTGAGGATCACTTCTGGTGGTCCTCTGGGGACGCTATATGGTGCTGGGGATCCAACTGGGGTGAGCTGCATGGAAGGTAATGGCCTCAACTACTGTACTATTTCTCTGATGCCTCTAAGCACAAACTTTCTTAGAAAAATTCTTAAAAATTCAGAGTGATTTTTCATTCCGAAAAATAAAATGATAGTACACGACAGGAAGATGATAATACATGATAGCACATAGGTCGGAATGCTAGTACAGCAGGTAGGATGTTGCTCTGGTAGGTGGCAGACCCAGGTTCAATCCCTGGCATCCTATATGAGCCTCTAAGCACTGCCAGGGGCAATTCCTGAGTGTAGAGCTCAGAATCTGAATATCTCTGGGGTGTGGCCCAAACACAAAACCAAAAATAATTCAGGCAAAGTCATTCTATGTATGACCCCAGTTTCATAACAAGGTAACCCTCGCTTTAAGAAAAATCCTCTAGAGCACCACCTTCTTGTTTGTCCTGCATTTTAGCCCACATTTAGAGAAACTGATGTAGGGGTAGGGGCCAGAGCACTAGTACAGCAGGTAGGGTGTGTAATCACCAAAGGACTGGAAAATCCGCTGTGCTATTGCTCCAGGATCCTTAATTGACATCGTAATTCTACTTCTTGGGTTACTTTTTGGGTTACTTTTTGGGTCATGACAGAATTTGTCCATGACCATGCTCTTAACTTAGAGTTAAGTATTATGGCACTTTGGCCTGGCCCATTTTGATGCCAGGGTATCTCACAGCTTGCCCTGGGTCCAACTAGTTTCTCATCGGGACCCTGCTTTTGGGGTGCTAGGAAGCAAGGGCAACTGAGGCTTTAGTTTAGAGAACAGATGCCCATGAATGAATATCATTTGGAGTATTAACTCCCAAGTTACAAAAGCACAGCATTAACTGTCTTCCTCTGTCTATACAAAAAGAACATTGCTCTGAATTAACTATGCAAAGGACTTAAGGAGAAGAGAAAAGAAAAGCAATATTTACAAGTTAACAGAGGCTGATTAGGAGATAAAGGTGATTGACCAGTTGGGAAAGCAGAGCACAAAGAAAGAAGTTACAAATAAACACAGAGAAATGGGAGCACTGTGATGGGAGTAACCCAATAAACCTAAGCTCCCGTGACAAGGCAGAAAGGACAAACCAATGTTATCCTACAGTAGAGCACTTGCTTTGCATGCAGCCAAACCAAATTTGACCCCTGGCATCCCATATGCCCCACCCCCCCACAAGCCCTCCAGGAGTGATTCCTGAGTGCAGAGCCAGAAGTAGACCCTGAGCATTGCTGGGTGTGGCCCAAAAACAAAGAAACAAAAAGGAGAGAAAGGAAAAGAAAATCTGACGTACTTACTATTACATTGCTTCTGTAGAATCCTAGATCTACTTATAAGTATCTTATTTAGTCCTCACATCTACTCTGGGCATAGATATTATTTTTCCATTTTGCTGATGAAAAACCCAAGATTTCTAAAGGCTAAGTGACCCTCCTAAGGTCACACACCCGATGTAAAGGGCAGAGACAGCCAGCTGTAACCAAGGTAGCCATATTCTCTTTTGGTCTATGATGATTTGTTCTTCCAGGGGTAGAGCCGGTGAGACCCGCGGGCCCTACTAATAGTCCCTCATCAGGTGGGAAGACAGGCTCAAAGGTGTGAGAGGAGGAAGGTGCAAAATTCAGCAAGAAGCGATGAGCTACCACCCTCCAGAAGCCTAGAGTAGGACTTCTTAGAGTCTTTCCTCTCATGAACACTTTTAGCCAGAGATACTTCCAGGCGACACAATCCATATAGTATACAAATCAAGCTTTGCTGATAATCATAAATGATTTTGTTATTATTTTGTGCCATAACGGGTGGTGCTCAGTGTTGACTCCTGGTTCTGCAGTCAGGGATCATTCCTGGCAGGACTCGAGGGACCATTCTGGGTAGCTAGGGATCAAATCCGGGTCAACCAAAGGCAGAGAAAATACCTTTTCTGCTGTACTGTCTCTCTGGCTCCCAAGACATTTATTTTAAAACAAAAATATTAAAGATAGAACATTCACAAATTTGCTTGTCATCCTTACACATGAGGCTAAGCTAGTCTTGTCTATATCGCTTCAATTTTAGTATATGTGCTACGTTATTACAAACTTTAGCTGCATGACCCCGTATGGGGTAGTTAATGTTCAGGGGCTAGGATCTGGTAGACACTTCCTCTCCCCCAATCAGGCTCTTAGAAACATCTGCAGGAAACCAAGTTCAGAGGCTTTGGGCGAGCTGAGTCCTCAGGGGGCAACGCTGGCCCTCAGGCATCTCACAACCCTTTGGAATCTTAACTTTTGTGCGTGCAGAATGGGTTGAATATTGAGTACAGAGACAGTATTCATGATAAGTAGACTGAAACCTACAGACCATGAAACTAGTAATAACCAAGGCTCATTCTGGGGTTTGGAGCCAGTATGCTTAGGCTCAGACCCAGGCTCAATCCGTAATAGTTGGTTGCTTTGGATAAGTTTTCCTCCCTTACATGTGCCATGTAAACTGGGTAATAAATCGTGCCTACTTTGTAGAGTTGAGAGTTGAGAGCACTTGGAACAGTAACGAGCACAGAAAGATTACTCAGTAGTTACTTTTGTTACTATTTTTTTGAGGGGGTGTGTTGGGGTGTGTGTGGAATGCCAGGATCAATTCCAGGACCTTAAAACACACACTCACTCTACCACTGAATCACAACCTCCTGCCACAGTAAAGTTAGATTCTTTCGTTTTGTGGAGTGACACCCGGCACTGCTCAGAGGCTACGCGTAGCTTGGTGCTCGGGGTCGCTCCCAGCAGCGCTCGGTGTGCAGCAGACCCCACGGCACGGGGAATCAAATCCGGAGCTCCCTCATGCAAAGCAAGTGCTATGACTCTAAAGTTGGCTTCTACTGCAGGTTTGCGGCTCAAGTCTACTATTTTCTGAGGCCCAGACACCACCACCCTCCTGCAGCAGGCCCCGCCCCGGCCCCCTCGGCCGGCTCCAGCCGTCCCCGGGTTCCTCCGGCCACCAGGGAGCGCGGCGCGAAGGACAGCCGTCTGGCCCTGGCTGGCGGCGCTCTGGGAAGCAGCGGCGCTGCTCCGTGGCCCGTGGCGGCGGCGCTCTAGCCGGCGGGAGTGCGGGGCGGGCTCTCTGTGGCGCGGCCGGCGGGCGGCGATGGCGGCCGTGCGGGGCCTGCGAGTGTCGGTGAAGGCAGAGGCGCCCGCGGGGCCGGCCCCGGGGCTCCGGCCCGCAGAGGCCGAGTCCGGCCCGGAGCGCGGCGAGCCGGAGCCCATGGAGGTGGAGGAGGGCGAGCTGGAGACGGTGCCGGTGCGGCGCTCGCTGAAGGAGCTGCTCCCGGTAGGGCGGGGGGCGGCGGCGCCCGGGGGCGCGGGAGGCGGCGAGCCGGGGCGGGTCGGGCCGCCTCCCCTCGCCGCGCTCGGGAGCGGGCTGTGCGCGGGTCCGAGCGGGCGCCGGCGCTGCTGGAGACGAGGGGAAGCCGCGGGCGGGAACTCGGCGGCGCTCGCCGGCGGCCGGTCCCCCGGCGCGCGCGCGGGCCCTCCCGGGGGCTGGACTTGTCAGCCGCGGCAGCTCCGTGTTGCTGGGACCGGAGGGTCACCGCGGCCCCGCGCAGCGCCGCTTCGCTGTCGGTGGTATCGGCCTCCGCCGAGGTCCCAGCAGCCGCCACTGAAGCGAAACACGAGCGAACGCGCAGCAGTGGAGCCCCCCGGGTCCGTCCCCATTTCAGTGGGACTGGCGACGAGTCAAGGTTTGCACTGGCTTGGTGGTCAGTGCCCGATTCCCGGGGCTGGGCTTCCCGCCTGGATGGCGCCTTTCTCGTCCTTAATTTTTCACCCTAACACAAGCTGCTAGCTCAGAGCATCGTGTGTCACACGTCCGGCCTTTAAAACTAAAATTGTGGGAAAAGGTTAATAAAGTTGGGTCACTGAAGAGAGCAGACCAGAGCACTTCGGTAAGAATTTACCATCATGACATTCCTCCCATCCGCCACCCCCGTGTCTCCATTGATATACCACCACAGTTGTGAAGTAGTTTTCGTCCTGGTATTCATTTGGTTCAGCTTGTATTTATTGCATATCTCACCACGTGCGGGGCACAGCCCTAAGCACTGGATGCAAATCAAGATCAAACTCCTCCTAGAGTTTCTGTCCAGTTGGGAGACACAGGTAAACAAATCCTGTCTGAAAGTGGTAATTGCCATGAAGAAGGGAAAGCATGTTTCTGGGAGGGTGAATGCAGAAGGCAGGGAGCTGTGCAGAGGGGAAATCGGAGTCCCACTGGGACAGGGAAGCTTCAGGGATGGTGCCCTTTATACACACACCATCACTCTGAAACACCATTTTGTCGTTTACATGTGCAGCTTTGGAAGAGTATGTTCTCGGTAGGGGTAGCAGAAACATAGTTGTTCTAGAAACAATTCTGTAGCACAAACAGGAGGCAACAGAAGGCCAGGGAGATTGGCAAATACCATGGAGGAAGCTAGACCTAAGGAATTCTACAGTTTCGTGTAATTAACGACCATCAGAAGTGTGACTTGAGCCCTTGGCTTCCAGACTTCATCCAGTTTTCATTGCACTATACAGCTGTCCCTAGGAGGTTTAGGTGAATCTGGACTTTGTACATCTTGGTGTGAAGACTTACGTTTGCACCTGTGGCCTGCCATGATATCCAGGGTTACATCTTGAACATTTCCCCCAAAGCCTGTTCATTTTCATTTATGTGGGTACATTCTGTAAGGGGGTTTACTTGTCCACCATCCCAGGAAGTGCGGGGAACAGTGCCTTCTCCCTGCTGTGCTTGGGAATAGTTGTTCCCACTGGTGCTCAAAGGTTCTTGTGGTGTTGAGGATTGAACCATTAGCTTCTGCATGTAAAGCTTGAGCTCCAGCTCCGTTGAACTATTCCTTAAGCCACTGGTGAAACTGCTTAAGGTATTGGAGCGCTCCTGATGTAGATAATAGAAAAGACTTTTTGTTACAGTGGTTGATTGCTAGCAGAATCTGTAAGACAGGCCTTCTCATAAGAGGTTGCAAGGGGGAAAGATGGCTGAAAATACCGGCTGTACTAAAGAAATCATTTGGATCTGGGAGTGTGACTCGGTGGTTGAGTGCATGTATGAGGCCCAGGGTTTGATAACTAGTATAAAAAGCGAGTCAAAGGAATCAACTGTTTTTTTTTAATCATAGGGTTTTTTTCTCTCTCAATTACTATTCAGCCTTTCTCGCTTTTCCCTTTCATGATAGGACACAAGCAGAAGATATGAAAACAAAGCTGGTAGTTTCATCACTGGAATCGATGTCACCTCCAAGGTAACATTTATTTATTTGTTATAATAGGCAGATAAACATGATCTTGGTCTCTAGGACTTAATAGAACTGAATTATTCCTTGCCCCCTTTTTTCTTTTGTTGCTCGATTAAAATTTCTAAGGACTGGAAAGATAGTTCAGAGGATTGAGCCTGCGCTTTGCACATGGGAAATTTGGGTTTGATCTCTGGCACCACAGGGTCAAAATCTCCACAGCCTGATTGAGAGCAGTTCCCAGCACAAAACTGGGACTAGCATCCCCAACAGTCCCTCCCCCAGACACCAAGAACAGCACAACTTTTTTGGGGGGACTGGGGAGACTTAGGGGTGAGGTGGATGTTCTGGGGCCATACTTGGCAGTGCTCAGGGCTTACTCCTGATTCTGTGCTCAGGAATCACTCCTGGTGAATTTGGGGCACTATATGGGATGCCGGGGATTGAATCTAGGTTGGCCGTGTGCAAGGGCGACTTATTTGCTATACTGTCTCCCTGGCTCCAGAACTTGTAGCTAAATTTGTATTATACAATTATGCCCTCATGCTTCTAAAAACATCTGGGCAGTATTTGTGTGTTCTAGAATCCCCTCACTCCCCACCACAGTTTGCCATGCCTAGTTGCCTCTGCTTAACCATATTTAAGCAAAGTTCTACACTGGAAATTTTTTCTTTTTACCTTTTTGTTTTTGGGCCACATCCAATGGTGCTTGGGACTTACACCTAGCTCAGTGTTCAGGGGTCACTCTTGGTGGTGTTTGGGGACCATATGAAGTTCCAAGGGTCAAATCTGAGTAGGCTGTACACAAGTCAAGTGTCTTTCCTGCTGTATTATCTCTTTGGCCCCAGAAGTGCTTTTTTTTTGTTTTTTGTTTTTTTGCTTTTTGGGTCACACCTGGCGATGCTCAGGGGTTACTTCTGGCTCTGTACTCAGGAATTACTCCTGGCAGTGCTCGGGGGACCATATGGGATGTTGGGAATCAAACCCAGGTCGGCCGCATGCCAGGCAAACGCCCTACCCACTGTGCTATCGCTCCAGCCCCAGAGGCACATTTTTAATGCCATGTACATTCCTTTTATTTGGTAAGGTGTGTGGGGGGTTGTGTATGGGGGGAGGCCACACCTGGTGGTGCTGATAGGCTATTCTGATAGCTCAGTGCTCAGAGGACCATGTATGGTACTAGGGAATTGAAGCTGAATTGGCGGGGTATAAGGCAAGTGTCTAAACCCTTGTCCTATTTCTCTGGTCCCAATGTTATATCCATTCTGAAAAAGTTAAGTATGGTGTTTCCACTATAAATGAAACAAAGTGTGGGTAGTGCCTGGCCCATAGTAGGCCTTCAGTAAGTGTCTTTATTCTTTAGTGGTTGAGAGCTTATAAAAAAATGAGTTTCCTGATTTTGTGACTGTAGCACTGTAGTATTGTCTTCCTGTTGTTCATTAATTTGCTCTAGCAGGACCAGTAACTCTCCATTGTCTCCATTGTGAGACTAGTTACTGTTTTTGGCATATTGAATAGGCCATGGGGAGCTTACCAGGCTCTGCTGTGCCACGGGATACTCTGGGTAGCACTTTAAAAACAATTTAACTACTCTTAGCAACTAGGTTACTGTAACTATTTTCCTGCTTTATTGTAACTCCTTATAGTCAAACCTATTATTTTTCATAGTATAAACACTTGTTTTAGTTGGTGATACCAGTTTTATGTCTGTTCTTTCTGAGCTGTGTTTTGGGTTTTGTTTTTGTTTTTGTTTTGGGGCCATCCAGTGGTCCTCAGGGCATACTCAGAGCTCAGGGATCACTCCTGGCAGTG